GGCAGAGATTCACGTGGTCACTATACTTCGATAAGTATAGTGGCTATACAAGTTTGCATAACAATAAGCTACAGAGCCAGTAAATAGTGATTAGCACGAAGTATAGGGTAGGTGCTTCTATATTTAGTGTTAGAAGATAAACATAAATATAAATCAGTTTCAAACCTGCTCAATAAGCATCACTGCTTGAGCGTACTAATCCTCCTGAGGAATCAGTATCTTTGATACAAGTCTCTCTGAGACCCGGTTGTAACAACCGATATGCATAAGCTTACGAGCTAGCCTACGAGGGTAAAGCACCCGAAGACGTAGAAGCTCTCTTAGCTTGTCTTCCTCTGCAAATAGTGCATAAGTAGCGTGGCTACAGTAGCTCGGCTACACCTGGTAGCACTTGTAGTCTATCCCTCACCTGGGTTTGCGACTACTTCTCCGTGTGAGAATAGACATCGAAGAGATGTCAGCGGTTAGCCTGTCACAGGCACAACAGGAAGGGTTGCAGAAGCTGCTCCCTATTCTTGGCCCTAAGGGCGTGGAGTACCTCATCGCCCAGGACGAAGAAGAGGTTGACAAGCGTATTCATATGCTTGAATATAACAAAGCTCTAGTCGAGCATGTAAAGGCACAGATGCCTTCTTCTGCGCCTTCGCCCATGGCGACTATGGCGCAGGAAGTGGTCGGCAGACCAAAACCCATACAAATGGAAGTCGATAAGATCGACGGCATAGAAGGTGCGACCTTATGCTTTGGTTCCGACAGGTTGAGCCGGCTAATTTTATAGCCGACATCACCTATGAACCTTATCGTTTGAGCTTTGCCACGGGCAAGTTAGGTGGCTTAGCCAAACAGTGGGCATTCACATGTGGTGTATCATTGCAAGATGCTTTTCCCACATGGGCCGATCTGAAAGTTCAGATGAACCGGCAGTATATACCGCCAAACCAAGCACACCGTAATTGGACGTGATTTTTGGCGTGTCGTCAAGGCAAGCGTGAGCTTGCGGCATATGTGCAAGAGTTGAAAACTCTCATTGTTGCCATGGTCATAGACCCTATGCCTGAGGCAGTGACCGTAAAGGTCTTCATGGAGGGCCTCCGAGCTGGCGTTTCCAGAACGGAAGTCTTTCGGGTAACCCGTCCTCATTCGAGGAAGCTTTTGGAGTGGCATGGAATGCCGCGACCAACTTTAAGGCCGCTAGGTCTGCCACTTATAACTACTCGTCTGATGGGTCTGTTTCCATACTCTGTAGTCATGTGGAGGATGAAGAAGCGGAGCTTCAAGTTAAGGAACAGCAAATTGTGCGCAGATGTTATATCTGCAAGAGCACAGTCCATTTGATGGCAAAATGTCTTGCAAGAAAGGCATATTTGGCCTCGAAGGGCCGACGCCACATGGGTAAACCTTCTGGTTTGCCGCGGGGAAACGGCGGAACCCAGTAGGCGCGGGGCGCCCTACTGCGAAAGAACTGAGTTCTGTTGAACCTCTAGAAGGTAGAAGTAAACAAGGCTTAACCCTAAAGAGATCCGAACTCTCAAAAACGGACCGAGAATGCAAGCCAGGCTTGCTAGTCGTCGAAGGGACGATTAAGGGCTATGATAAGCCATGGATCATTTGACCGATTCGGGGGCATCGGGCAATTATGTGCGTCGTGCCACCGTAAAAGGTAGTCAGCAGTATGCTGGAGCGATTGTAGCGCGTGCGATTGACACAGTTACACTTCGCTTAGCGACGGGTACGCGAGTTATGGTACCCAAAGTCCCGATGGACTTAAATGTAAAGTTCTTGGACTTTAACAGCATGCAACGCTGTTTGGTCTTAGACTTGGATGCGAGGTATGACCTAATCTTAGGCATGGCATGGCTAGAACGTCATGAGCCATGGATTGATTGGAGGTCGAAGACCTTAGGCGCAACGCTCAATGCTCCTGGTGCGACTCTGGAGAGTCATGAACCCACCTCTGCTAGGAAGCAAAAGCGATTTTGGCGCGGATATTGGACCGAGTCGGTCAATATGTTGGATGTCGGAATATCCGACTTTGTAGACACTGTAAGTGTCAAGGACAATAGTCCTGGGCGAGGCCCAATGACTGTCGATAGTGTGGTTGAGAACCCACTAGATGGCACATATGACATGTGTCATGAGAATGATGTTACATCATTAAACACCGTGAGTGGTGTTGGTGGCTGCAAGCCAAGATGTCAGGACACGAGTCGAAGCGACATGAGCGACAAGTAACTGACCCTGGAGGGCCGGGTAAAGTCACAAATACGTTGTCTTTAGGACAACGAGGTACATTACCTAGTGACAAAGTACTGGCCCTGGAGGGTCGGGTAAACGCATCGATGGATGTTGTCTTTGAGAACAAATGAGGTGCAAGCACCTAGTGACAAGGTACTGGCCCTGGAGGGTCGATTGAAGTCACAAATGGGTGTTGTATTTGAGGACAACGAGGTACATGTACCTAGTGACAAAGTACTGGCCCTGGAGGGTCGGGTAAACGCATCGATGGATGTTGTCTTTGAGAACAAATGAGGTGCAAGCACCTAGTGACAAGGTACTGGCCCTGGAGGGTCGGGTAAAGTCAGAAATGACGGTTGTTTTGAGGACAACGAGGCGCGAACACCTCATGACGAGGCATTTGACCCAATAGGGTGGAGTGCAGTCAGTAAACGAAGTGGTCTTTGTCCTTGAGGTGTGTACACCTGTGGACGATGATGCGTCGGATGCTGAGAGCATCATGAGTAGCGATGATAATATCGTGAGTGACGGTGATAGCGAACAGCAATATACATTCGTCAATGGTTTGAATGGGGTTGTTGAAGAGCCGGTGGCTCTTTCAGCAATACCCGCAGCAAGTGCTCTGTTAGAGCTGGACGAGTTGTCCTTTGCCGAGTTTGGCATTGCCTTACAGGCAGGCGATTAGATCCTCTTACGAGGTTACCTCCGGATAGAGTTATACGTCATGAGATTGACTTGGTTCCAGGAATCAATATTGTGTAACGCGACAGTGGCCACTGTCACAGGAACAATGTGACTTCATTGACAAGCTCTTTCGTGCAAAGCACGCGGCTGGCATGGTGCGTGAGAGTAAGTCTCCTCACTCTACGCCTACGTTTTGTGTGAGAAAGCCTAATGGGAAGTGGCGAATAGTGCATGCTTACAATAAGCTGAATGCAGCCACTATCCCGGCTCAAACACCGATTCCTCGCAAGGATGTTCTTCAGAACAATATGGCGGAATGTACGATGTACAGTGCTTTCGACTTAGTCAATGTATATTAACAACTGCTCTTGCAAGCTAGAGATATCCTGCTGACAGCGGTCAGCACTCCGAGTGGTATGCTCTGGGAGTGGTTAGTGATACTCCAAGGGCTATCTAATGCACCTGCAGCGTTCAATCGTCTGGTGAAGCAGTTGTTTCGGCTCCATAGAGCGTATGCACAGACATACTTTGACGATATATTCGTTCATAGTCGAGCCGAAAATGGCAAGACTGATGTGAAGAATCACATCGAGCACCTTCGAGCTGTGCTCAGTTGCATGAGGATGCATAAGTTGTATGCCAATATTGACAAATGCATCTTCGGTGCGGAAGAGATTTCCTTTTTGGGATGCTTCATCGGGAAGCGAGGAATCCGGGCAGACCCTGTTAAGGTCAAAGCCATAGTGGATTGGCCGGTTTCGAGGAACCAAAAGGACCTACGCAAGTGGTTGGGCTTGTCAAATTACTTGCACAAGTATAGCCACAACTATGCGGAAGTGGCTCGGCCATTACCAAATCTCTTTAAAAAGAATGCGGAATGGTGTTGGAACACCGAGCACCACGAGGGTTTTGAAGCCATTAAGGAGAGTCTCCTTCAGGCGCCAATTCTGGCTCTGCCTGATCCTTGCGTCTATGTGATGCTTCTGACCTTGCCATTGGCAGTGCACTTTTGAAAGTTGACGCTGAGGGTAGAGAACGCGTCATCGCGTTTGAGTATCGCCAGCTGAAAGCTGCAGAGAAGAACTATCCAGTTCATGACAAGGAGCTACTTGCGATGAAGTATGCCCTTGTTAAGTTCAGGGTACACCTGTCGGGCTCAAAGCCGTTTGTGATCTATACCGATCATGCGTCGTTACGCACAACGACACAGTTGCCTCATCTCTCGCAGAGAATGTCTCGTTGGCTCTCCTTTTTCGCGGAGTATAACTTCGAGGTGAAGTATAAGCCGGGCAAACATAATGTTTTGGCTGACGCGTTATCGCGTAGATCGGACTATGAGCTTGCTCATCTCACTGTTGTGAATTCGTCAGGAACGGATCGTATTCGTGTGGCGTATGCACGCTACGAATCGTGTGTTGCCATTCTGTAGGTGCTAGGTAGCGCAGAGTTTGAAAACTATATGGTGAAGCAGTCACCACGTAATCGTGTGAGGTTACATCGTTATGCACTGACCGATGGTCTGTTGTACTATTAGTACAGGGTCGGATGACCAGCCTCGTGTTGTGGTGCCTCATGATGAGAACCTCAAGTATCAGATACTTTATGAGGCTCATGATACACCACTTGGTGGTCGTTTGGGTCGTGAGAAGATCTACGGCTCGATGAGCACCCACTATTGGTGGCCCAAGCTGGGGTTGGCCCTGCGTACGCACGTGTGAAACGTGTCAAAGGATAAGACCCTCGCCTAATATGGCTGCGCCTTTGCCTGAAAATATTAGTGCATTTCCTTAAGTGACAGAATGGTAAATACGTTCACGTATGCCTATACGTCGATTACATGATCATCGCCGACAAAACGATCGAGGAGATTTGTAATGTCAAGACGGAACTGAACTATTTTTTTTGTTCAGGATGGAGGATTTGGGCAAGGATAACTTCATTATTGGAATGGAAGGAAATCATGAGCTCCATTTTGGCACGCTTTTAATTCAACAGACCCGCTGCGTCAATGACGTGGTAAGAAGGTTCAACCAACAAGATGCCAAGGCAGTGATTAATCCATGTGAGTCAGGTATGTGGTCCTATACCACTTCGTAAAGAGAGTACTTGGGAAGATTGGTTTCTAGTGCATTGGTTAACATGTCTGCAAGATAATCCTCTATCGATATATTGATGGCTTGGTACTCGTTCTTCCGAATGAATTGGTGACAAATGTCGACATGCATAGTTCTAGCATTGCATCCCGCATTGTTGGCAAGTCCAATCGCACCTTGGTTATCTTTCCAGATCAACGTATCTCCCACTCGTTTATGGCCGAGATCCTTAAGCATCGCACGGACCCATAGCACCTCTTGAGTACATAGGCTAATAGCCGTGTACTCCGCCTCCGCCGAGCTTATAACAACCGTACGCTAAAACTTAGACATGAAAATGACTGATGCATCACCAGTTATCACCATCGTCTCTGACTATGATAGTCGGTTGTCGATATTACTGCCCCAGTCTGCGTCCGTGTATGCTGCGGTTTGCACTTCGCTCGCGATGCCATCGTTAGTGATACCGTAGTCCTTTGTTGTCCTGAGATAACTGAGAGCACGTATCACAGCCTTCGAATGCTGCTGACCCGGATTCTCTAGGAAACGCGACAGCTGTGTGACCACATACGCCACATCAAGTCGCGTGCCTATAGCGATGTACTGCAAACATCCAATCAAGAACCTGCAAGGATTCGATTGCATTTGTGCCTTTTCAACGTCCGACGTTAGTGATTGCAGCTTCGATAGCTTAGCCGCAGTCAGCCTTAGCGGGAAGGTAAAGTGTTAATATTACACCGCTGATCGCATGTTAGACAGCCGAATGGCATTTCAGGATATCATGTTTTTATCCTGACGTTACTAGATACGGATACGATAAAAGACTAATACCTGAAGGACCATGACGTCAGTAACAAAGCTTTGAAAGGAAAGGCTTATATGTAGCGAAGTAAGGACCATAAGTACAATTACTTCTCGTTTTGCCTTCGTCTATAAACAATTTTTAACACAAGTATTCGTACTCGTACCGAAAAAAGATTGGGTCCTATATACGATATGTCACTCATGTCGTAATCACTGCCTCGTCTTTGCAACTTACATCCTGGTCGGGATCCGATCAAGGATCGCCATCGGGTTGGCGATCGCGATCTCACCGGCACTCTATACTTGAAACGAGATTAACGACTAATCAGCTCCGACCCCGATCAGCAAACTACCATGAGGTAGCAAAGCTACTTATGCACTAAGTGCAGAGGAAGACTAGATCAAAGAGCTTATACGTCTTAAGGTTCTTAACCCTCCCAAGGCCAGCTTTACAAGCTTTTGCCTTTGGGTTGTAAACAACCACGTCCCTAAGAGACTAGTATCGAAGATACAATTCCTTTCTTTCAAGAATTAGAATGCTCTAGCACTTGTGCTATTCAAAGCAGGTTTGAAACTGACTAATTCAAATATTTATATCTTCTAGCACTAAATATAGAAGCATCTACTCTATACTTAGTGCTAGTCACTATTTCTGGCTCAATAGCCTATTAAGATGTAAACATGTATAGTCACTATACTTAGCGAAGTAAAGTGACCCACGTGTCTCTCTGCCACGAGCACGGTCACATCGAACCTACTAATGTACCCAAGGTACAGCCGTATGTACAATACGCACCTTTGTGTAACCCCGTTACATTCTACCACTCGTTCAAATTGACGCATCTCTCTGCATTGTAGAAATCGGTTGTGCTACACGCGTCATAGAGGAGCAATTGCTAAAGCGGCCAAATCTCAACGTTGGTTGATGCTCTAACTAACCAGAAGACTTGCTGGTCTCTGCCACAGCGACAGAAGGCCATTAAAGATATCCGTCGCACTCTTAAATGCACACCAATTTGCTCAGATTATAGAGTCTATATATTCGTTTTCATATGGCAGTAAGGCGCTCACTCTTTGTCCTTGTGGTGGATATATGTACACGTTTTTACTGCCGTGTAGCATTGCATCTTCGAGTACAGATAGTGCCTATCCCCACTCCATTCCAGACCAGATTTTCTGGTCCGACAGTCCAAATGAAAGCTTGCGTTCACCATGTAGCTTACATATTTACAATCACGTTGTCTTTCCAGGTGCCGAGAACAGTTTACATATAGCGCATAAGCCTACTCTGTAATTGCACTATAATACTTATTTGTAAATCCTACTAGGAATGAAGTTACTGGCTCTTCTCGCTGTTGCTTTGAGCTTGCTTCGTTCATCTTGCTCACTGAAGCTTGAATATGACAAAGTAGTCCCGTTCGCAGAGGTGCTCCCTACAACACCTGAGTTTAAGCTTGCCCCTAAAATTCAAGCCACAGCTTCACATTAATTATGGATGCCACCCATATGCCGCGGTCGATGCTGACGGTAACACTAACAATGGCCTAGGAGCCACTGAATTGTTTGCTTCTTGCAACGGGTCTCCGCTAGGAGTACAGATCTATGGACGAAGTGTCGAGTACAACGGTTTCGTGGGTTTCATGTACGCATGGTACTTACCAAAAGACATTGTGATACCACCATTGCGGATTGGCCACCGCCGTGGTTGGAAGTTTGTTATTATATGGGTGGGAATCTTTCCGAGGATGCTAAACTGTTATCAGTCACGATACCTTCCCTTCTTGGCTACTTAACCTACAGTCTTCCGAGCAATTCCTACATGGATGAAAACAGTGTCAAGCTTACGTGCACATGGCACTATCAACATCAGCTTTGCCTGAAAGTTACGCACAAGGCCGGAGAGTTCCAACCTTTAATTATGTGGAATAACATGACTGATGCAGCGCGTAAGGCACTAGAAGATACGAAATTCTTTGGGTCCAAGTCACCCGTGAGTAGCAAAGCGTTTCAAAAAGCAATGGAAAAGGCCTATCCTTTCTAGACTGGGGTTGAAGGTATTTCGTATTCAAAGACTTTACAATACTGAACCAACGATAGGTCTCGTTCTATTCTAAAAAGCTTAAGCCAGATCTGTCAAGAATGACCACAAGGAACGTGACCAAGCTATTGCTATGAATCCAAAGCCATTGACAGAGCCATTATTTCATGAGTCATATGATGTGATTAAGCTATTTAGTGACCACCGTGGCGTAGCAAGGGTGTACCAGTCTGTACATCATCTGTCAATAAGAAGAACCGAAGACAGCACGCCTATTGTGACCTCTTTGGAAGTCCATACGCTTACAATTGTTGTTTGTAGGCATATCAAATGTATGGATAGCAAAGTTAAGGACTGATAGCTCAATCTGGCAAGGATGCTTGCGAGTCATCTTCAAGCAAATGTTGTCCTATGTTGGCAATCCAAATCAGATTTAAGGCTTGATATATTATTCTTCGAAAATATGATGCTACTTTGAGAAAGTCTGAGAAAGGTTTGCTTGGCATCAACTGGGTGGTGTCTGGGCGGCTGGTGCCTATGGGTTCAAACTAGTTACTGATAAGCACGGACGGACTCGCACACGTTAGCAAGAAATAACAGCGGAAAATCGCGATCTACGCGACTCAGGTCCAGCGGAGGTAAATCCGCAATGGTGCTTTGTACACCCATGACATGGTCTCTCAATGCTTCATCCACGATAAGCCGTTTCTCGCTTTGCAGTCTTTTTGGGTACTGCTGACACGATATTGTCATGCTCGATTGAACTGATTTAGCCAGTCGACGTGGTTGGTGAGCAAGCCGAATGATCTGGTCTTGCTCCTCTTGCAGTTGTTGCAGTTTAATATTAAACTGTTCTGGTGTCACAGAGGGAAGGTGATCTTGAAACTCACAAAGTGTATCATTCCCAGGTTTACCTACTGCAAGAGCACGTTCGTTAGACGTGGAATTCAAAATAAGTGCTTTCTAAAGCAAAGAGTCCTCCGTACCGCCACGTTGACCGATTATACCTACACGGCGGTCGTTAAGCTCAGTAATACGTCGACGAACGGAAGAGAGCTGTCTGTACGGCCACTTTTGAATAAGGTTGCGTCTGCAAATTCGTTTGAGGGCTGCCTCACAAATACCAAGTCGTTCTGCTGCCTGAACACAACTCAATCAACGCTCGTGATCGTCACTATTCGAGTCACTTTAAGCACACATGGACACGCTTGAGCTTTGCTCTCGTGTCGATGACACTCTATTTTATGGATGCATCAATGTGCTCAATTGTTTTTAATGACGTGATAGCGCTCACCGTTTTAAGCGGAAGGTGATAAACCGTCTGTAGTCGCTCTACGTTGAAATGAATCCGTTGTCGACGTCTTGTACCGCGATTAAAGTCTTCAGCCTCCGAGTCACTTGCGGTAGACTCTTCTTCGTCTTCATCATTTTCTTCATTGTTAAATGCTTGCTTGTCGTACTCGCTTTCGCTGCTGCTTCCGGCGTGACTCGACGGAGGATAATGTCCCCATGAAGCGGTCATGCATGTAACAGACAATGGTGAAAGAACACGTTGGCTATACGAAGGCGAGCTCATGTTGCTGCTGAACTACAAGAGCTAGAAAGAGTGAATGTCGTTGAAGTCGACGTACTACGGAGCCGGAGCGCAGCTCAGCTGGTGGTACGGCCATTTCAATCGACAGATCTGTGATATTCGAAGGACCTAGAAGCAAAACGAACCTAGCTTTTAGCTTCAAACGTAGAGTGAATAAGATTTTAAACTATGTTGAAATGCTAATAAAGTGCTTTATACGCCAAACGTTGATAATGCATTATTGGTGGTAAACCTACCTCCACCTCGTCGTTGTTGTTCGCTTAATTAACGGCATTTCAGGCATCTTGTCAATCATAATGTTGAAAGAGACAGACTGTTTTGTTTATCTCTCTTTCATACTTGAATCAAAATGTTTTGAGCTCTTCAAATCTACTGACTAGAGGTACACAAATACGTCGTATATTTACATGTTGGCGTCTCGTCCTCGGCGTCACTTTATCATCATCACGTAATGCTGCATATACTGCACTTGTGGACTCTTGTTTGGTTCACAAGCAGTCTCTCGTCTTCAAAATATGCCTCCGCGACTCCAACTGTCTCTAGCTAAGATTTTATGGTGCAATGGGTAAAACTCGCAAAATAGTTGTAACAGAGCCTTAGCTTTTCTCTCGTACAATGCCATATCATTGAAATTGTTAGTGTCAAGCAATGGTAAAGGAGCAGACGGCGTGCCTCAAATATTTCCTGTATACAGCCACGGTAATTTGCTATGCCTCTTTATGGCTTTACTTGCAATGAAAGATAAGCGGTTGCCCAGCCCGCAAGGTCATCGTTAGAGATATATACCGCAAGATGGAAGCTGCGTCAGCTTGCTTAAAAAATCATGTCAATATTTAAGAGCAGCGCTGATACGGAGCAATCGATTGCCGAGGCGTCGCGGGACTCTAATAATCCTACCCTAAGCGACGAAGCAATCTGTAGAATGGACCGCATTGTGAGGTGTGCAGCCCCAGCTAAGCAACAACAAATGCTCGACATTCAAGGGAGACGTCATTGAAGCGTGCTGCCATAGTACGAAATCAGGTTCTTGTAACGATCCTAATCAAGTCAATGGCCAGTCTAGAACAAATGCGTTAGAAACAAAAGGAAAGCTTAGCTCTGTCATGGCACTGCTACTCTGTGCTTTCTATTCAATGACATCAGAACCATGTCGACAATAAACATGTCATCTAAATACTGAAATGTGCACATGGACTCTAGAAAACGGTTTGGACGAGCAATCGAGTTGGTAAAAGGGCATATAATGCGATCCAAGTTGTGAATGAATCTGCCAGTATTCGACCATCCAATTGAAAACATGATTGTAGATACCAAGGGGAACAAACGTGTCTGGTCTACTACATAAGTGAATGCAAAGTGTTATAAGTTAAATGGAAATGGGGTGATTAATATTATTGTTAGAAAAGTCAGGCTACAGTTTTGCCTTTTTAGAAAACTCACTTGTTTAAGATAAGTAACTTTAACAAGGGCATGTCCCTACGGGAATAGTGTGGACAACACAAACGCGATAAACACAAAACTATTATATTGTAATCCACATCCTTTTCTACATGAATCACTATTTTGTCCTTTTTGTGATTGGCTATATTTTTCATTGGCAGAACTGAACCGTAGCGTCATACATTTTCAAGGCAAAAGCGGTCAATATGGACGAGCTCATGCTTGAACCGCAAGTAGCTGTCATCAGTGACCATCACTCCAAGTCTGTAGACGAACAAAATGAGACAGACAGTATCAATAGCAACAATGGACAAGTATCACAAGTGGACGATATGTCCATGCCATCATCTATTCCTCTAGGTCATCGTCGTGGGCGTATGGGTCGTCTTGCAAGAGATAAAGTGAATTCTACAATGGTCCTTCCTAGTTTTATCTGGGACTATTTTGTCAAGGACGCAAGTGGAAAATATGTCATTTGCACGTTATGTCCAGCACAGTCAACACGTTTTGCCTATTCTGGTGGTACAAGTACCATGAATCGTCACTTGCGTAAGAAACATCAAAAGTACGCACCGGGCAAGTGTCCCACGGATTACGAATATCCAAAAGGGGTCCATCGTCGTCACCATCAACTTCAATCGATAACGTCACCTGCGGGTAATGCTATTACAACAGCATTAACTGCTGGTCTTTTAATGTCATCGGATACTGCAAATATCCTGGGTACGTTATCACCTAACGAATCGTTTGGTGGTAAGCAACGTCATCAGCTTTTGGAGCTTCGAACGGCACGCAGACGGGCGACAAATGGAGGCACTACACTTTCGAGAAAGAAATTTGTAACGGATCAGACGGCAACGACACTTCCAACGGATTTTGATCCGTCTGGGTTTGTGACGTTGACAGGAAGTTCCACAACGGTTGCGTCGGGTGCTTTGCAATTTCCTGCAACTTTTGAACTGAACGATGCAGGAATGGATTCTATGGCAGGAGTTGCACTGGATCAAAGGTTTTTTGACTATTCAACACTTACAGGCACATCCACAGCAGGACGTGTCCGTCGACATAGTGCTACTATTGTTGGTGGAAATAACAGCTTTAGTGGAAGCAACGGGAATGCAAGCGTGAACAGTAATGTGAATCAAAAGATTCTTACGCATCGACTACTTAAGTATCTCATTGCGCAATACGAGCCACTGGATGTAAGTCATATGGGCGCTGAATTGGGCATGTTGCTGTTTGGAGGATCGACTGAGTGGTTGACGCCTGGACTCAACTTTGGATATGGAGGAGGAGGCATGGGCGGTGCAATGCCAAAACTTCCGTCCGAAGAATCGATAAAATTGGCGCTAGCAAACTTGTACTATTCACAGCGAGAAATTTTAAAAGAGGTTGTGGCGGACGTGGAAGTGCTAAGTTTGTCGCTGAACAATTGGACATCGGTATTTGCGCAAAATGTGCTCACTGTAAGTGGTCATTGGATCTCTCGTGGATTTCGACGCCGTGATTGTGTGTTGGAAGTGTACGTTTTACCTTTGGATGAACGCGTGAACACCATTGCGCTGCTTCGAGATGTTATGGATAAGTGGGATATTCCGTCAGCAAAAGTGGCAGCGCTTACTATGCGTCCGCACGCACTTGCCACGGATACTACCCGAGAAGTCGAATCGAACATCTCACGGATAGGTACAGATGCTCAGGCAGAAGCGGAGGCTGAAGCAAATGCACTTCATTGTGAATATCCGGACCTGACAGTCGTAAGGTGTTTTGTGGAAGAACTGGAAAGAGCTATTTCGAGCGGTTTGCAAAAGTGCGCAGATCTCACTCGTCGGTGCCGCAACTATGTGTCGTATTTCATTCAGAACCCGTCTGAGTACCAGATATTTCTCGCTCTCCAGCGCAGTATGAGCGAGGAGGCATCCGCAGCTAGAACAGCATCAGCTCAGACAGCGTCAATGGCTGCGACAGCGAATGGGGTCAGTGTAAGCATCGCTGAGAGCTGCAATACTACAATAGGGGACGAATTGAACTGTATAAAGGAAGCTCAACTACTGGATGCAGCAACGGCTGATGCATCATCCTCGACTCCGAAGGCTAACAAAACCTCACACACGTCTGTATCGTGTGGTAATATTGGCGAGGTATTGCCAGTGGTTTGTGACTTTGACAGTCGCTGGAATTCGACAACTGAAATGATGTGTCGAATTGTTCAACTCGAACCTATGCTGCTGCGTTACAAAACGGGACTTGAAAGCGATACAAACCCAGCTCGAAGACCTATGCAGCTTCGATTTATGTGCTGTGAGTTGTCTTGTGAGGAATGGACGTCACTTAAGCAACTTGCTCGACTGCTTGATCGTATTGAGGGCTTGGTGCATGTTTCGCCACTCGCATATCCCGGTTTGTCTATTGTGTATCCGCTTTTACACTCATTGAAAAAGCATTTAGCTGATGCTGGTACATGGGTGACTGATCCGCTTGTAGCAACGGTACGCGATACTATCATTAGCAACCTTAACATGGAACTATGCTCTTCTGGCCAGGCTCCGTCGTCTCCGTACCTGTCGTGTCTACTAGATCCGCGCTTCAAGACGTTGCCATTTTTGTCAGTATCAGAGAAAGATGAATTAGTAGGATTATTACATGTTCTTCTCGGAGTACATGAAAAGGATGATATCATTGGCAACAACCAGCAGCAGCATGACAACTTGGTAGTGGAGGACGATCAAACAGACGAGCAGAAGAAAGAGGATCAAAGTGCTAAAACTTTAAGCAGATCCGCTGCAGGTGCTAGTGTTGCAAACAAGAAGAAGGCAGCAGTTACACTTCTACACGAGTTTTTTCCACTGGACGAACCTGCCAACGAGGTTGATAAACTCAAGGCGCAAGTGCAGCAATACCTGGACTCGCCATCGTTGCCAGCAACCGATGATACTGAACACGATCCGCTCGAGTGGTGGAGTCGCTATCAGCGTTTATTTCCATCACTAGCTCGACTTGCGAAAAAGTATTTATGCATGAGTGCTGTATCGACTCCATTCACAGAATCCTTCACGAACTACGGACAATTAATGCGTGAGAAGAAAGCTCGGCTGGATATTGAAGTAGCGGCTCAGGTGCTTTTCTGCCGTAGTGTATCTCGTATCCCAGAGATGGAACGCATTGGAGTGTAAAGAAGAAGAAAACCAAACGAGAAGTTGTATTCCGGACCTGAAAGGAAGATGGCACTACTACTGCTTACAGCAAGTTTGTCAATACATTTGCTCGCTTTTGTATAAATTTGCTTTCGTAACATTCGTAAAGCGTTCAACACTGGCAATCATTTCATCTCGAAGCGATGTCACCATCGCAACAAACGACGTTTGATACTTTTTTCTCATGTTTACTGCTCGTCTTAATCTTACACCGATGCAGCAATTTACGAAGAAGTAAGCTTGACAAATTGTGTGCTTTACAACGGCCTGGAAACAGCATACTTTGCCATTGCCGTCGTGTCTAATGCAAAACATCAAAAATGGCTCCGTTTTGCGTCTTTGCGCAGTTGCTTAGAACCATGCACTCCGTGACTTCTGAGCTCGATGAATGGCTAAGTTTGCTGTCGATGGTCCTCGATTCAAGTATCGCAATTCAATGTAGACTAGCAACTGAACGTGATAGCTTGATCTGAAATTGACAGCCTGTTCGTGAATACTCGTATACTGAAGAACATGTCTTCGTATCAACCCAAAAACTAATGTGTCTATAAACCTTCATTTCTGCTTCTGCGTCTAAGGCTCATTCAATCTACTGATAAGTAATGCCGGTCTCACTTATATAATCTTAGTTGATGAGGAAACTATCACAAATACATTTATATCTACGGGTCTGTCTACCAATGAGCTTCATGACAGGCAGACAAACTTACACCAATCATCCTCTAACCACAACACTATACAGGTGCCGAAAGAACGCTTCACTTGTAAAACTTGCTTACAACTCGATACATACACTTGTCAACATTTTTCACAAACCGACGCCACACATTCCTTCGGTTCGATTTCACAGCATGTCTTGTGTCCCACGAATTTGTAAAGGTAACATCACCGCGTCGAGTTGATATTGCTGGGGTAGTATGACGAGTCCATATATTTTCGGTTATCAGTTGGGTCCGTTCGGGGCCCACGGATTGAGCAAACCGATTGACGGGTGAAGCCGGGAATGCATTGAGAGGTCCAATAGAGATGGAATCACTTCGTGCACGGAAAGATATTGCATTTGGATGCTGCGCTTCATATGGATGAGCTGGACGGCTAGTAGCTAGAGGGGGACAGTCCGAGTTTGTGCTGAAGCTGAAGCGCGCATCAACAACGAAGTAGTGAGGCATAGGACCAAAGTTGTAGACGTGCTTTGAACGTCGTCGATTAAGAACTGAAGTAGTGTCAGAGCTTGGAACGAGACTGTTTTTCCCCTCGGGACGATGATTGAAGATCTTAGTTTTATCGTGGAGTGGTAGAGACAACACATGATTTATAGAGGATCTCATCCGCCATATTTCGTGGTTTGGCACGCATAGAACTGCAAAAAACATTGGGCGACCGACTCTTTCAGTGTAATACATTCCACTGCTTTCAATTAATGGGAATTTTTCGAAGGGCCGCTTGTGGTTCATATTTATAGCATTGGAATAAACAAAAGCAAGTACTATGAACGCTTATGCAGTAAACTTCAGGCAGTTATTGTAAGTCGTCGTGGCAGTGTACACTAATCAATGCATAAGTCATGGCAAACAAGCAGTCGATAGTGTGGTCTCCTAAGCAAAACGTTTCATTAGTTGATAAGAATATGCGGTATCTATCCATTCTGGAATACAAGTATGATTCAAAATTGCAATTTAAGTACTTGGTATGAACACTTCATCTTGCTCGCTTGCTGACAAAAATGGTCGAGAATGACATGGAGATTGTTGCGCTTCGTTTAAAAGTTCTTGTAATATGCCTGCATAGTGTCAATAGATGGTAGACGTGCTTGACACTGGCAATGATTAAATGGGGCAGACAGACTTTCCGAAAGAACATTCGGTTCTGTTGGGTGGAATGACGCACTGTCATACAAGTTGGTGTGCTCAACTAGGTGTTGCATTGATTGTGTGGTAGTCAAACAGAGCGAAGTAGTTAGTCGTGACTGCATTTTGATGTATCGCAAGAGCAATTTCAGTGGTGGTAGCTGTGGTAGCTTGGATGTCGTGGATTCGTGCGCACGTGAAAATTGAGGCCGCGCCATTGGTTTTGAAGATGAAATGACCGAAGGTACTAGACTGCTGATCGATGATGGGGACGTGCTGAATAGAGACGCGCTCTTCAGCGAAAGTAGGAGTTGCGGAGGCGGCGAAGATGGACATGTAAATGCTTTGTCGACGTTCGTCTTCTGGGCGGTGAGGCGAGCTTCACGACGGCGCTGGGCCTTGATTGTACGATACGGCCACCGATACTTTTGTCGTTGACAGTTACGCTTCAGCGTGATCGATGCTACGCCAAGTATCTTTGCCGCTTCATCTTGACGAAACTGCGAGAGCGCTACTAGCGTTTCAATGGGAAAGTCAAATTTGAGTCGACTTTTACGCTTAGAAGACTTAATGCCGATCGTGTTGCGAATTGTGCAGGCCTTCTTGAGCGATGGTGTCGATGGCATGTTGGATACAATGATATCAAGCTGAAAGGATGCCGATTTGTGAGAATGAGGTGTATTGGAAAGTGAAAGAAGACTGAGGTGACAAAAGCTGCAATGCAATTACTACTAGAAAGACTTTCCAGAGGTCGGACTATGCAATAGGGGAACGACGGCCTTTTGAAGTTAGTTCTTGATGAGCTCGAGTCAGGAGAAACAGCTAATGTGGCAAGGTAGATCATTACAAGCACCACCTTTTCGTCATAACACCATACCCGCAAAATTGTGGATGCTAAAGGCTCTTGATGACTGCAGATTTTTGCAGCAAAGCCACTCCGTTTAATCAAACGGGGCGGAAGGTCATTCTACAGCACTAGATGCAGGTTCTTTTCGAACATGTTACGTCGTCTGATACAGTGTCACAACAGAGAGTCCACGACAAGAGTTGACTTGGTCATCACACTCTGTATCGTATCTATACGGCGTGTTGGTCCATATATTTACCATCTGTCCACTCGGTTCACCAGATAGGTTCACGTATGCATTCCTTAGCTGATGGTAGGTCACGGAGCATAGAAAGCCACATGATGTGTCGCATGGATCTTTGAAAAAGATAGGGTGATGTGGTATCTCTAATGCATCTCGATCATCTTTTCGGGTCGTTAAAGTAGGACGTATCTTTACACGATCTTGTGAGATGCAAAGAGCAAAGAGGAAGCGGACAGGCTCGAACCATTGGTTGAGAGACGTGGGTTCAGACGATTGTTGAATTGTTAAGTGGTGAATTCACGCGCAAAGTCTGGAAGGGTAACCCATCGCATGGCATCAAGCTGTGTCTTAGTACCACGTGGTACGCGTAAAAACTTGGATAAACTCTTTTTTGCGTTTGAATGTCATTGATGTCGACGAAAGTGACAACGTTGATGATCGCGCTTACCAATTTATGGATGAAAAGCGTCGTCGCGCATTGTATGACCTTCAACAGTTGTTGTAGTTAAAGTTGCATCTTAAGATTGACCTCTTGGTCTCTAAATGTATCGCGTACATGTATTGACAATTCATATGTACGTTTCTTTATCATTGTAAGCGAGACGTTCAACTACAAAGTCGGAGTGTTGAGTTATCCAAGCTTGAACAGAAGTAAAGGTCTTCTAGAACGCCTGATCGTCAACTGAGATCGGATGCACAGCATGTCCCTCTTACGACGCAATGTGGGCCAAGCAAAATCTACAGTCTTGGGAGAGACGGGAGCTGCTTTGCAATGCTTCATACGGCGTAGGATGTTGACAGCATTGCAGTGGCTAGCTTACCGTCCTAGTTACGCGGCCTCCTAGTATAGTTAATGGCCATAGTGGTCGTATTCCCCAAAGATAGCATCGACGATACCTGCGGAACGTGCTCAGAAAACATCAGGTCGTCACTTGTCTTTTTTCGTGTGTCTGTAACACGTTCAAAGCGACTCCGCACAATGCTGCGTGCATGAATGGCTGTTTTTTATTGGTGACCAATCTCTCGGTGTGCTAAGATGAAGGGGTATAGGTTGCGTTGTCCCGATGACATGAGCGTGCTGGACTTATGACTGTAAGTTGACGAGGTATCGATTAAAGGCCAGCATTAATCGAACATTTGTATCAAGATGGACCACCTAGCACGAGGCGCTTGACACGTTTCTTACTGGTGATGCCGTTTGATTTTGTCGATTGACATCTTGTCAAGATACTTACAACCACGAGAAGTATGCTAGAGAGCATGAATAACAGACAGCTTCAACCTAGAACTCGTCGCCACATCCATTTTGTAAACAGTAGCTCACGGTGATCTCAGACGCGTTGAGTGGTTGACAAAGCATCATTTGATCACGGTTTATGGTGTATTGCAGTCGAATCTAGGTCAATCTTTGGACATGTGTTTATAAGATGCTACAGGTTACAAAATCTACTTGCGAAGGCGCAAATATTTTTCAACAGTGGAGCTGATCCCGCTCAAATGCATGGCCATGGGATGTCTTTGTCTAGCTTGGCGAAGGAGACTAGTCCATATTCTCACGTAACCTGGTAAATCCCGCGGGTCTAATTTCTGGCGGTCTCCGACTTTTACTTCTTAACAGAAACCAGGTAAAAGTTTGCATCTTCGAGGCCATGGCTATGTGCCTGAAAATCTGGTTCTAGTACATCAGTATGACTTCTGTGATAGAAAGGTGCTATTGAACCCAAAATCTGGTGTCATCAATATCTTCAACGTTTCAATCTTTCAACGTGACTACGAACCCCCAAGTACAACAACGGCTACAGTAGTACCTCTTGACCCCGTCCGTCATCATCGCTCTTTGTAAGGCACGAGATATACATATACATAGATTAGGAGAGACATTAGAAACTTCGTAATGACTGTCTTGTTTCATAGTCGATGCAATGTTTCGCTTCTGACAGCTCATTTTGAATTCCCTCTACTTAGACACAAGTCCCTCTCTTCCTTTTTTTTCTTATTCAATCAATTGATATAATGAACAACAACAACAACTCTTTCAGCTCCTCGTCACTATTCCGTACTCTATCATCCATAGAAACACCAAGTACGAAAGTCAAGTCCAGTCGCAAACGCATTTGTCCAACGAATGACCAAACCGACGCGAAACACAAAAAATCGCGTAAAAGTCGTCGGATTCACGATTTTCCACCCGAGTCTCTTGCGCCGTATTTTCACTTGCCCCAGAGCCAAGCAGCAAAGGCCCTTGATGTTGCGGTTATTACAATCAAGCGGAATTGTAAGCGCTATGGCTTTCGATGGCCTTATCGAGCCAACAAATATAAAGCTGGCAAGAAATTTGTACTGTCTGAAAAAGGACGTGCATTCCACAACCTTCCATTCGAGTGTCTAAAGGCAGAAATGCAATCTGCACCACTGAAAACAACGTCAGATGAAAGTGGTAGCGAGTGTGACACGGATACGGAGAGTATCGATAATGGAGAACACGTGACAAAGGACTATGGTCAAATTTTAGTTTCCTTGCACAAGGTGCCAATGAATCATGACATTGTAGAGGGAAAGATTAGATAAGGTTTACTGTACAACGAAAATTGTGTAAGTATGAAAAGATGATGAACCACAAGGAGATTGATGCTAGACTTGAGCTATATAACGGGTTTAACTATTCCTTTGAACAGCTACTTATCGTGTTTTTTAATGTTGTCATTGCTGTGACCCGAGTCGAAGAGCTAGATATCTTTTCATGCAGCATCTTCTTACCTTGTCTTTGATCCTCATTGCACAGACTGAAAAGCTCAATGGTTACTAGTAGATAGTAAAATATATTTAATGCTGCTTTAAGAAGAACTACCGTGGCTAACGTGAGAGAGGTTTATCCAGGTACGCGAACGACCCGCTATATCCTGTCCGTGGGGAGCGATAAGTTTTGGGCTGGAAAAGCACCATAGCGCTGTCCTCAATTACATGCAGTGTTAAGTACCTGCTTGCCTTCACCTGGCGAAGGCCGTAAACCTGACCTCGATATTCAGCGATGTTGTTGGTAGTAGATGCATGACCGTAGGCCATGCTCGCCACCCGGCTGTGCGCGTCGGGAGGTGAACCTTGACAATGACAGATCCAGAACCTCCCGGTCCAGCATAACCCCGAGCTTCACCGTCGAACAAAAGTAGGTATAATAACGTTAGCGCGTTCGCCCCGCCGCAGCGGGTGAAGTTGGTTAGGTTCCTTAGAGAGGAGTAGAGTGTCGGCAAGAGCTGACCGCACATGTGCCAGGTTTTGTCCTTCCTCTTCGTCCCTGGGCTGGTAGGTTGAGATGCGGAAGCGTGGTAGCTCACGTCGTAGATGAGACAGTGCCCGGCTAGTGCGTGCTTCGTTCGGGAGTGTTGAGTCCTCCATGCGACGGCGCCGCTCGATCCAAATGGCATGAAGCGTCGATGCAACTACGAAACGCCACAGCACGCACGCAGCCGGAAACTGCAGACCGAGATCTTGCCGGATCTCCGTGCGGCCCAAGAACGTCCTTAATTGCGTCCCAAACAGCGCTGGGAAAGCCCGGAAGCTCCATGTCAAAGACCCATACGTTATTGTCTGTCTCCTCAAACGTGCTAAGACACAGCCACAGAGAAAAATATATACTACTTTTCCCAATGCAGTTGCGCCACAGGGAATCTCCAGAGGACATGACTTGCCGTAGCTAATTGACCATGTACACACTTCGGGAATGGATACGACAGGTCTTGCGCGGCCCATTATGAGAAGCTGTTGCTTTTGGCCGATAAAGCGTCTGAGTACAGAGAGAGAAAGTCGCCTGAATTCCGCCTGAGGTCTCTCCACTCGACCAAATCCGAAGTGCCGGCGCTTGGCGATTAACTGTGGTGCCATGACTATTGCAGATAAAAAACGGATGACTCCGCGCTGAGCCGGTTGCCAAGACAACGCGTCGCCGAGGCACCTTTTGGCCCTCACAAAACTGGCCCCGTTCAGGATGTATGGTCTACCGTGGCTAACGTGATCGCGAAAGAATATACAGAAAATGAGTTTGAACGCCACCAGACACATATGCAGTGGTTTGTGTTGAACCGGATGAGGTATCAGCCAGCAAGGACGTTGAAATGTGTCCAATTATCTTTGTCGTTGTAGAATCAGTATGTCAATCAGAGCATGCTACATCAGACGTTTAGTAGACAATAAGTTGGATTCAAGCCACGCCAACTCACTCACGTTATTTGCTCTTTCTGCCTCAACAGCATCAGTATCTTGTCAACCATCGCTTCCACAACTTGGTCACCATTGGCAGCAGTTCTACTTTTGGCGTTATTGAGCATTGTTTTCAAATTCGGCTTGTAATGTTTTTGCAGATCCACAATAAGCTGGAACTTGTCTGGGGTCTTGCTACGACGATTCGTTTGTAGCACGAATGAGGCCCATGTCAAATATTCGGGACTTTCAAATACCCTGTCTCCCTTCTCCTTCAGCTTCAAAGAACTGAAAACATGCTTCTCTTTTATACCAGTGTACCACCAAAACTGATACTGTAGCTCAGCGCCAAGTGGCTTGGCACTCTCGATAGATTGTGCTTTTGCGATCAACTCGGACAAGTCTGTGTCTTTCTTGTACTGTGTTCTTAGTACTGAGGATATTAGCGTGACAATGTCCGTTTGTTGTTCGTAAGGCAGTGCTTCTTGCCGCTTGGTCATATACAATATCCACCTGTTCCACTCGGGGCTTCCAAACATCTGCACGCCTTCTTCCTTAAGCGCAAGACACAGAAAAACATAGTTATCATCTTGCTGCAATCACGTTTTGCCGCAAGAAGACTCTTTGCCAGAACAATGTCACCAACGCGGTCCACCAACGCCGTAAACAGCACTTTATTTGGATCCGCATTCTGCAATTTTGCGTAAGACATCCACGTTCTCAGCTGCGGGCTTTGAACTGGGCCGTGTATTGCGTCGAGTCCTAGTAACACAAAACTCCAGCGATGCTTTTCTTATCCTTCTGCCACTTTTGAAGCTGGTACGACTCCAATCCCGTTACAACTATCTGCAAAGCAACGTCGTTTTGCTGCATGGTATTCGTGGTAGCGCCATTACGGTTTGCAACAGCCAGAATCCTCGCTAGATCGATCCCATTTACGCCTTTCTTTTTCATTTCCAACAACAACGACGCATATGGATCCTCCTTCACCTTTCTCGCGTAAGACATCCACGTTCTCATGAGCGGATTCTTTAGGAGTCGATTTAGGTCTTCCTCATTGAGTTTTAGAAGCGCAAAAATGTCACTGAGACTTTTATTCTCCTCCTGCCAATTCTTATACTGAAACTTCTCCAATTTCTTGACAACTTCGCTCGTAGCGACGTCTTTTTGCAGCATAGTATTGATGTTAGCGCCATCACCCTTTGCAGCAGCCAGTATCCTCTCAACACCAATTTTACCCACACGTTTCTCCACTGCCAACAACAGCAAGTCATATGGACCTTTATTCAGCTTACTCACGTAAGCTATCCACATACTGAGCAGCGGACTAGTTAGCAGTTGAACTGGTTCTTGTTTGTTAAGTTTTAGAAGCACAAAAATGTCAACGAGACTTTTTTTTTCTGACTCCCACACTTTGATCTGATGCTTCTCCAATTCCATTGCAAGGTCTTTCGTAGCAGCGTCTTTTTTCAGCACAACAAGTCCTTTTGCCAAAGTTTCACCGTCGTACTTGCAGCGCGTTGCTAGTTTCTCAAGAAGCAATTTGTATCCCACGTCTCTCGCACACGAGATCCAAATACTCAGAAGCGGATTCTTCAAGATCGCTTCTCCATCCGTGCCAAACTTGAGCACATTAAAAATTTCGTCTTCTGTTTGCCATCCATCGTCCACTTTACGAGCAACGCGTCTTTCAAGTTTCTGACCTCGGTGTTCATAGCTGCACCTTTCGTTCCAGCCACCATCATTTTCGCCACCCGGTCTTCGTCAAAGTGCAACAGAATTGCTGTTATCATGGCAACTTCGGCAAGTTCCGTGTCTTGATTAAAAGCCTTTTACACCGCCATGGCCCACTGTTGATATCCTTCGCTCTTGAGAAAAAGTGCTGGGTCTTTGTCAATGTTTATCTTGTCGAGACCATAAGAGACGAAACGTTGGTTGAGTGTCTTTTGACTGTTTGGTGCTACCATGGCCCTGACATTATTTATCACTTTATGCACTCCAGACTTCAACATTTTCGGTAAAACTCGATGGGGGACTAATGTTAATGTTGATTCGTCTCTCTTCATTTTCACTGCCACTTGCATCGGTTGTGTCGGAATTCGAACGCAAATAGCGTTCCACTCGTGGTACGTCGGTCTCCGTTAACTTAATATTCTGAACTGATCGAACCAGTCACAATGCTAGACTTGAACATATCAGCCATTGATTCAATTCTCATCGATATGAGGAATAAAGTTGCAAATAGCATAGTGTACCAATACAAACATTTAAGGTAATAAAACTTGGTCATGGTCATGGGGCAAGAAGAGATACAAATACGATTGTACTCTTGCTTTGAAGCAAATGTTTAAGTGAAAAGAACAAGAACAAAACCCTCGGCAAGTCAACTGGCTTTGATCACTATCTTACCATATTGTCAAGCTGTAGTGTGGAATGGTGATATAAAACAGACTGCCACTAATATTTTGAACGTCATGTTACTAGGATTGCTAAAAACAGGACGTTTTATCATGTAGATGGGTAAGTAGGATACTTAGTACTGATGCAAATACATCTGTGGCAAAGGAGTGTGCGTTGAGTTTATATGATTTTGCACGCTCGACCGGATTGTTGTGAGAGAATATTTGACCAATCATATTGTGGGATTGAGCTGAAAAACTGATCGAGAATACGATCATCGTCTGACGACGTTTAATCTTGTTGCTCGTGAGCGCTTTGATTTTTGTTGCTACTTTGAAACCTAAGAATTAAAACATATCGATAATAAGTCCAAGTTTTCCATGCTAATTTCTATCTAATTCATTCGCTTTAGTTCCTGGCTATTATCCAATACAAAACACTCGGATCTTATGAAAAAAACGATAAACAAAAACGACCATTTTGTCAAAATGGTTGGTCAAAAAAAACGCATCTCTCAAGAATGCGACCGAAAAAGTCGTAGCTGTTGTGACCACATCACGCTCAACTACGAAACGCAAGAACGGAATTTCTACTGTCCACGAATCATCGAAAGCAACAACCACCACGTCATCCATTGTGAAGCCAAAAAAGGCCAAACTCTCATCCACAATTACTGCGAATACGAACGCATGGGATGCTTTATTTTCAACGAATCAAAAGGCGAAGAAACAAAAGGTCGCTCGACCAATGGTCGCCAAACCCCTTTCGTCTGAACTTGAAGCAAAATTACAAATGTATCCATTATTTGAGGACGTTACAAAACGATCCGACGAGACAGTTACACTAAAACTTGTCGCATGGAACGTGAATGGTGTTCGTGCGATATTGAAACGAGACAATAGTGTCCATCTTCGTGCCTATGTGGCTCAAGAAGATCCGGATATTTTTTGTCTCAGTGAAACAAAAATCTGCTGTGAGGAGCTCCAGAAACTCGAGGATTTTTTACCGCAGTATAAACATCAATTTTGGTCCTGTGGTGTCAAGAAAGGATATGCTAGTACAGCTATTTTTAGTAAAGATAAACCACTGAGTATTCGTGATGAAATTATGCTGGGAGATCATCAATCGAAAGGAATGAACAAGGAGATAAAGGAGACAAGAACGACGGATCAAGAAGGACGTTTTCTTGCACTGGAATTTGAAAAGTTCTGGCTCATTCATACCTATGTTCCTAATGCTGGTGGAAAATTAGAGCGGTTGGATTTTCGTACGAATCAATGGGATAAAGCAATGCTACGTGAGATGAAAGAGATGGAAAATTCAAAGCCTGTGATTTGGTGTGGGGACCTGAATGTTGCACATGAAGAGATTGATATTCATAATCCCAAGGGTAATCTCAAAAGTGCTGGATTTACACAAGAAGAGAGAAAAAGTTTTAGTGAAATTTTGGACGCTGGATTTGTAGATACGTTTCGCTACTTGTATCCGGACAAGGTCGAGTACTCGTATTTTGGATACCGACACAATATGCGAGCAAAGAAAAAAGGATGGCGACTTGACTATTTTGTCGTGTCAAAGGCGTTGATGCCACATGTGGTACGTTTTAATGACTGGATGTGCGTTCTAGTAGTAACAGGTTGATGGCTTACTACTGAGTTTTACTTGATGCTTTGTAGCGATCGTCATTTATCCGGCAAAGTGTTACTGGCAGCGATCATTTGCCTATTGGACTGGAGCTTGGAGAGCTGTGAGCTGGCTACTCAAATATGCAGTTGTGGATGCATAGAATATCAGTGATCAGCTTATGTGGTACTTCTAAGTATAATAACAAGCTCTTGGTCTAATGTCTGGAAAATAGGATCTGTCATGTCTTCTCTTTATTGCATCTAGCTGCTGCACTTACCTCGGTTGTATTTCTCATCTAACATGATTCAGAAACGCAATGCTCGAAGCGTAAAACAACACACAATTATGTTTGTGATACTGATTGTCGTCAACATTTAGCTCAATCATTTCGTCAGAGTCGACATCATGACGCCGAGGATAGTTGCATCTGCTCGTGAGTTCATCTTACGACAACATGTTGACGAGATCAACAATATACACAACCTACGTCCAATGGTAGACACTTTCCAACATCAACGCAATTGCAATACAACAAGCTTCCTGTTATGGCGGTCAACTCTTTTTCGTTTCATTTTTCGGTGCTTCGCATCTTATCTCGTCCTCCAACGCACTAACGATACTCTCTCTGGCACTGATCGCTATGAACACGATTGGCTTCCGGGGTCCCTGGTTCACTACTGGTTCCTTCCACACGGCCATAGGGGTCTTCTGCAGCGCCATCAGGAATGCTATTGTGGCCTCCATTTTTGTGCGCGTGGCCATCATCGCTACCATCGCCAGTGTCGCTATCATCTTCACCCTCCTCCTCGCCTTCACGATACTTGAGCAGACTACGTTCCACGAACGGCGATGTAGTACGGTACTGATCTGCCACCCAAATACGTAGTGTCTCCAAAAACCGTCCGTCTCCTTCACTAACTCCACCGCCCACGCTACGGACTGGTGCCTGGTTGTCATCCTCCAGCTCCCACTCCGTCTTCACCTCAATATCTTCTCGGTCACTGCATACGCGCATAAGGAGAGGCACGAACACCTTGCGGACATCGCGCCGAATGCTGGGAATTTCCAAAGCACGCGCCTGTAAGTCCTTGGATGTTTTGCCATTGACAATGTCCGCCAGCCAGTTCAAACAAAAATTAAACTTGCGCAAGTTTGAGCGACAAATCTCAAAGCGCATCAGCTCGAGCAAATCCACTTCCTCGGCTAAACGAGGGCAACGAGCAAGCACTAGCTCCTGCACGCGATAAAACAACTCGTCTGAGTTTTCCAAACCGTGACCACCAAGGCAGTAACAATTCTCGCAAAGATCAAAGCCTACGCATGTGGCACACGAATAGCGCTCTCCCACAATAGGCGTCATCTTACAGAACTGACACGATGTGCCATCGTGTGAATACTTGGCGTTCTTAAATGTAGCTGCCACACGCTGCTTGGCACCAGCTGCCATCGTACCAATGAACTTGGCAGCATTCAACCCACCCCATTTACGCTTGGATACCGTAGTATCGGGTAGCTCCGCCGACTCAGAAGATGTATCCATATCCTCGGTATGTTCACTTCCTCTTTCCTGAGGTGAAGAAGCAGCAATACTAGCAAGAGAATCAGCGTTTTTGGGTTTCGACACATATGTGGCCTTGTTACTCGTGCTAATAACACGAGACGTGTGTGGCACAAGCTTACTCACGTCTTCTACGGACGGACCCAAGAACATATGATCCTTGCCGAAACGTTTTTCACCAGGTACAAATCCACCTAGGACAGAGTCGCGGCGACGTTCAATCTGAATGCGTACATCTGTCACCAGCGTACGACGCTCCATAGTCGAGTACGACACCCTCAGCGCTGGATGGGCCTTCAATAGTGGTACCAAGAATTCGCGTAACTCCGCCTGTCGCTCAGCTGACAAGTGCCGCAATACAATCTGCGATTCATTTACAAGCTCCTCGCCCGTGTCTGGGTCCAGTGCGCCCATGAGAACGCGACTCGCACCTTCTTGATGTTCATAAGGCAGTTTCCGAATCAGTTCTTCCAGTCTGTCAAGGTCCAACGCGTCATCAAAACTACGTGCCGATTGAATCTTTCGATCTTCAGTCCAGTCTCGAATCGTTTGATCAGCTGTCGGATCTTCAAGTGGCAATAATCCGCCCGATGAAATGGGAGGTGGTGTTCCTGGAGGTGTATCTGGTTCCTCGTCACTTCCATCTTCATCTCCTTCGCTAACACGATTCGCCTTCAGACGATCCTTTGGTCCAAACCCAACCGTATCTCTTCCTTGTTCTTCCGCCATGGCCAATGCTGCGGCAACACTTGAACGTCGTCTCAGTTGCATTTGTTGCATTTGTTTTTCTAATTCCAAGACCTTATCTTGTTTCTCCTTAAGTCGTGTCATTCCTGCTTCCTGTTCTTCTTTCAAAGCTTGTTGCAAGCTTTCAATGCGTACTTTATGTGCACTAACTAATTCTTCCTGTCGTTGTAATCCTTCATCTTTTCGATCCACGTCCTTAAGTAACAAGGCATTTTCTGCTTTCAATGCTGCAATTTCAGCACCATATCGTTCTTTTTCTTCACACCGAGCTTTCCGTTCGGCTTGTAATACTTGATCCACATCGTCCGTGCTTTTCCGTTCTGCCGCAAGTGCTGCAACAACTTCAAGCTCTGAATCTCGTGCTTTCGCTGCTTCCAATTGTTTCGCACGCTCTTTCTTCGTGGCAACTTCTAATGCACTCACAAGACCACGTAATGCTGCTCCTTCTTCTTCTTTAAATTTAATTTCCTGTTGGAGAAATGCGATTTGTTTATGCGATGCATCCAATTTACCGGTTTCTAGTGCTAATAATTCATTCTCACGAAAAACGTATTCAAATTTCTTCTTCCAACGGGCTAAATCTTTCTTTAGTGTCACGTAATTTGATTCATAGATTTGTAATTCTTTAATCTTTGTGGCTAATTCTTCTTGTGTTGCACGTAACATATCCACATGCGCCGTACGTTCCGTATACCGAGCGTAATTATTGCTACTAGAGGGATTTACAGCATTCACTTCGCCTTCTTCTTCTTCGACTTGTTCTTCTCCCCCCATTGGATGACGATAGAAAACTGAGATGGCGGATGGATAACAAAAAATACCGGTATTGGAAAAAAGTAAAAAGAGAGTGGATAGTAGAATCAAATGAAAAAAAATGAAGACGGGGTGAACCTGGTCGTGAAGTAGACGTTAAGTGGACGAGAACGACCGTCACTCGTCTTTATGGAAGTAATGGTTCGTTCAATCCAGATGGCTACAGTATGCAGTATTTTTCTCACGGTATTGTCGGATGCTGGCTCTTATGGTAATATTTAGGTTAACAATCTGAAGACGCAAATTTTTTAGAAATATTTGACACTTGAAGCATATGTTGCTATCGACAGCACATTGTTTAAAACGGCAATACATTACGTGTAGGGAGGTATGTGTTTAATTCAACAATATCTTTCGTCAGATATATCTTTTAGAAATGCTGATAGAAGCTACTGAATCAGATGAGGCAATTAAAGTAGCTACTCTCTCTTCATTACACTATCGTCTACAATCGTATGTAGAAGACGACACGAATGAATTGATGACATTGTATGATTGAAGGGCCGACGCGCAAACGGTTTTTGTCCACGTAATTTATTCTGAACACGAACGAGATTATTGATAGTTTGCATCATACCAGCGATTCATTACAATATCATACTAACAATAACAAGCACTTGATTAACAAACATGCGCCCTGATTTTAAGTTTTATGCTGTTGTGTTATTCTTGACCCCTCATTATATCGGTAGCATACATTGATTTACTACGTCTTGGGATGCAAGATAGATATACGGACATCTTGGCAATCGTCGTGGAAGGATGGACGGATGAGAAGTTGAATCGCTGTTTAACAGCACGCGTACGTTTAACTTCTAGCAGTAAGCTTCGGCACTCAATTAGCTCGCATGAGAGCACGCCAGCATTGCATAGAGCACGCACGTTGACAAAGCTCGAGCAACGAGCAAGTAGTTGATACACTGTAGTCTTACCGTAAGTTGTAGTCGTCATCATTTCTTCAGCCGTACCCGGCAACTTTAAGCTGTGCTTCACCAGTTTGTCACGCGGCCACCGCACATTTATTCGTGACGAAACTTCCAAACGCAGATAGTGACAGAAGTTACACCAGCAACAACGTCATTTACTTGAAGACTGGTTCCAGCTCAGCACTTGTATTGGCAGTCATCATCAGCCGCATGACTGCACCCAAAAGCGTATCCAAACTCTTCCACTCGTCCGCCAACGTAAAATCCTTTTGCATCCGTGCAATCTCACGGATATCGTCCGTGTCTGCTGTATTCCTGTCAGAATCGTACTTATCGACATGAAATCCAGCTACATCTCGAAATTTGCCACCAAGCGACGGTCCCACCTTTGCAGTAAGTAAGTGGTGCAGTCCATCAAGCTCATACAAATTGGACGTGACAATTATGATGCCATCTATGACGCGGTTTCCAGCTATTGTTTTAGCATTAATTTCTGCTTGTTGTTCCTCCAGGTATTTCTCGAGCACAATTTGTCCCACCGCCTGATCCAGTTCCATCTGATGCAATCTAATATCGTTATTCTCTACCAGTTCGACAATTTTGCGTTCCAAATACTCTACGAACGGGTGTCCAGGAGGTGACTGCATCATATGCAGTCCAATCCGAAACGTTCCACTGCTGCTTCTTGTCTGACTAGCCACCACCATTTCCTCTTCCATGTCTACCCCGCCTTTTCTCAACAGGAACGTATTAAAGTCTGAAAGCGCGACACCCCCGTGTTTTTTCAACACGCGCAGCATAATTAAGATTTCCATGATCTGTCGTCTCTTTTGTCGGCTTAGTGTCGACGACTTGGCATTAAAAGACACGGGTGGCATAACCTGATGCAGACCCAAATGACGCTGGCACTGAGTGTACCAGATACCCCGAGGAATCTCCAAGTAATGCATCATCATAATGTCTGGTTCTAGGATCCGTCTGATTGACTGCACGGCTGTAAATTGCAAGTACGTAAACTCTTCCCTGCTCTCTTGCTGCTGCTCTTCATTCCAGCCTGGTACGGCATTCAATTCAACGTGTACAAAGTGCACCAGACGTATTTTATGGCGTTTTTTACTTAATTTTGACGTATTTTTCATTCCACATTGCGTTTTGAGCTTGTGCAGCGCGTGAGGACGTAGGAATTCGGCGCTGTCAACATTGAGACACGTAGGTAAAGAGACAATCGAATACAAAGTGGAGTTAACGTGCCTCTGATGTGCTAGATGATTAAACGTGAAGGAGAAGAAGCACAAGAGTAACGGCAGTAGCACAAAGAAAACAACAAGCAGGAAGAGCACGAACTGCTTGTTCGTACGACGCATTTGATTGTAACTTGGTACAATGTACCCAATCTTGTGCGACACCTCAAGAAGTTGTCGGTGTATAATTAAGTGATAAATAAAACGCATAAACGTAACATCTCGATTTATTGCAATATTTGCGTTTAACGTTGCGAGAAAAAAATTGTTACTTTTGTCAAACTGTAATATTATATAAAAATAATAGTGACGGTGTACTTACAGGTTATATGGTGATTACGTGATCATAAATTAAAAAAAATAGAGATGGATAAGAAGATTAGTACTTTCTGATCGAGCGATCCGTCTGGACCAATCAATTTACCACGATAGAGTAGTATCACGATCCTAAAGCTATCACTGGCATCCTTATTGGTAAAAGGCACACTAACTTTGTCAAATCTGCAGTGATTTAGAGTTGATGTCTGATTAACAAGATTAAGAGTGTTGTTGTTGTGTTCACTGAGCGTTTGAAGCGGACTTGCTATAGGTTAGGAGAACCACTTGACTGCGAATGCTTGTTATAGTTGCAAAGCTACTATAACAAGCATTCGCAGTCAAGTGGTTCTAATACAAAATGACGTGTATGATACAAAGGCTCGCGGTCCATTGGTTCTCTATACTCATGAACGCTTGCCATTTATTAGATTTGTTGAATTCTGTACTTCTAAAACGTATAACAATACTCAGCGAGTGCACTACTCGAAGAGTATTTCTTTCTTTACTCAGTCACATTGATCGTCACATTGACTTGCAAGTGGCCACCTTTGCTTGCGCGAGGCACCCAGAGTTTTAAGGAGCCACCACCAGTACCAGGTAAACCGAGAAATCCTGGCCGCCATCGGTCAAGGTAAAGCGTCTTTCCTCCTAATGCCTCCACGGTTGTTGTGTACGTCACTGTTTCACCTGCTCGAACGTCCTGTTCATCAAACTTGTTGCCACCGGAGATGACGTTGACTGTCACGTCCTCCGTATCGGCGCTAGCAAAGGTGATCCGGACAATCCCATCGCCTTCTCGCTCCCAAGACATTACGCTGCCCTTAAATACGTCTCCTACCGCGCGAAGTCCAAGGGTTTCGGGATCGCTACCATCGTCGATTTCGCCGATAAACTGTGTCGGTCCACACATAATTTCAATGTACTCAGATAGCAGACCGGAAATACGCGTGAGATCGATGTAGAAGACTGTAGCGATGCCCATGGACAATTTATCAGCTACAACACGTGTGTATTCCTTAGCAGTCAACGACGCGCCGTCGTCACTCTTTCCCTTTTCGATCAAGTCGTTCACGATTACGCCGTATGTCTTGCGTAGCGTGTCACGCGTCTTGTAAGCAGTAGCTTCGTCCGATTCCATAATCATCTGCTCCATGCAATTATTGGTGACCGTAGGAATGTCGTTCAACATAAGGTCGGACTTGTACACGGCCACACGGAGATCGTCCTCAGAGATTCCGGGGTTTGCCTCTTTCATCTCGGCAATTGTTCGCCACGCTCGATCAGTGAGGCGCTGGAGCTCGTATCCACACATAGAGTTGGACTCCATACCAGTCTTGAGCGACGAAATCTCCGTCTCGTTCAGGTCGTTCACAGCGTCAGTGAAGTTTAAGTGGAGGAGGGTATCTTTGAAGTGTTCCCAGGAGCTTAGGATTATGTCTTGCCGAGCCAGAATCTCGCCCACCAATACCTGCACAGTACCCATAAGCACACTCGCAGGGTCGAGGACGGCATCATTGTAAGGTTTGCCCATGCACATGACAATACTAACAGGAAGATCTATTGTGATGTAACTTGTCTGATATAGCGCCAATAGGACATGATCCAGTGACGTCTGTGGATTTGACACGTGGATAGCGCGAACGTAGTTGACAATAGCACGCATTGTTCCAAGCATAGCTCTGGCACACTTGATGCCAACCCGCACGGTCCTCGACAGTTTTGCAAATTCTCCAAAGAATCCTCCAATTTGAATTGACATGAACGCATTGGCCACACTCACAAACTTCGCGTAAATTTCAGAACCGCAATTGTCGCTCTGTCTAATGCATTCAAAGCCACATTTCACGGGGTAAGCCATTGGGCACTGAGCCCAGCACGTTCCCAGGGTGTAGTCGAATCCATAGGGACACTCACTCATGATGTAAGCTTTTCGCCAACACCCTTTGTCACCTGCTGGGTCGGATGGTTTGCCAATGCTAGGACCGACCCAGTTACGATAGGTAGACACAACTTTGTCCTTCGTATTGACAGTCGATCCAATCTTAAGGTCAGTGGGAAATGGTACGGTTGACAACGTATTCGAATTCAGCGATGAGGTATTATCATCGTCGTCTGAGCCGGTCTCACTTAACGATAAAGTCCCACGGTAGGATAAGTAACTGATGTCGCCGTCGTCTATATCGGTATAATCTCGTTCAGCAGACGAAGCTGACGATGTTGCCACAGTTGGTGTCAATGGACCTACTGGACCGATCACCACGGTTGTCTTTGCATCGGTAACCGTCAAATTAATAGTGCAGGTTGTCAGCAGCTTAAGCCATTTTAACATCTTGGAACCTTAAGAATCGCAAGGCGCCACTTGCTGTGAGCTTTACAGAAAGAAAAATAGATTGTTGCTGGTGTCACCTCAGCCTCGGTGGTACCGTATCAGGAGACACAAACTGTACGTATATGCTCCGACGGCGGCATTTGAGGCAAATTGGGAAGCAATGAGACCGCGGTGTCATCGCACATCTCTAAGAGCAAATACATGTAAATAGACAGATAACCCCTTAATATTTATGAAGCTGATTACGCAGAGATAACTATCATATAGAAAACAATGTTTACCAAGATTCCGCACCATTTGGAGATATCTCGCACGCTTTGTACAATACCTTAAGCACCGTTGTCTGGTCACCTCATATAGATCTCAGGTAGCCTTTTAGACATACTGGCAGTTATGTGATGATTGGCACGTCGCAGTCTAATTTGTCTAATTACCTGCACTCGCGTCTTTGAAAGGAACAGAGCGTGGATAGAACTCCAACATCACTCAGCGTCTACCGGTAAGTAAAAGAACACACTTAGAGATAGCAAGTTGTTTGCTAACTAAGGACCCCAAGCTAGACTGACATCACCTAGTACTTCGTGGAAGAACCTACCAACGCTGGTAGTTATCGAACATGCGAGTAAAGCTCGCTCGAAAGGGTAGATTTCAAGGCCAAGTTGTGATCGCTTCAGTAACGAAAAACAACAATCTGAATGCATTTGACGTGATCGACACAGACGTGAGTCTGTCCGTACAAAGCGTACATACGTGTAGCATTTGACTACGGTGGGGCCTCAGTGTTGCTCGAAGAGAGAGACATTTAGAATTGGCCCGTTATCTCCCAAGAAAAAAAATTAATCCAATGAACATATTCATATGGAGCCTGGAACCGATTCCTACTACCCAAAGAATCATTCATGTCGTCCTTTGAATATAGACGGCCGTTAAGTCATTTGAATGAAGCTCGCCAGCTTTTGTTGCTTGTTGGGCAATTTGACTTCAGACTCAAATCTACGAAACATAGAGCGTAAGACATAGTCAGTGTGCGATCCGGGTGACCATCAAGAATACGCCCGGTCAATAGGTCCAATACGCGTCTGACTCCACTAAACTTGGTGTCCATCTTGGCCAAGGCTTATAAACCTCAGACAGATGAAGCTGAGGCTTTTATGAAGGCAACGCCCGATCAGTCATTTGTGGAAAATTTTATGTAACTGACTTGCAGGATATCAGCAATAATTTTTTACATGAAAAGCACCGCTGTTCTGGCATTATGGTACGCTAATTACTATAGATAACAGAGCAAAAAGCTTACGTACTGTTGTAATCAAAGATTACAACGTACTCAATTGCAAACTTGGCCGACAATCGCGACGACAGAAGCGAAATGGGCGAAAAACTACTCAATATTCAGCGGTACTCCTGTGTTTATACTATCGAGTGCTTGTAACAAATGGTCGCGCTGGACTTAACGAAGGTTGTGTAATGGCTCTCAATAAGCGTGGCATGCCGCTGCCTATGCAGCAAATATCACCGAAATACCTTTATAGATTCTAAAAGTGAAGGTGTTTAGTAACGTTGTGATTCTAATGGCCAACATACGTTCTCGACGGGCTTTACACCTGCGTTAAACTATATATGGTCTGTCGCAATAGTTTTCACAATGATCACTGAGCAACTTTAATCATAAAGTCACAGTTAGCCAAGGTCGACTCGATGCGTAAAAGACCTAGAATCTCTGAGGGGCTTAAATTTGCGCAATGGCAAGTTGGCAACCGTTTGAGCACAGTGCTCCTGGAAGAGCATTGGTAAAACATTTGTCGCAACTGACGTCTAGATGAGACCAGATCAGTTTCCTTTGCAGCTAGCTGCATCTACATTGTGTACGATGCAGATAAAGCCCTCGATTGATGACAATAAGGCTCTGATAGCATTGCTGTTTGAGCTACAGAGTTCATCAAAAAGAGAGAACGTGAGAGGGAGAGGTATGTATAGGTACGCATGCGACCCGCTATATCCTGTCAGACGGCACTCAAAAGCACCGTACAGACATCAGCTTAAAACATTATGGAAGTACGAGGCCTCGGACAGCTAATCTGCGCCGCACGAGGTGTTATTCTGATATGGCGGGACCTGTTGCGGTCATCGCGGGACCAGGAAGATCGGAGTGCTTGTCCAGGGAGGTCTCCAACCAGTAGTTAATGTCATTATCGAGCAATGCCGCAGTCTCCGTGACGATACTGTGATCCGACGGTGTGTGCACTTGAACTGAAGATCACGTGTCCATTGCGATGCGGTCCACGCGATCCGTTATTGTGTTGTCTTAACGGTAGTGATGACCTCAGCTGGCGACGGCGATATTGTCGGCTAGGGCTCGCGCCTCTTGGTTGATTAACGCCAAATGTGTCTTGCGTGGGGAGCGATACGTTCTGCTGGAAAAGCACCATAGCGCTGTCCACGATTACATGCACTGTTAAGTACCCGCTTGCCTTCGCCTGGCGGAGGCCGTGACCGACCTTGATATTCAGCGATGTTGTTGGTAGTAGATGCATGACCGTAGGCCATGCTCGCCACCCACATCACGCAGGCTGTGTGCGTCGGGAGGTGAACCTTGACAATGACCGATCCAGAACCTCCCGGTCCAGTATAATCCCGAGCTTCACCGTCGAAGAAAAGTAGGTATAATGACGTTCGCGTTCGTCCCGCCGCATCGGGTGCAGTTGGTTAGGTTCCTTAGAGAGGAGTAGAGAGTAGGCAAGAGCTGACCGCACATGTGCCAGGTTTTGTCCTTCCTCGTCGTCCCTGGGCTGGTATGTTGAGATGCGGAAGCGTGCTAGCGCACGTCGTAGATGATACCGTGCCCAGCTAGTGCGTGCTTCGTTCGGGAGTGTTGAGCCCTCCATGCGACTGAGCCGCTCGATCCAGATGGCATGAAGCGTCGATGTAACTACGAAACGTCACAGCTCAAAACACGCAGCCGGAAACTGCGGATCGAGATCTTGCCGGATCTCCGCGCATCCCAAGAACGTCCTTCATCCCAAAAACGGCCTTAATCACGTCCTAAGCAGCCCTCGGAAAGCCCGGAAGCTCATGTCAAAGACCCATACGTGCTTGTCTGTCTCCTCGAACTTGCCAAGACACCGCCACCGAGAAAAAGATATATTACTTTTCCCAATGCAGTTGCGCCACAGGGAAGCTCCAGAGGACATGACTTGCTGTAGCTGATTGACCACGTACACACTTCGGGAATGGATACGACAGGTCTTGCGCGGCCCAATTCCATAACGGAAAGCTGTTGCTTTTGGCCGATAAAGCGTCTGAGTACAGAGAGAGAAAGGCGCCTGAATCCGCCTAAGGTCTCTCCCACTCGACCACATCCGCATCGGTGGAAATAACTCGAAAGTCCGGTCTCGAAGCTCTCGTATCGCGTTGATGTTTCCCTAAGTGACGAAGGCGACGCAAAATAAGCTTATTAAGCTTTCGTTGCGTTTCGTTCAAGTAAGCAGGCAGTATTCAATATTCATCGTTAGTATGAGCCTGTTCTCATTGTTCATACAAATATACCGATTGCATGTTTGGTGTCAAATTCATTGACTACTAGTCGTTGGTGACCTTCATTTCTGTGCAGTTTGCTTGAGTGTGTGTTACACCAAGTATATGACGTGATGCAGTCGTATTTGCTGTTGTCGGGTGAGAATTGCGACCTAAAGTAACTACTGATCAAGCCATTTATGTATCGATGAAACAAGCTCAGGTCGATATGTCTACACGTTGGTGGTATCATCAAATGGTATTGTTGTAGGCACCAGCAATTGGAAGCTATATAAGGTTAGACATTTGACTCTCCAAAACGTAAATGCTAACTAACTTCGCTCATTATAACTGATCTTTGCTGTCCTGGTGTTGTTAAGCGTTGCCTTGCCTGAACGGGCTTGTTTGCGGTCAAGTGTGGCAGCTGTGAAGGTGAACTCCCGTGGCAAGCAGGTTCGAGACGAGGGCGTGCGAGTGGAGCTTTACGGTGATGCCAGCCTTAGCAAAAGCTACTGATAATTTGGCTTTGACAACAAAGAGTACCGCTTCCAGCTGAAACATAAGCTTTTTCAGATCAAGTGGAAGGCGGTGGGGATGCCATGAACGCTGTATATGATGGTGTTATTTTCAAGGCAATTTCGAAGACCAAGCAAAATACGCCGAGAGCGCCCCAATCAACGTCTGCAACTGCATGTACGCACTATCAATACTGTATTGAGACTGGACTGCATGGCAATATTGGCGTCATGTTAACAATAGATATTTCTCCGATATTGATGCAGTCGTTGGTGCTCGAGTCGAAGTCTCCGTCGGTGATGGCGTCGGGCCATAACCAGTGGGTTGTGCTGCGTAAGCGTACGATACGACATCTTTTTTGTGGCTACTTCAGGCACATGGATGAAATGACGTTGTGGATACAGAGAGTACTGGGTTGTTAGTTAACGTATCTATCCACCCTTCACTCGGTTGCCCAAAGTCTCGTAGTCGCCCGTAAGTAAGATGAACTGGAGTTTTCGCTCGGATGTATCAAGTTGACACGTGGTATTGTATTTCTTGGCATATTAGTAGTAATGCAATGACGGTGGAGACGACAAATGGCATTACTGGTAGCGGCGAGCAAGATTGGTCAATATCGATGTGAAGAAGGATATTGCAGTGCCCTCGGTAAATTTTGAGTAAGTTTGGAAGCTGAATGACAAAATGCACGACTCTCGCAAGCTATCATGATTGACCAGGCATTTACTTGAATGAGCAAACCGGCGTGATCTTAGCGTGAGTTTGACTGAAGACAGATACTCCGTAACCAGCGTGTTTGATTGATACCACCACATTTGAGATCAGTCTGGCTTGTGCTACGTACCTTTGCTGTCCTTCTATCCAGTTGGGATATTGACGGCTGTCGTCGTCAAAGATTGGTTCTGCATGACTTTCTTTGACATCGGTGGCTAAGCATTTTTTGCTTCAAACTTGTTGAACGCGTTTTCCGCAACTGAGCATTTGATTCGAAGCAGACGAAACCGACAAAAGTGCAAGGTTACATGTAGTACATCCAAATTATTGTCTTTCACATTTATCAATCTACCTGTCAAACATTAAGGTATTAATTCACTCAAACGAAACAAAAAGACTGTAAAACTTAAATGCCGAGGCTGACGGATAAATCCGCGAGGCTGTTAGGTAAGCCGACGAGCATACCCTCGAACGACGTGGTCACATCGATGCCCGAGAATGTCCAGTTCGACACCACCTTGGGGTTGGTTTTGATGTCAAACAGATTTTTAGCTGTACCAGTAAGACCCGACACAGTAACACCAGTGATCGTAACCTGACTGGTGGGAGCACCCGTGTAGCCGCCCTTGGCCTTGCTGTAATCCGAGCGGATAACAATGGCGTTCTTCACATTTATGAGCTCGTTATCGACGTACATCACATCACTGACCAGACCCTTAAGACCAATGATGGTCTTGATACGGAGACCGTTATCACTGTCGATAATAGTGTTGCCCTCGACACGTAGACCCTGAACCGTTGTAGATTCGTCAACGGAATTGCCACCGAGAGATCCGACTGAAATACCGTGACTGCCAGTGCAACGATTGTTGCTGAAGATGGTGTTAGTGCTGGACTGCATCGCAAGACAATCGTCTTGGTTGTAAATCGTATTATCTGTAATCGTGACATGATCGTTCTTGGTCAAGCCAAAACCATCCGTGTTCTTGGCGATTCCATTACCAGCTCTAGAGTCAATCGTGAGACCAGAGAGAATCGTGTTCTTGCAGGTGACGAGGCTGAACGTACGGAAGGGCATGTTCTTGATGGTGAACCCAGACACTTTTGAGTTGATGACGTTTTGCAATCGGATGAAGACCGGACGAATGATCGACTGGCCTTGTTTCCAGTACCAGGCTCCTTGACCTTCAAGGATACCAGAGCCCTTAATAGTGAGTTCAGTTCCTCCAACCAGAACAAGTGGTCCGGCCCACTTTTCCGTCCCAAAAGTGGTGGTGCCCCTAAACTCAATGATAGCACCCTTCTTAGCTTTGCTTAGGTCTAATGTGACACCGGCTGGCACACTCAGTGAATTGACAGTGATTGAACTGCAGGACGAGATATCAGTACCCTTTTTGTATGTACCAGTTAGATTGCAACCATTGCTGGTGGTGGAGTTGCTCGGCTGCTCCACCGAATATTGCTCTTCGGTGTTCTTCTTGTCTTTGCTCTTTCCTTCAGCTTCCATGCGCAACATGGATGAGCCGTTGGTGGTAGCAACAAGGAGTGCGAAGGCAGAGAGTGCAGTGGAAAAAAACTTCATCGTCAAGTGTTTTGTAGTGAAATGAGTCGATTGTGCTTGGCGGCGGTAGTTGAAGAGTGAGAATCCCTAGACCAACTCGAATCGAGAGGCGATACTTGTGCTCCTCATTAAGGGGGCATCTGTCCGCCTCTATAGGCAGCAGCTATCAGCTTGTAGCGCTTCAAACTTTGTAGTAACTTTCATTGGACAGATAGCAATCTCCATCTGGCTGTGCTCACAAACAGCTTTTCTTCGAGAAATGTTGAATATGTTTGCATCAAAACCCTTCAATAACCGACTTCTTAAGCCAAGAACGAATACAAGTTAACGTTAATGATAATGTCTCGGTTGCGACTCGAAACAAATGTTAATGGCAAACCAAGCAGCTGGAGTTCTGTCAACAGCTTATGGCAGCAAAGCGCCGCAGCTATAGGTTATTGCGAGCTGTAAGCTTTGTGAGTTGTGCAGAGCTGACTGTATGAATACAACACGACAACTGAATACTGTAATGCGTCTGTACCTTTGTTTTAGGAGAGCCGCTCCAAAGCTATTCTTGATGCATCCAGCACTCAGTCTCAATCCTCGAAGTAAGAACTATAGGTCATGTATGATGACGGACAAGACAAGGCAATCACCTCGCTAATCTGCCATCCTGCCGCGCTTGATACTTCTTTTTCGAGACCGAGTTTCGATGTATTCGAAAGAAATGTTAGATAACCTCATCATCTTAGCACACATGGAACTGGACGAAGCCAGGGAGTCCTGATCGGAGCATTGACACCTGTTGGGTATAAAACGCCATGTCGACCATGTCAAAACGACTAGAGAACGAACTCTAAGAGAACGATATCACGAAGGATATGTGCGAGTCGACAGCCACCTACCAGAAGGTTATTAAGAATTAGTCAGAAATGAAATTGTACCGCCGGCCACGAAACAATCGTTACGTGAATATCTGTATCGTCCCTTGTATTACATGAATACTTCAGTGCTGCTTAGCAGTTCTAACGTCAGTTGTTTGACCGACACGGGTTTCGGGACTCACTGTAAGCAGTGACACCATCGCGAACGTATTTGCACCACAAATCGACGTTTACCGTAGGCATTCCTACGGATACCGTATTGCTACGGATACCAAGTACTCCAGTAACAAGCTGTCAATTGTAAGGAGTGTTATTGTAATCCAATCGAACTACCGAAGTCCCGACGGCAAAATGCAGTGCATCTTTTTTTACTAGCGAGATCACTATCGCATTATCAGGTGTTTCGGTACTGGACCAGCCTCTAAATCATCGTGGCGTGTGGAGGCATTACTAAATGCGTCTGAGAACGCATTTTGATTCGTTGTGTCAGTCAACGTGTCGTGTATATATCGATTCTTAAGCACAACTCAGTGCTGGTGACACGAATGCCGAATGATGCCAATGGTTTGCCATTCTGTGCTTTTGAACTGGGCGGTACGACATGACAATGTTATATTAACACTTTTGATGGCGTGTTGACATCTGGTTTTGATTAGCTGCTCCAAGTAATGCATTGATGATGGTTCTTCATTGTTAATGCCCTACGTGCTACCAATGAGTGTTCCTCGTCAACTACTGGTGTCATACTGGACAACGATGAAACGTCTTTCGGGCTCCTAGCCAACAGAGCATGCTCGGTTTCTTTGTATCCGTAAGCGACAATGCATATGTTGCTCAGGATGATCCATAGGCGTCGCCATACGTCGACCTATGCGGCCGCCTCGTCGGGGTAAGCCCGGTTGAGCTGTTTACAGACCACCGTGGATACTCTGGTCAACGTTCCAGCAGGCCAATCTGACCATAGGAGGCAGCGTTCAGGAGTTTCGGGAAACCGGCATGCGACAACTCCGTGCAATCGGTAAACGCGAAAGCCGACGTGCAGAAATGTCCATCAATGGCACACGACTGCTACTCTGCCAACGCATCATAGCACGGCAACCCCAAGAGCCGTCACCGCAGGTGACTAGCCCCATACAACCACCGGGCTTGATCGAGAAACCGGCGTTGCTAACCAGGTTTAGGATCTACTAGGCATCTTGCAAATCATAACTACGCTTAATCGAATTGTCTGTATCTCTTTCATCTACAACTTGTGTCATTGCCAAATTATTCATCGTCCAGAACCAGCCAGTCAGTCTCAGCTCTCTATACGGGCAACCCCTCGGCGGGAATCCTCCCTTTTAGAGCCTAAGCGGGTGGGGTTTTGTCTCGGGCATGATGCGCTCGCTGCCACTGGTTGCGAACGCGGGAGGCAAGCGGGGGGGGGTTAGTACATCTGGGGTCTTCCCCTGCGCCACGCGTAACCGCTTCGACACACGCCAAGGGATTGCGCAAGCGGTCCATCAGGGAAGGTTAAACTAGTGACGGAGACGCGTCACCATTCGGCAACGTACAAGTCAACTGAAGCAATCGCGCAAGCGGTGAATGAGGTGGTTCCCCCGCGGCATATGTTGGCACTACGGCGTCTGCGCACTTTAAGTAAACTGACCGCCCGAGCGGCCGTATAAAAAAACTATGTAAATGATGAAACATGTCTAGTATGATGCCCCAAGACAATACCAGGAGCGCCATGGCGAGCCCCGTACAACTACCATACTAGATAGAGCATCGGCGTTGCCGTCCAGGCTTGGAAACTATCAGATATCTCGCTTCTTTATAACGGTTAAGTAGACAGGTCTGTTTCTCTTTCTATCTGCAAAACAAAATACGCTGCCGAACCTGCATGATACCCATCACCACATTGTAATCTTTTGGTAACCAGTACACGTAAACCGTACGCGACATCTATTCACCGGATGCTCTGGTGGATGCAAGCCACACCGAACGTCCGTTTTCCAACGTAACCGACTCGTCATGAACACCATGCTCATCATGCACACTTGCAGCGTACCTTGATCTAGCACCCTTATAACTGCACTACTTGTACTAGACAATCTACACTAAATCGGATTGATGCTGATACCGAATTTATATTAAACGCAATGTGCTGCGTTCAATTAGCGGTCGCTATGCTTCAATGTCGGAATACATATTTCGTTTCTTTGCAGTTATATGGTTGGCATGTAAACGTCAGGCTTCAACTTTTGTCCGTAATAGCTTGTTGAACAAGTCATTTGCCAAAGCAGCTGGAAAGCATCGTCAAACTTTACCATGACCGTCATCTACGTGCAGAAAAAAACACAAGAAACGTACATGCTTCGAAGTTCGAAGAGGTTTGTGCTCTAGTGTTTGTATTGGATGATGTGTGGCTTGCAGTAAACTTCGTGTATCCCAATGATGAGTGTGCCATGACAAAAAGAACCTTTCATTTTCTTAGATATGGAGATCACGAATTCAACACGTTTCGTAGCTGCCCCGGGATGGACAAATCTGTATGCTTTTTGTCTGCTCACGGTTGGACTCGTCAAATCCTGTGATAGTGGCTATCACCCGCTTGGACAATCTATGTTATTGCGTCCATTACGCCAACGAAAGATCAAGGCAAAATATGTCAGGCCGGTCCCGTAATGTGACATCCACGTCCGTTTTCACCGCACGTTGACTGTTTTTTCAACACTACATGCACTGTACACTGATAATAAGAGATGAACAGACTGTCTATTTCAACATTTTGAGGTTGACAAGACGCCTGATTTCCCCAAGTGAAGCAAATGAAGCGAACAACGCCGGGGACGAGGTGGGTCCACAGGTTGTTCGCAACAGTGGGCGTCTCTTGGGCTTGCCCGTTGATCTGAAGTGAACGAGCACGTTCAAGCCCCACCACAGTGGATGTTTCTTCGGTGTATCGGTCGATGCTGCTTGGCATCAATACAACGGCGCGTGTCGCGAGTCAATGTTACCTTGGTCACCGCTTACGCTGCCCGGAAACTTACTTGTGCGACCACGGAGAGAAGACGCGCGGCGTGAAGCGGTAACGCCACCACCAGCCGAGAAACTTTCCCTGGCCGACCACCTGATCGACCAGTGGCTGCACAAGAGACATGTGAGATATCCTTCCTAACCCACTTCGGCTCCCGTGAGATGAATTATCACCGTAATGGGAAGGTTCTCGAGAGGAGGAGGGGTTGAGGCGTGGGTTGGCTGAAGCTTGCTTCCAATATTTGGGAACAGCACTGGTAAAGAGTGTGTCAATCATGTACGGAAGCCTCGATATCCAGCGGACCACTTTGCGCTCACTTTGCAATTTCCTGCCATCCCAACACCAACTAAACAACCCAGCCAAAGTTGCATCATCCATATGAAGCTCTTTGTCACCACATTCCTTACTCTGGTATCCTTTGCCGCCGTCGCTAATGGTGCATCCATGATCCGTCAGGAAGCCGAAGCAGGAGCCCCCCTGCCAACTTACTGGCACTTACAAAGCTGGCACAGACATCTCCTCTTGCGATACAATCACCGTTGGGCCTCTCACTGTACCTGGTAAAGTGGTGCTGGATCTAAGCAGAGCCAAGACCGGTGCAACCATTAACTTCGTCGACACCACGACGTTTGGTACAGCGAAATGGACCGGGCCACTTGTCTGGATTAGCGGAAACCATCTCACTGTCAAAGGGTCCGGCACTCTAGACGGCCAGGGCGCATGGTACTGGCGTCAGGGCACATCGATACTTCGCCCGATCTTTTTCCGAATGGCGACCGTCTTGGACTCGACTATCTCGGGCTTTACGATCAAGAACTCCCCGTTTCACACATTCAGCATCGTCGACTGCAAGAGAACGACTCTCAGTGGGCTCACACTCGACTCTAGTGATGGCCACGGAATCGACAAGAACACCGATGGCTTCGACTTGGCAAGTAATGAGTATGTGACCATCAAAAATAACAATATATTCAACCATGACGACTGTATTGCTGTGACGTCTGGCATTCACACTATTTTCAGCGGAAATGAATGCACTGAAAGTCACGGTATCTCGATCGGCTCCGTTGGTGGTAATTTGGTTGACGATAGCACGACGGTATCCGACTTCGTCGCTCAGGACAACACCATTACCAACAGCTTGAATGGCCTCCGCATCAAAGCAGTGGCGGACCTGAAGGGAATGGTGGACAATGTGAAGTTCATTAACAATCATCTCGAGAACGTGAAGAATGCCATCGCCATCCATTCAAACTATAACAGAGCGACTGGAGGCTACAGTGGCAATCCCACTAGTATGGTGACAATCTCCAAGATCAAGGTGGACGGACTCTCGGGCTCGGCAAGCCAGGTGTACGATATCTTTGTTAACCCGAACATGGTTTCGATGTGGACGTTCACGGGTATCACTGTGACGGGCGCGAAGGGTACTTGCACTGGCCAACCAACTGGCATCTGTTGAGATGCCGTTTTGAGGGAAAAAGAAGCTCCTAGTCCCATTATCAAAGAGCATAGTGGCTTAGTAGGTTGCTTCTCTTGATTTCATGTACTTGTTAGCTAGAAACATTTAGTAAAAATGATTTTTGCATCACTGACAAATATACTTCTCTTGCACTTAAAACAAAATCTACACAAGCACATGTAATGTAACTAAATGCCTTTGGACCTGAGCTGTATATACTTGGTAGCTACGCACGTCATGGAGCTACACATGCCGTCTTGGACGGTTGCTTCCATCGTATCAATTCGAACTTCCAGCCCCAACATTGGCCACGAGGTCATACACATTTGTGGCTGTATCTCACAAACCGATTTTTTGGTCACACTCTTGACCGTCGCATTAATGGTGGCATTGGCTGATTGTGTCGTTCACACGTAGCAATTGGTCGAGAAACGCAATCGACTTTCGGTCAGGTAATACGAAGATCGCTAAGCTAAGAGTCATTCAGTATCGCAAACTTCAGCAATCTTTTTTGCTCCTTTTTTATCTTGTGACGAAAGCGTACACTAAATTGTCCTCTTAAGGCGCTAAGGTGCAGCCTGAACGTTACAACGTTGGAAACGCGCATGTGCAGCTCGAAACAAGCCGTCCTCCTCTTCCTATATCCGACGGATGGTAGTCCAACGGCACCCTGTGGAACCGGGGTGGCTTTGCTGCCGATTGAGCTTAATGCTTGACACTCCTCTGTACGATCACGACCACGAATCTACAATCAATGACGGCGATTCGATGAATGTAACAAAAAGGGCAGTCGCCTACTGAAGTTAGTTACCTTCACGCATGCCGCTTGACTTCGATGCCAAGATATGACGTGGTCGTGTCGTGCGGAAGAATATTTGCAAATAGTCGCCACTTCGCAGTTGCTTCTATCGTAGCTTTACACGTGGACGTAATGCAGTGATAGCTTGTCGTCGACACATCGAAGCAATCGAACCATCCAACAACATGAAACAAACAACTAGTTGCGCATTTCCTACCTTTGGATCATTCATTAATCACAATACTCTTTCAATTTTCTTTACGTGGTTGTTAAAGTCATGCTAAACCACTCGTTACACCACTGCGCCCAAAAGAGTAACTGATAAAGAGAAAATTCTGTAACCCAGCGTGAATTAGTTAAAATTGGTGGATCTCGAGGTGTGCATAATCGTGGTGAGTATACGATGGACGATGCTTATGTACCTTCATGTAAATTTTGCAAGGACCAGTGCACATGTGGATTCAATACTGATGAATGTCAAGATAAAATGAAGAGTTTTGATACACCGTTCACCTATCTCAGAAATAAGCTTTCGATAAATGTGAAAGTGTTGGATTTGAAAATGCTAGAGTTATGGAGGTACAAATCGAGAATCTAACGGCAGGCGATATTTGCACTGTTGACTAGTGAATACCACTGCCTCTGCAATGAAAAAAAGGTTGGACAGAACCAAGGAGACTATATGGGGTATCCATACCTGTATGATGAACGTAACAAATATGACGATGAGGAGATTTGAGAACAAGTGGTTTTTGCAGTGAATGGACGTTACGACGGTCGAGATGTGACCAAAAAATCGGTTTGTGAGATACAGCCACAAATGTGTATGACCTCGTGGCCAATGTTGGGGCTGGAAGTTCGAATTGATACGATGGAAGCAACCGTCCAAGACGGCATGTGTAGCTCCATGACGTGCGTAGCTACCAAGTATATACAGCTCAGGCCCAAAGGCATTTAGTTACATTACATGTGCTTGTGTAGATTTTGTTTTAAGTGCAAGAGAAGTATATTTGTCAGTGATGCAAAAATCATTTTTACTAAATGTTTCTAGCTAACAAGTACATGAAATCAAGAGAAGCAACCTACTAAGCCACTATGCTCTTTGATAATGGGACTAGGAGCTTCTTTTTCCCTCAAAACGGCATCTCAACAGATGCCAGTTGGTTGGCCAGTGCAAGTACCCTTCGCGCCCGTCACAGTGATACCCGTGAACGTCCACATCGAAACCATGTTCGGGTTAACAACGATATCGTACACCTGGCTTGCCGAGCCCGAGAGTCCGTCCACCTTGATCTCGGAGATTGTCACCCTTTAGAAGAAAAAAATGCCTAGTGAGATTGCCACTGTAGCCTCCAGTCGCTCTGTTATAGTTTGAATGGATGGAGATGGCATTCTTCACGTTCTCGAGATGATTGTTAATGAACTTCACATTGTCCACCATTCCCTTCAGGTCCGCCACTGCTTTGATGCGGAGGCCATTCAAGCTGTTGGTAATGGTGTTGTCCTGAGCGACGAAGTCGGATACCGTCGTGCTATCGTCAACCAAATTACCACCAACGGAGCCGATCGAGATACCGTGACTTTCAGTGCATTCATTTCCGCTGAAAATAGTGTGAATGCCAGACGTCACAGCAATACAGTCGTCATGGTTGAATATATTGTTATCTATGATGGTCACATACTCATTACTTGCCAAGTCGAAGCCATCGGTGTTCTTGTCGATTCCGTGGCCATCACTAGAGTCGAGTGTGAGCCCACTGAGAGTCGTTCTCTTGCAGTCGACGATGCTGAATGTGTGAAACGGGGAGTTCTTGATCGTAAAGCCCGAGATAGTCGAGTCCAAGACGGTCGCCATTCGGAAAAAAGATCGGGCGAAGTATCGATGTGCCCTGACGCCAGTACCATGCGCCCTGGCCGTCTAGAGTTTGCCGGAACCTTTGAAGTGAGATGGTTTCCGCTAATCCAGACAAGTGGCCCGGTCCATTTCGCTGTACCAAACGTCGTGGTGCCGACGAAGTTAATGGTTGCACCGGTCTTGGCTCTGCTTAGATCCAGCATCACTTTACCAGGTACAGTGAGAGGCCCAACGGTGATTGTATCGCAAGAGAAGATGTCTGTGCCAGCTTGGTAAGTGCCAGTAAGTTGGCAGGGGGGCTCCTGCTTCGGCTTCCTGTCGGATCATGGATGCACCATTAGCGACGGCGGCAAAGGATACCAGAGTAATGAATGTGGTGACAAAGAGGTTCATGTGGATGATGCAATTTTGGCTGGGTTGTTTAGTTGGTGTTGGGATGGCAGGAAATGGCAAAGTGAGCGCAAAGTGGTCCGCTGGATATCGAGGCTTCCGTACATGATTGACACACTCTTTACCAGTGCTGTTCCCAAATATTGGAAGCAAGCTTCAGCCAACCCACGCCTCAACCCCTCCTCCTCTCGAGAACCTTTCCATGTCGGTGAGAATCCACCTCACGGGAGCCGAAGTGGGTTAGGCCGAAGTGGGTTAGGATATCTCACATAGGATATCTCACATGCCTCTTGTGCAGCCACTGGTCGATCAGGTGGTCGACCAGGGAAAGTTTCTCGGCTGGTGGTAGCGTTACCGCTTCACGCCGCGCGTCTTCTCTCCGTGGTCGCACAAGTAAGTTTCCGGGCAGCGTAAGCGGTGACCAAGGTAACATCGACTCGCGACACGCGCCGTTGTATTGATGCCAAGCAACATCGACAGATACACCGAAGAAACATCCACTGTGGTGGGGCTTGAACGTGCTCGCTCACTTCAGATCAATGGGCAAGCCCAAGAGACGCCCACTGTTGCGAACAACCTGTGACCTACCTCGTCCCCGGCGTTATTCGCTTCATTTGCTTCACTTGGGGAAATCAGGCGTCTTGTCAACCTCAAAATGTTGAAATAGACAGTCTGTTCATCTCTTATTATCAGTGTACAGTGCATGTAGTGTTGAAATGAGTCAACGTGCGGTGAAAACGGACGTGGATGTCACATTACGGGACCGGCCTGACATATTTTGCCTTGATCTTTCGTTGGCGTAATGGACGCAATAACATAGATTGTCCAAGCGGGTAATAGTCACTATCACAGGATTTGACGAGTCCAACCGTGAGTAGACAAAAAGCATACAGATTGGTCCATCCGGGGGCAGCTACGGAACGTGTTGAATTCGTGATCTCCATATCTAAGAAAATGAAAGGTTCTTTTTGTCATGGCAAACTCATCAATGGGAAACACGAAGTTTACTGCAAGCCACACATCATCCAATACAAACACTAGAGCACAAACCTCTTCGAACTTCGAAGCATGTACGTTTCTTGTGTTTTTTTCTGCACGTAAATGACGGTCATGGTGAAGTTTGACGATGCTTTTCCAGCTGCTTTGGCAAATGACGTGTTCAACAAGCTATTACGGACGAAAGTTGAAGCCTGACGTTTACATGCCAACCATATAACTGCAAAGAAACGAAATACATATTATATCGACGAAGTGGACCGAGTCGTGCACATGCATGCATGCAGGTTTAAGCGGTAAACTGTTACTACATGCATGCATGTGCACGACTCAGTCCACTTCAATTTTCACATGTTATACGAATACAATCTTACAGACAACTCAGCAACATTAAAGTTGCGACGTGCTCTAGATCTCCGAGATGCATATCACTTGTTACCAAAAGTAATACATGAACCCGCTAGCAGACGAAGTGTGTAAGAGTCGCGAACTTACGCAAGAAGGTGTTTGCTAGCCAGTCGGCATCGAAATCTAGCGACCATAAAAAGAAACACACTTCCCAAGTCCGGCAGGGGCGTTGGGTTAGTCTCCATTCCGGTCGCGACCAAAACATAGCGACAGAAGCAGGCCTTGCAATGGCTAATGCGTCCGGTCGGATCAATACACATGGCGTGGATCATATGGACGACGAGGCAGGGTGGATCAACGTCACACCCCGGTATCCGCGAAGAACCTATCACATGAAGAACTGTCGCGCTAGCGAATATGTGTTGAAAACCCCTCTTGCACCGTTGGCAAACAACTACGGTCCGGCGCCGAACAATCTGTATTTCTGCCAATTTGAAGCAGCCACCGAGATCTGGTGGAAAGATCCCTGCAGGAATCTATCTCTTCGCAAGCGTTGAGGATCATTCATGAGTGGGTGCTCTCCAAACGTTCTTCGGCACATTTCGTGGGGAAACAACTCGTGGAATTTGGGCCCAGACCTTGCTGAGCTGCGGTCGCATCATTAGAACCAGGTTCCCGAGCGCCCCCCCACCCAAATTAAATAGATTTGACATCACGCAAACGGAAGGGCGGAACACGCTTTTGCGTTCCCGCCACCTCCACTCCCACCACGCCACTCGCCACTCAGCTCACGCTGCTGGGCGATTGCTGCCCTTCCGTACTCGCCGCATCTGGATACGGGGACGTCTCTTAAAGCCGGCGTAATCACGCTTAGGCAGCTCTGCCGTTTATGCATGCTTTATGTGGCGGGACACCACCCAGACGAGATTGAAGGGAGCCTAGAAGGACCTAGGCAGACCTGGTCGTCCGCGACATCCCCCTGCCGCCCGACGCAGACAAGCACTGAGTCTCACTGGAAAATTTTGATGAGGACATAACTTCGTTGGAGGTGGAGACCGACAAACCCCATGGCGTTATAGCCGCAATCTAAGAAAGCTTTGACTCGTCTTCGAAGTACACCTTAGCATCCACAGGTTTTCTTGGGCCGCAACCCAGATAGTTCCGAACGGATAGCATGTTGGTCTACCTTAAACAGGACTTTGGTCACCTATCACACACCGTCTTGCAACTAATGTTGCAGAAAATAGCTGGCAGCACGACCTCATGGACCAGTAACGCCAGATCCTGTGGGATCATCTGCACGCCCTGATGGATTATCAAGTTTGGATTGCATACCGGATTGCTACGTACCAACTTAACTCCTCTTAAATTGGCCGGCCTCCCACAAACATGTCCCTCCAGGAACCCGCGCCCCACCGGGATCCGGTGCGCTGGCAATTGGAAAGCCTACGAGCAACACTTTTGGGATTGTCCGTTTTCTCAGTGACTTGGTCACAGCTCATCAGCCGCTTAAAGGCACTAAGGTGCAGCCTGAACGTTACAACGTTGGAAACGCGCATGTGCAGCTCAAACCGAGCCGCTATCCTCTTCCTATATCCGACGGATGGTAGCCCAACGGCACCCTGACGAACTAGATGGCTTTGCTGCTGATTGGAATGGACGCTCCTCTGTACGATCGCGACCGCGAGTCTCCGACCAACCACGTAATTCGTGTCTTCCGCGGCGATCAGATGATGGTACAGTAAGGGGCAGTGGCTAACTAGGTTGAGGTGTCCGAACCAGACTTAACCTCCGCAAAGTGGACGATGTCACCCGCGGCGACCCTTTTTCTCGCGTGCAACGAAATGCTCACCTACTCACGCGAGAGACCACGGAACTCCATGACGAGTGCCCTGACACAAAGTCGTGCCGTTCGACGCCGGAGTTTTTATTTCGGCTATGGACATACCGGGAATCTTGTACTAGATAGACAGTGAATATATATATATTTTCAAACTCTATCTCTCCAAATGACGAACACTTCTAGGTAAAACGTAGGACATTAACAATGAAGGACCATCATCAATGCATTACTTGGAGCAAATTGTCAACACTTTTGATGGCGTGTTGGCATCTGGTTTTGATATGACATTGTCATGTTGTACCACCCAGCTCAGAGCACAGAATGGCAACCCATTTTGTTGGTATCATTTGGTTTCCGCGTCGCCCGTTACTAAGTCGTGCATAAGAATCAATATACATGATACGTGGACGGACACAAAGTGTCAAAATATGTAGTCTTAGGCTCTGGCAAAATGTTGCTTGCTGATCGCTACGCGACCCCGATGCATTCAGTAATGCCTGCACACGACAAACATCACCTCGATGTAGAGGCTGGTCCAGTACCGAAACACCTGATAATGCGATAGTGATCTCGCTAGTAAAAAAAGATGCACTGCATTTTGCCGTCGGGACTTCGGTAGTTCGATTGGATTACAATAACACTCCTTACAATTGACAGCTTGTTACTGGAGTACTTGGTATCCGTAGCAATACGGTATCCGTAGGAATGCTATGATTCGGTAAACGTCGATTTGTGGTGCAAATACGTTCGCGATGGTGTCACTGCTTACAGTGAGTCCCGAAACCCGTGTCGGTCAAACAACTGACGTTAGAACTGCTAAGCAGCACTGAAGTATTCATGTAATACAAGGGACGATACAGATATTCACGTAACGATTGTTTCGTGGCCGGCGGTACAATTTCATTTCTGACTAATTCTTAATAACCTTCTGGTAGGTGGCTGTCGACTCGCACATATCCTTCGTGATATCGTTCTCTTAGAGTTCGTTCTCTAGTCGTTTTGACATGGTCGACATGGCGTTTTATACCCAACAGGTGTCAATGCATCCGATCAGGACTCCCTGGCTTCGTCCAGTTCCATGTGTGCTAAGATGATGAGGTTATCTAACATTTCTTTCGAATACATCGAAACTCGGTCTCGAAAAAGAAGTATCAAGCGCGGCAGGATGGCAGATTAGCGAGGTGATTGCCTTGTCTTGTCCGTCATCATACATGACCTATAGTTCTTACTTCGAGGATTGAGACTGAGTGCTGGATGCATCAAAAATAGCTTTGGAGCGGCTCTCCTAAAACAAAGGTACAGACGCATTACAGTATTCAGTTGTCGTGTTGTATTCATACAGTCAGCTCTGCACAACTCACAAAGCTCACAGCTTGCAATAACCTATAGCTGCGGCGCTTTGCTGCCATAAGCTGTTGACAGAACTCCAGCTGCTTGGTTTGCCATTAACATTTGTTTCGGGTCGCAACCGAGACATTATCATTAACGTTAACTTGTATTCGTTCTTGGCTTAAGAAGTCGGTTATTGAAGGGTTTTGATGCAAACATATTCAACATTTCTCGAAGAAAAGCTGTTTGTGAGCACAGCCAGATGGAGATTGCTATCTGTCCAATGAAAGTTACCACAAAGTTTGAAGCGCTACAAGCTGATAGCTGCTGCCTATAGAGGCGGACAGATGCCCCCTTAATGAGGAGCACAAGTATCGCCTCTCGATTCGAGTTGGTCTAGGGATTCTCACTCTTCAACTACCGCCGCCAAGCACAATCGACTCATTTCACTACAAAACACTTGACGATGAAGTTTTTTTCCACTGCACTCTCTGCCTTCGCACTCCTTGTTGCTACCACCAACGGCTCATCCATGTTGCGCATGGAAGCTGAAGGAAAGAGCAAAGACAAGAAGAACACCGAAGAGCAATATTCGGTGGAGCAGCCGAGCAACTCCACCACCAGCAATGGTTGCAATCTAACTGGTACATACAAAAAGGGTACTGATATCTCGTCCTGCAGTTCAATCACTGTCAATTCACTGAGTGTGCCAGCCGGTGTCACATTAGACCTAAGCAAAGCTAAGAAGGGTGCTATCATTGAGTTTAGGGGCACCACCACTTTTGGGACGGAAAAGTGGGCCGGACCACTTGTTCTGGTTGGAGGAACTGAACTCACTATTAAGGGCTCTGGTATCCTTGAAGGTCAAGGAGCCTGGTACTGGAAACAAGGCCAGTCGATCATTCGTCCGGTCTTCATCCGATTGCAAAACGTCATCAACTCAAAAGTGTCTGGGTTCACCATCAAGAACATGCCCTTCCGTACGTTCAGCCTCGTCACCTGCAAGAACACGATTCTCTCTGGTCTCACGATTGACTCTAGAGCTGGTAATGGAATCGCCAAGAACACGGATGGTTTTGGCTTGACCAAGAACGATCATGTCACGATTACAGATAATACGATTTACAACCAAGACGATTGTCTTGCGATGCAGTCCAGCACTAACACCATCTTCAGCAACAATCGTTGCACTGGCAGTCACGGTATTTCAGTCGGATCTCTCGGTGGCAATTCCGTTGACGAATCTACAACGGTTCAGGGTCTACGTGTCGAGGGCAACACTATTATCGACAGTGATAACGGTCTCCGTATCAAGACCATCATTGGTCTTAAGGGTCTGGTCAGTGATGTGATGTACGTCGATAACGAGCTCATAAATGTGAAGAACGCCATTGTTATCCGCTCGGATTACAGCAAGGCCAAGGGCGGCTACACGGGTGCTCCCACCAGTCAGGTTACGATCACTGGTGTTACTGTGTCGGGTCTTACTGGTACAGCTAAAAATCTGTTTGACATCAAAACCAACCCCAAGGTGGTGTCGAACTGGGCATTCTCGGGCATCGATGTGACCACGTCGTTCAAGGGTATGCTCGTCGGCTTTCCTAACAGCCTCGCGGATTTATCCGTCAGCCTCGGCATTTAAGTTTTACAGTCTTTTTGTTTCGTTTGAGTGAATTAATACCTTAATGTTTGACAGGTAGATTGATAAATGTGAAAGACAATAATTTGGATGTACTACATGTAACATTGCACTTTGTGCTTCGAATCAAATGCTCAGTTGCTGTAGTGACTGGGAAACGCGTTCAACAAGTTTGAAGCAAAAAATGCTTAGCCACCGATGTCAAAGAAAGTCATGCAGAACCAATCTTTAACGACGACAGCCGTCAATATCCCAACTGGATAGAAGGGTAACAGAGTGCGTCCTCGACCAAGCTCCCCGCATAGAGACACATGGTACCGTTCGGCTACCAAGTGTCTGATGCGGGGGGCTTGGTATGAGACGCCACGCGCCCGGGATGTATCCATTTGCCTTCCCACTGGCTGATGAGCGCGCTCAGTACCTCCAAGAAAAGAGCATTTCTAGAAGAGATGCTCGTACGTGTCCTCCCGCCATCGCATCTCGTCTCGGAGGAGCACGGGTTCCCCGTTGGCCGACCCGTGTAATGTAAGTTGAGTTGGTGCGTCGCTATTCGATACGCAGTCCATACTTGATAACTGTGGGGTCATGCTGACGAGACCGCAGATTCTGGGGCGGTTTGTCCGTGAGGTCGTACTGCCAGCTCTCCGCTACCGATTTTGAGGTAAGACGTTCAGTCATAACAATCACATGTCTGCTGAAGTTTGATTTGCTATGTGTATATGCTACTCAGTCGTGATAAGCCAACAGTTTTGCTGGGCTGGACTTTACCTTGGCGCGCGACCTAAAGAAAATCCGTGGATTCGCGGATGGTATTGTCTGCTGTCCTGCAGAGTGAGGCGATAAGCAGAGATAATTCGTCGGTCTCTACCTATTGCCCCCGTCAAAATTCCAGTGAATGCCTGTGCTGTTCTGGTCAGATAGCACGGTGCATGTGTGACCTAATTCCTGCCGGGCGCCCTCTAATCACGCCTAGGTTGGTGATCCGACACCGGAAGGCATGCGTAAACGCGGTGGCTTTCATAGTGTTAAACCACGAGCCGTGCCGTGATCATCAGTTGTCTCAGGACCTTGCAGCTTATTGAACAAGGCTAGCATATGTCGTCGATCGGCCACTAATTCAATGAAAGCAAGCTAACGTAACGACAAGAGATGAGCGAGGCAGAGCAATATGAACCGACACAGTACGAAATGACAACATGCCGAGACAACTATAAGTGACTCAAAAAACTAGTCCATGTATTAAACGACAACGTCCTACACCGTCATCTACATGTACTTCCATTGAGCTTCTAAACAGGTATCTGTTGACAAACATGTAATCCAGGTAATCTACTAAGCCATTCACTCTTCGCAATGGACCGTTAGACTTCTTCCCTCGCTTGAGACAGCATCTTAGCAGGGACCAATTAGCAGGCCCTTGCAAGAACCTGTCGTGCCCTTCACTGCGATACCCTTAAACGTCCACCCCGAAACCACGCTCGGGTTGACAACGATATCGTACACCTGTCCCGCCGATCCCGTAAGTCCGTCCACGATGATATCGGAGATTACCACTTTACTGGTGGGATAGCCATTGTAGGCTCCAGCCAATCTGTTGTAGTTTGAATGGATGGCGATAGCATTCCGCACATTCTGAAGCTTGTTATTAATGAACTTCACATTGGTCACCAGTCCCTTCATGCCTGTCACTGCTTTGATGCGGATGCCATTTGAGCTGTTGACAATGGTGTTGCCCTGAACAATAAGACCGGACACCGTTGTGGTTGGGCCAAACTCAGCGCCACCAATGGAGCCGACCGAGATACCGTGACATCCACTGCAGTAGTTGTTGCTGAAAACAGTGTAGTAGCTGGACTGCATAGCGAAACAATCGTCCTGGTTGTAAATCGTATTACTTGTGATCGTGACGTGATCGTTCTTGCTCAAGTTAAAACCATCCGTGTTCTTGGCGACTCCATCGCCAGCTCTGGAGTCAAGTGTGATCCCACTGAGAGTCGTCTGCTGAGACGTGACGATGCTGATTGTGCGGAACGGGGAGTTCTTGACCGTAAAGCCCGAGATAGTCGAGTTAACGACGTTTTGCACTTTGACGAAGACTGGCCGAGTGATCTTCGACGGGATCTGCTTCCAGTACCAGTCGCCCTGGCCGTCTAGAGTGCCGGACCCTTTGACAGTGAGATGGCTTCCGCTAATCCAGACAAGTGGCCCGGCCCACTTCGCTGTGCCAAAGGTCGTGGTGCCGACGAAGTTAATGGTTGCGCCGGTCTTGGCTCTGCTTAGATCCAGCATCACTTTACCAGGTACAGTGAGAGGCCCAACGGTGATTGTATCGCAAGAGGAGATGTCTGTGCCAGCTTTGTAAGTGCCAGTAAGTTGGCAGGGGGCTCCTGCTTCGGCTTCCTGACGGATCATGGATGCACCATTAGCGACGGCGGCAAAGGATACCAGAGTAAGGAATGCGGTGACAAATAGCTTCATGTGTCTGATGCAATTGGATTGGTGTTGGGTTGGGTTGGTGTTGAGTTGAGTTGGCAGGAAATTGTAAAGTGAGATCAAAGAGGTCAACTGGATGATTGAGCCTTTGTGAATTAATCCACTGTTTGATCATACTTGGTTCATGTAAATCTTTGAGTGTTGTGCAAAGCCTTCAGTTCAAAAGGCTTACGTCTTCTCCAAGCAAGTTGTCGAGTTGACGCGACGACATGAAAAACGTGGTGAAGATTGAGTATGGGTGAATGTACTAGAACAAACCTACCGAAATATGTCCCATACACAATCATACAGATTTCCATTTATGATCGATCACATAACAACAGCAGTACCAATCGCAACATCAACATATTTAATGAACACAAACCTCTTTGAAAATAAAAATCTCCTGCTGTGAAATGGAAGGATTGAAATGGCCATAGCCTCAGCTGTGTTGTGGATAGAGAAGCAGCTGCCGGTGCGGACATTTCCAAGCTTGACCTCCATTGTAATCCCTCGTTGGTACTCTAACGCTTCAACAGTCTTCAAATCGTCTCTACAGAATCGTATCATAGCATTATCTGTACCTGGTAAGATCACGGTGCACTGCACATGACAACGTCAATTGAAACATTTCAGCACGAACCTCGACGACATCACACGGCACGTGTACAAGTTTGGATAGGCAATAAGTTTCGGGTGCTGCAAAACCAGGTGGACGCGAATGTGGGTCGCACGTCATGTAACGTTTGTCCGAACGGTGCTGCAAAAACCGCACGCTCGGACAATCAGCGAGCGACACCACGTAGCTTGAGAGAGTCGCTAAAACGAAGCTGAGGTTCATGTGCTCCAGCTGGCAAAAACCTTAAAAGCAGCTGGTCTGGGCAGTGCAGCAGATCTGCAAAGCCGATGCAGTGTTAACATAAATAAGGATCGCTTAACGAGACGAGACGTTCAGACAGCTTAATCAATACTAAAGCTGCTTTCAAGCGTATAATCGTCGATAAGGTTTCGTCGAGACGTACATTCGTGACTGTGGAAGCACGTCAAGGCTGAATAAGGTAACCAGGTATTTGAAACGCAAATGCTGCGACTTTGCAAGTTAAACTCAGTTGAAGACAAGATTTGATCGGCACAAGACTGAAAATCGTGTTTAGTAGGTTATATGCGGAAGATGCTGCCTTTGAGCTGGTACGTAAAGAGAAGTGACTGTGAAATGATTAAGCAGATTCAACTCAACGTCGGATAATGAAGCAGAAATAGGCTACTTCAACGCGACAGGAGACAAAAGCCATTCTAAAATGATGAGAGATATCAAGGTGGTGTCGAAGATAAAGAAGGTGCACGAAGACGTTACGCTCCAGAACATGAAAGCCAAGTCCGGGTCAAAATGCGATCAAGAAAGAGTGGCAAACCATGGGGGTGAAAAACGGCTCAACGAGAAGCGCGTGTGAAATTGACTGCCGCAGATGGTGTGGACCGAATAGAGTGCAAAAGACGTGAACGAGAGCGTCAGAAGTAAAATAAGAACTGCAGACGCCAGAAGGTGGTGGCTACTATGCGAGGACACTGTGTGTCGCAAGGGCATCGGCTGCAAACTCTATGACTCACTTCATCGTTGTCGTCTAGTCAATCTTTATTGGCATGCATACCGTCATCCATGTTTGAATTGTTGCTTTATCAACAAAGACTTTGAGATCTGCATCCAGCACCTTGTATTGTATCGTTAGAACCTGCCAAGGGCTATACGACAGAAATGACTAAAACGAGCTTAAGCGAACAAAACCATCGCAGCATCGTATAAGGGACCAGCTCCTCACTTTTTTCAGCAGGTACGTCCCCAAAGTCTTCTCATCTCTTTTTTTACCATGACGCATTCGCTGGCCTCTGGATGACGACATTATATGACGCGTGCGGTTATCTGTAAAGTTTAAGCGAGCGGTCCATAGATGTAGAAACCAGAAAACTCGAGTCCTGCGCAAACTGGACGCCCGTGACTGTGGCCTTGTGGTCGCTAAACGACTTGACCACCTCCCAGTGATTCTTACTCACTTCTTTTAGCACCTGTACACTTTGTGCGCTAGCCACGGCAAAGTGTGACCCACTGGCGTCAAAGTTAATTGCGTAAATGGATCCAAGCTTCAGTTTTGGCTGCTCCTTCTTCAGACACAACTCGTAAAAGCTCGTGGCTTTGCGTAAATCCCATAGCTTCACTACACCATCCTCGCTTCCTGACGCAAGGTGGTAACCATTCTCCGAAAAGGCCAGCGTCGTAACAAGTGCAGCATGACCCTCAAAAGTTACCACATTAGACAGCGTGTTTACCGCCCACATCTGCACCAATTTACTCTTGGCAGCCGTACCAAAGATGCCGCCATCCGGATGAAAACGTGCACAACGCGTCTCGTTCGCTGCTTTCTTGGGCTTGTCCACTGCTGCATCAGGTAATGCCAGCTCACCGTTCAGGGTATAACGCGAGAGTAGCTGGCCACGACGCACATCGTGAATAGCCCATGTCGCATCCAATGATCCGGACAGCACATAGTTGCCCGTGGGATGGATCGAAGCGCTTGTTACAGCATCGTCAAAACTATCAAGCGTGTACCCCACGCCGTATCCTTCTTCCTGTGGGGTCCAGAGCTTGACCGTCTTGTCATGCGAGGCCGTGAGCACAATATCAGAGGTCGGATGGAACTCAACATGACTAAGCTTTTTACTATGGCCTGTCAACGTAGCAACAAGCTGCTGCTTGTCCGTATCAAAGACCTTGGCATGTTTATCCACTCCTCCTGTAGCCACGAGTGTCGGACGTTTGCTGTCAATGGCTACACACGTGACACCAGGTCTGTCTGAATCGTGTAAGGTGTGACTCGAGACCATTTTCCAGCCATCAAGATCGTTAAGCAATGCAGCACGTTGTGGTCCATCCTTTTTCTTAAACTCCTTGCGTTTCTTTGCCAATTCTTTCTGTTTCGCATCAACATTCGCCAGTATTTCAGGTCCAAGCGTTGCCAATGAGACTGTCATTTCAACATCTTTTGCTTCATCTACAACCGGTTGCATCAGCCGTTCCTTAAGTGTCGCATTCTCTGCATTTAATCGTGCAATCACACGACACGCTGCATCATGTTGATACAATGCATGACTTAATTCCTGTCGTGTCTGTTCTAGATGCTGTTTCAGTGTGAAAGTTTCAAGCATCACAGCATCCCATTCATTTTGAAATGTAGCTAATAACTGTGGGATACTACCAGCTTCCGGCGTTAACATAGTAGAAGGTTTAGATGATTTAGAGGAAGGGACGAGGAGAACGACTTTTTCATTTCGAGTGCTAATAAATCTCGTTCAGGATCAAGTTCTTCATTTGTCACGGGACAACGTTGTTGATTTTGTTCCAGATACTTGAGCAATAAACGTTCTTCAAAGACATGACCGGATTTAATTGAAACCACAGGCTTTTGTGGTACTTGACCACTTAGACAACAAAGCATGAGGAAGGAAGGATGACACCACTACCAAGACCTTATGGAAAAACTAAGTGGATTTAGTATTAATCAGTCGGTGACAGGAGAGGAGGGAGGGAGGGGGTTCTTTATAGTTTTAAAACGAATGGTTTTTAGGATTGTCGAGAGAAACAATCATTTCAGTACAAGGTGAATTTTAAAGAGTTGTCAGATTCTAGTTTTATGATGTGTATACAAAATAGTACTTGACGATCGTAAGAAAGAAACGATTACTATGTATTGATAGTAATAGCGTGGAATGTACGATGGTTTTTCATGTACGACGAGGACATTACTAATGCAATAAATGGACGATGGTACGTACAATTTATCGACTGTGATGAACTTGTCGAACAACAACTTTCGTGATTCCTTCTCTTTTGACGTCAAACTTTGTATGGATTACAAGGCAAACGCAGATGCGCTACTTGTAGTCAGCGATTATATGCTTTGCACCTGGTAGCTAAGTACACAATGGAGCAGAGCTAGCCGCGACATGTGCCCGTCTTGAACGCCTCAAAGTCATTTCAAAATTCCATCATCTGCCATAATATCAGGATGGCTCGTTGAAAGCACATATTCATCTTGCTACATGATCAATGCTTTGATTCTTTCAATTGATCGCTTGCCACAGATTGTACTTTGTCCATTGCCAATAGCTCCATCGGTCCTTCATTTCTTGTTCATTTGGTTGTTTTGACACATGTAGTTAAGACCGTTCGTAGCACGGGTTCTGTGACTCCATCATCTTGCTACGCAGTAAACAAATTTTCACACCAAAAGACGAGAGGAAATGTGATAGCTGTCCCTGACATGGCACCTAGTTGTGTAGCTAAGCCGTTCCATTGGTATACTTGCCGGGCAAAAGCTGTCGAGTGCTTCATTTCTGCAACACATATCAAAGGAGTCATATTCAGCACCTATAGGAGCAAAAAAGCATCGTTATATACAATTTATTACCTGCAGTGCGTTTCAGAGTAAGGTACAGCATCGTTTGCGTGTACGCACAACCAATCAGGTAGAAGGTATGAACAAGAAGCGCTGAGCGTGCCAACAAAGAATACCACTGTCAGTCTATATGCACGAGAATATTCTGCAATCGCTATAAAACACCCACGCAATAAATATCCGTGTCTGTGGTCACTGAGCACCGGCTTGGAAACAAGCGAGAACGACAGCAAAAGCGACTAGAGGCATATGCATAATTCACTCATCAAGGTTAGAAGCAACTTATAAGCACACACTATTGATCAACAGGGCACAATATCGATTAGCCATGGACTATCGTTAAACTTACCGCCAACAACACCAAAGCGAGTGTCATACTGCGAACATAATACAAGCGCACCCACCTAATCCGTACAAATAACAAAACGTCAACGTTAGCAAATAACATCAGACTTGTTTTCAATAATCCTGCTCACGTCGTGGCTGCACTGGCAAGTGGAGAGAGGATGAGAGCTGCGATACTAGCAGAAGTCTGAAAACGTGCTGTCGCTGCCTGTGCATCATCGTCCATTGGCTACATAGAGAAAATGAACACGTAAGCAATCGATGACGTAAAGTAGCGTATCAGTTTAAAAACGCACCGCAAACTTCTTGTACACATATGGCATAGTCGAGGGTAGCCATCCGAACGAGAAAGCTGCCAACACCCACTGACATGCTAGTAATGGCCACACCTGTTGCAACACTGCAGTCCTGGACATTATGCTAGAGCTTGGTGACGAAGTTGGTATTACGATTGACATGGTAGTGGTGTTTATATGACCAGAACAGTTACCGCACGAGCAGCTCCACGTAAGCAACGTGTTTTCCTCTGCTTGTTGTTTATCAGTCTCCTGGTCGTTATCGGTACTTTGCAACATCTGCACTGCTTGAGCCCATGGATGTACGTGCAAGAATGCAAATGCTACTAATGATCCACACGTGATAGCAGCTAGACAAAGAATCTCAGGAGTCAGAAGTCAGGAGTCAGGAGTCATGGGTAGTAAGTAGTAAGTATATCAAAGCAGTTGTACTTGATCCTCTCTCCATGTACGTACCACATAAAAGATAAAAGACCGAGACGGAGAATCTCCGAGTATCTCCAGGATCCTGTATAATACCTAGTAAAGCCGCTAATGATCCACTCAGTCCTTCTCCCGTAGCCAATGCAGTCGTATAAAGTGGTGGAAATGTAGCTGCAAATGGATAAAACACGACGCTGGATGTCGTACTAACCATGCCTCCTAAATGAGTAAGTAACAACATGGCTACACTATGATGCTGTCCTAGGACGGATATAGTTTGTGCCCAATAGACACTCATCAATGTAGCCACTAGGACGGCCTGCAATAGTATCCACCAAATAACTAGCGACTGGCTCATGAATTGCTCTTGTCCATTGAAAACTAGATACAAAATTGGATACAAATTGGCTGATTCAAGTGCCAGGATTGCGTAGGCTGAGATCCGGTATTGTTCGGGCAATTGTCGTAGAAAGACACCGAGCTCGATGTATGTGGCATTCGTTAGGAGCCAAGACGCTAGGCCCAAGCCTATAAAGGCTGTAAACGTTGCGATCTGCTGGTGATGGACACGGCGCTGATAATATCTAGATATTTTTATCATCCTGGTCGTCTTGGAGTGGATGTTTTGTCCAGTTTTTCAGATTTGTCTATCGTGTGTTTTCTTGTTTAAATATGACAGTAGAAAAAGAAGTCTATTGTCATAATTGTCATTTTTGTTGCGGGTTGTTAGGTTCAACGACGCGTAATTACACCATTGCTTTTACAAGTTACCTCCGCGCAACCTTCGTATTCATTGGTGCTGCTGCATCACATGATCCCACAGTTGTTTGTAGTATCGCACTCAATAATATATTGTCTTCCCAATAGTATTGTTCTAGTAAATAGTAGTAGTAGTAGTAGTAGTGAACGGGTAGTCCAAGTGACGAGTAGAAATCTAACACCATCTTTCGACCGAGGGTTCCAACCCTATGGAGAGAACCAGTCTCACCAGATCTGATGGACCCCACTTAATAACATATGACCATGAAGTAGCACCAAGAGACTGCTCTATAGTTAGAATAAATCTATTAATATATGTAACGTATGAACAACGTCCCATTCCGCTCAGAACCATGTCGCTCTTCCACAGGTGACCACCACATGGTATTTGTTTCTCATGTCCTCTCTCTCTATTACGTATTGACAATAGTCTTGTAGATGCAACTCGTACTAGTCTATTACTGTAATCTATTGACTTGTCATGGTTGACACTGCACCACAGTCAAGACGTGCTCTTAGTCGTGAGTCCTATGCATCAATATCACGAACGAGTACGTTTGCTGATTTTCTATCAGATAGTAGTGGAGATGAGGATGAGGATGATGCACACTCACGAGCAACATTGAGAATGCAGCAAGAGACAGATGATTGGGTCTTTGAGGACTCAATGGATGAAGAAATGCCATTGACGCATCATGACTTGAATCGTAGTAGTAACCGTAGCTTTCGTCTTAGTATGGCAAAACCAGGATTCTTTGACACAAACGGTGATTGTGAGAATGGATCGAGTGGCCCAAAGACGATAGTAGAGCAGGTTATGGCTAGTAAGGATGTGAAAAGTCCATTCGAAGGTGCTGTAGAAAACAAGACCTTTGGACACACACGACAAACTTTTGGGGTTGGAAAGAGTGATCGAGGTACAAACGCTGCTGCTGCTGCTGCTGAAAGTCGCACTGACTGTTACGATAGCTTTGCGTCCAGTCCGCCACGCTTTAGTGCCAATGACGATAGCTTCTTTGGTGAAGCGAAGCCTAGTTTCTCGGATGAGCACAGTCTTACAGGCGACGATAGCTTCATGACAATCGACACGAGCTTTGTGTATCGACCGAGTGTGCTGGATGACGACGATGATGTGGAAGTACCGAGCAAAGAAATGAGATTGAGTCATCATTGCTTGGCTAATCGACTATCATTGTCGAATGGATCAATTGGAACGTCGACAAACAACCATGTCAATACGACAACAGGCGCAGGTACTCACGGTAACGGTGACAGACCGGTTCAAGGTGCAGCAGACACGAATGTAGATCATGCTAACGCAACCGTAGCGACTACATTTCTGAGGCATGTGAAGCCTATTGTGTCCAGACAGTCAAGTGCAGCGTCATCATTAAGGTCGTCACATGATTTCAGTTCGCAGCAGCGGCGAACAGCAGCATCTCACGAGTCTTGTAGAATTTCGTCGTTGGACCTTTGGGAGAGCAAGCACACTTTTGACGAAGAACGTGGGCCTTCAATTGGTCAGGCACGGTCATCGCGAGCGTCTGCACAAAGCGAGCAGCAAAGTCACCGTCTTAGCAGCGCATTTGAAGAGCGCCATTCCATGATGTCTACGTCGTCAAACTCGTCCAGCTTCATATCATTCCACGACCAACCGAGTTTTTTTGTCGACGATGTTCAGCAGAACGTTCCATCTAGAAATTCACCATCATTGGACTCTCGGTCTTCGCTGGCAAATTTTGCGATTCTTGGAGATGATGCTCGTGACCCAAGTGAAAGGCGTAGTAGCGACATTATACCGCAGGACATTGGCGAATATCGCTGTAGTAGCGCCTTGGATCACAGCTATAGCGACCTCGTGGATGTCGCAGCGGGAGTCGATCATATTGTCAGCAGCGAAGTGAACCGTGAAAGATTTGATGCGGTCGACAGAAACTACAGTGGTGCAAACGTAAGCAGTAACGGCACGAGTCTAGGAAGTTCGTTATTAGCTTTATCAGCAGTGTCCCAGTCTTCAGCTGCAAGCGGTGAGCTCTCTTTCCTCTCCTTTAGCGCTGTCAAACCTACTACCTCAACAGGACCAAGCAAGCAACAAACGCAACGGGAATCAGTGAAGCAGTCTCCATTGATCACTGCGATGGGAAACTCAGACAGACAAAACGCTACTTACGAGGTTGATCAGGTATTGTACAGGTCTATCGCGCTTCCTCGTGGTAGCAACGTGAAAAGAGCTAAGCCGTCAAGGTCTTCCTCGGTAACGTCTTCCACGTACTCTACAAGCGCCACCAACTTTTCGTCCGCAGCACTTCTGGCAGCTATCAAGACACGAGACGTTCGTACGGATACCCGGGTGGAAGATTCAGAAGCGAGTGATGTGGCTCTCGGAACCTTACCTCAGCTGGCACCCCCGCTTAAAATTACTCGGGCGCGTCGAAGCCAAGGTTCGCGCTCATCGTCGCTACTATCCAATAGTAGCGCAGGGTCCTCCCCATCAATCATAGCACCGCCTTCGGCTATATCATCCAAGACAGGATTGTCTGTCGCATCTTTGACTAGTAGCGGTGATCGTCTTGATTTCACTGGAGTGTATCGCGGCTCGATCAACAGTGGGAAGTCTTCAGGTACCAATGATGTTTCGTCAAGGCCGATTCGATCTGATGGTGAGACGACGCAGCTCAGGTCACAACAAAGGTCTCTAGGTGAACGTAAGAACACGAACGAGTTTGATTGCTTGAGCGTGAAGCTGGAACGCTCTAAAAGCGACGGCCGTGCGATGCAGCGCGAAGCTCGGCGCAAAGTTGAGAACTTCTTCCGTGATACACGTCAAAGAAGTGTATATGATATTGATGAACAAGAGGTGCATCGCGCGACGAACCAGAAAACGCGCGCTCGTACGACTGTGATGATGCAGTGCGTGGACAATGTTGCGGCAGGGCGGCGAAGTTTTGCTTCTCATAGCATTAACGTGGCGAAAGTTATTGATCTCAAGAATTTGCGCAATGGCGGCAAGCGAATTGGATCGCACTTGGAATATTACGCCGTTCCTGTGACACCTCAGCAAGAGGAAGAGTCTGCTAAGCGGAGGGCAATGAGAATAACGACTGGAACGAGCAGCAAAGGCGTCACAGCGACACGATCGGATCACATTCCTATACGTCAAAACTATACGGAAAACAGCCCTCAGACTAGAGATGTCGAGACCAAGATGCACGCGCAGAACAACATGCATGCGCAGAAGTTTAAGACTGCAGCAAATACAGGTGAACGTGAACGTCGCGAGTTCTTGTCGGGACCATTGGGTCCTAAAGGGGACGATTTTAGCAGATCTAGAACGCCATCAGGACGGCGGGCTGACAATGTGTCACTCATACTTGCACAGTCAGGGTTGTCAGCAGTTGAGTCACCAGCTTTCTCTCCATCGCCTTTTGCGACATCGTTTGCAACTCCGAATACGTTAGGTAGAAGTGGTGATGCTGGATTTGGGAGTTCATCGGGGAAGTCGCCAGCAGTTTTCACTTCCAATTCAAGGAGACAGTTGTGGAAGTCTGGAAGCAGTTTCAGCGATCTAAACGAGGAAGCTGCCGATACACAGTTTGATGCTTCACGTTTGCTCTCTCAGCGATTCCAATTTGTAGACCGCGTCCAGACCATATCAGCCTCGCTGGCAAGTTCTGTGCAACGCTTCTTGCACGGCAAAACGTATCATCGGCACAATGGCAATGTAGACCTGACGTCACCGCGATCCCAGTGCACTGCTCCAACAGCACTACCTCGGGCCTATAACCACAATGGCTTTTACGAGATTCCATTCAAAGTGCCAGATCTGAATAAACCCTTGCTGCAGCGTGAAAAGCAGCATCTCGTGGAGAGTAACCGTGACTGGGTGCGACAGTGGTTGATCCTGGTGGCGTGCGTGGTGCTTGGGTTGTCTATAGGGACTATCTTGGTACGTATTGCGCCACTCAATGCTAGAATTTTCAGCTTACCAGCTACTGAAGTACATGAACGTCAAGAGAGTAATGGAGAGTTGGTGTTTTCTGGTGGTGTGCAATGGTTTTTGCTACCTGGCCGTTTGTTTGTGCGAGTATGGAGCGCATTAGGAATCCCGTTATTGATCTGCTACATTGTTAACGCACTATCAGATCTCGTGGGCTGTGCAGACAAAGCTGCACTAGTTCTGAGCTTCCGTTCGGTTGGGTATGCGATGGTGCTGGCAATGTTGGCGACATTTGAAGGAGTTCTGGCTATGTGGATGACGCACAAGTTTGGGTGGTTTAGAGGAAGTAGCAGCACGGCTAGGTCAGAGGCATCGATGCTAACTGATGCTATAGGTGTGACTCCGCTGACTGAAGGAGCTGTGGGTCTACTATGCTCAGGTGATAGCGATTACTTACGGCGTCTTGGTGACGATGTGTTTTCTTGTTCAAATACGTCGTTGTTGTTACCGCTTTATAAAGAGGTTAGCAATAACTCTGTCGATATCTCTGACAGTGGACCAGCAGTATTTGGATTGCAAGCAGTTACTCGAGTGTTTGCGACGCCAACGTCGACTATGGCGTACTACCCCGTATCACTTGGTACAGGAGGAAATATGGTTACTCTGCTGTTGCTAGCGCTAACTCCTGATACTGTGGCGGTCCGTTACACAGAGGTTGCAAGCAATGGGATCGCCCCTTTAGGTGTTCTAGTCGTGTTTGCCTTATTTTTGGGATCATTGTGCGGAAAGCGAATACTACGACTGCGGCGTGATGCTCAAGCGGCGATGTTTGAGTCGGTGGCAACAAACGATTCAGCGGATGTTCCGCATAATGCTCGCCACTACATTGTGGGCATTCTGATGGAACTGCAATTTGCCCTGGAATGGTTGGTACGACCAATGGAGCGATACTTGGCACCAGTAGGATTTTTTTCGCTCATGTTGGGGAACGTGGTGGCTCATCATCGCGAGTGGCGTTCGTTTACGTCCCCGATGTCGTCGTTGATTGTTGGTGTGCTAATATTGTTCATCCTGCATGCCACAGTGGTTCTACCGATGGTTCTCAAACAATTATCTAGCGGTCGTCATCGGCTGCCTCTACTGACAACGATGAGGTCGTTTATACCGGCATTTATGTTTGCATTCACAACCGACAATGTAGCGCTTTCAGCACCAGTCGTGATGCAGTGCTACGCTCGGGTTCTTACAGTGACTCGTTCGGCCGCGCAAGCGGCTACTGCAGTGACAGCAGCCGTCACTCGAAGTGCACGTGCATTGTATCTCCCGCTCGCGCTGCTGTGGCTACTAGAGACCTCGTCGTCCGAAGAGCTGGAATTAAATGCATCGGACTACATGTCGATCGGAATCGTGTCGATGTTGAGCTGCTTTTGCGGTGGCAGCACACGCTTAACATTGGCTATGGTACGCACATTGTGGTCAACTCAGTCGTCTAATCCTGCAAGTTCTTTGCCTGCCACGATGCCATTGCTGGTCGTGTGTGACGCGGTGCTTTCACGGTTTGCCAGTGTGGTGACTCTAGTAGACCATGTTGTGCTAACGCATCTTGCAGCGCAGCATTGGGGGGAGATGGTTGTACAAGGAAAACCAAGTAGACTCAGCAATAGCAACATTTCGAGTGTAAGCCCGCTGAACGACAGCCAAGTCCCTCGACCTCCGTCTAGTGCGATGATGTCATCCGTTTGCTTGTGATTGCGTCGGTCTAATGTGATGTGTACATGGATCTTTGTATTAAGAAGGATGAAAGCAGAGGAGTGGTGTGCTGAAGCATTTGTTAATTTAATAGTGTGTTCTAGTACTTCTGATAACGTTGTCAAGAGCTCTCGAATGTCTTGGAGTGATAACATCATCAAAACAATCAAAAGATGACTCCTGCACATGGTAAAACTAACGATATATCTATTTACTCCGTAATAGCGGCTGAACCGTAGCAAGTATGTCGTAGTATGCAAGCAAAGGAGCGGGATATCGTGTATTTATTCGTGGTTGCTCTATAATAGAGTTACTGCTACCTTTTTTTCAGTGTGCTGACAAAAGGTGAACCTATTCGTTGCGGTTATAGCCTGGCAAGCCAGATTTACTAGTAGACTACCGGTCTAGGTGTCAGTCAATCGGAATTAAGCCATAAGTGCATCCTTCATTTCGACCAATTCAAGCTCATCTTCTTATTCACCAATCACATCTTCTTCATTTTGACTGGCGGCTAGCTGACCTTCGTACGTTCATCCACTGCTTGCTTTGCATTAAAGTCATTCCCAGTTTCAAGTCCGAATCCATCATGGTGCGTACTTGTGACCTTCTTGCACATGGGTCATTGACCAAATGTTGTCCTTGTAAATTGCATACGACGTTGAAACAGAGCGTCTACGCTTGTTTGTCACGTTAATTGCGTTTTTCATGGCATGAAATTGATCTTGTCATGATTCTAAACGTGCATTTGTCTGTCTGTGTGTGATCTTGTTCCGTCTGCTGCTTCTTGTTCTTCTTCTTCTTCGTCTAGTCGAAGAAAACCGCAACGAAGGAAGTAGAGGAGGTGGTGCGCGTTGGCCCCACACTTAAGGAGGGCGAGCAGGTGTTTGGTGTGGCTCATATTTTTGCCTCGTTTAACGACACATTCGTGCACGTGACGGACCTTTCAGGCCGTGAAACGATTGTGCGTGTAACGGGTGGAATGAAAGTCAAGGCTGATCGTGACGAAGCGTCACCATATGCTGCAATGCTTGCTGCTCAGGACGTGGCCGCCAAGTGTAAGGAGGTGGGCGTCACTGCTCTGCACATTAAGATCCGCGCTACGGGCGGTAACCGGACCAAGACTCCGGGCCCCGGCGCGCAATCGGCCCTTCGTGCGCTTGCTCGCAATGGCTTGAAGATCGGACGTATTGAGGACGTCACTCCCATCCCCACGGACAGCACTCGCCGAAAAGGTGGTCGTCGTGGTCGCCGTCTTTAGGCATACGGGTTGGCGTTCTCAACAAGTTTACTTGCTCACTGGTGGATGGCTGGAGCAGCTGCTTCTGGGCTGGGAAGTGCAGGCAGTTTTTGCTTGTTTTTGCGTTCATCTTGGGCTCCGAGTTGTCCTGACGCTGCTGCTTCCAAGTGGCTGTTCAGGTTTCTTCTAGACACGAAACTAGAATGAAACTTTGTCTGTTGACTCGGAACTCACGTCACATTGTTTTAGTGTAATAAACCTTTCGTCGTCTTAGTTATAGGGGCTGTACCAGACATCCTAATACTCCAGGACCATTCCATGTCTGCGGCGTCAGCTTCAGCACCAGCAGCTCCAACCCTCGACGCACCAACACACGGATGCTACTACCAACATTGTGCTGCACAATATCCTTTATAGCTGCCAGCTCTCGGTGGTTGCTGGCGTCGGCGGAGCCAAAACGCATTATTTGGTCCTGTGCCTGCAACCCCGCTAATTCAGCTGGAGATTTTCTCTGCACGCTCTCGACAACTGCAAAGGACTGCAACTCTCTCTCTTCTGCACTCACTTCATCTGTTGTCGTCGTCGTCTTCATCGTCTGCACAGCAGCAGCAGTAGGAGCTTCAAGTGCTTCCTTTTCCATCTTACACTCTGATTTACCGCACCGAATTTCAAACACCCTGTTTTACACCCATAAATAAGAAAAAACCAAATTAACCCTTTTCCACATCCTCAACCCAAAAAAAAACCTGGGTGAATGAATCATCCACTCGATTTCACCCACTGTGGCAAAAGCTCTTCAATCTTTTTCATGGTCAATTGATGAGCCGTCTGCTTCACTGCCAATGAATGACGCACTTGCCGCACGCGATACACGTCAATATCAGCACGTGGAAACCCCTCGTTATCCACCAAAGATCCATTGAACCCTGGGTTATTTCCTGATGTTAATTCAGCTACATAAGTTTCAATTTCCTCCTCAATCGCCTCTTTCGCCTTAATAGCGTTCTCATACTCAGTCAAAACATCCGACATAGTGAAAGTCTAATTAATGAACACGACTGACGCGAGTGTGTTTTTGTCAAACGTTCTCGTTTGTAATTCGCTAATATTCTGTTCGTACAATTTAACCAATCCTTGACTTGCATTGCAACATACCATGAGCTTTTATGCCTGTTATATGCTGACGCCCGTACAGCCACCACAGCGCTTACGATGTTCGTATATAGGTTTCACTGTATCACCTATACGTCGTCTACGACAACATAATGGTGAACTCGTTCAGGGAGCAAAGCGAACGCGAAAATATCGACCATGGTGCCCCTTTGTACCATTATTATGGTACATATGGATTCCAACTAACCCTATTCTTTGACCGTGATCATATGTGACAGGGAGATGATTGTTCTCGTGCATGGATTTCCAAGCAAATTTCGAGCACTTCAATGTATGTAAACTACCTCAATTATCTATCGTACTTTCTACTTACTACGACTTGTTCTTTTCCGTACTTAGTCGAGTGGATGTGGCAACATCCTTTTGGTTAGTAAAACTACGAAAACTCATTTATCCTATTTACAAGGTTCACGAACGTATGGAGCTCCTCGTTCCGTGAAACGAAAATTACTCGAAGTGTTGGAAATTGTGAATCTAAAACCTTTTCAAGATTTTCATTTGACCGTGAGTTTTACCAATGAAACAATCCACGACATGGCAAAAACATTGGGCACGAGATATGGGGGGTGTCAAGTGGGAGACGAGAGAGTTTCAATCGTTTCGTTCTTTTGTTGCTGCTAAGGACATGCAAGTGATGGGAAAAAGCGGTAGAAAGTGTTGGATTTGTGACGAGCAACTTGTTGAGCTGGAAGCAAGCGATCGTGCTACAAATCAACAACTACAGGGTGATGAGAAGAAGGAGGAGGAGGTGGTGGTGGTGGAATGTTACTATCGAGAGTGTGACATGTGCTGTCATTTGACATGTCTAGCAGATCATTTCCGATCACTGTACGATGACAAAGAAGAAGATGATGATATTAAAGGTGGAGAAACGGAAATGAAAGGGGAATGTCCAGCGTGTCAACAGGTTTTAGACTGGTCGTTGGTGACACATTCTCGTGGACAAGATAATGTTGAAAAGAAAAGAAAATGCATTGAAAGGAGAGATGATGCGGCCATAAAACGCAGTACTGATAATGTAGAAATACAGATTTGTCGTGGCGTGGAACCTGCAGCAACTATCACTGGAGAAACACGATGTAACAACGGCATGAAAGCAAGCTGTAGTACTGACTCCTCGTTATATGTAAAACGTGTTGTGAATCTTCACAACGTAGACGGCTTAATTGAAGATAAACTAGATTGTCAAGACGATGTCAATGCAGATGTGGTGACCGAAGAGGCCGCTGGTAGCTCAGAGGATACGACGAATACCTGTAACATCCAGATGTTTATTCCCAGCAGAAACGAAGCGGAAGTGATTGACCTTACGAACGATTAACGCTTGCTATGCGATTCGTCGGATGCAGATTGATAAAGCTTGCCTCTAGCCATCCTGCACTTTGGAATGCATATTGCAACGGGAGAGTATGATGCTGTGCAGCAAGCTTTTTTTTAAAGCTACTCGCTCGCTCGCTACAATGTTTGTGTAAATTACTTCGACGTAATAGTGCTCTCAAGCTCATTTGCTCATGAAATTCGGTGAAAGTGGAAATGTCTTGGTTTTGCGTATGAGGTGCGTGTCTGCAAAAGTGTCAAGAAGGTTGTATTGTTGGGAGCTGATATCTTACAAGAATACAAAAAGCAAGGACTGATGTATATCTGGCCGTTCGAATTCCATGTGGTCGCTTTTATATGGACAAATACAAGGATGCAGACTTTGTAGTGTTGCTGACAAGTTTTTCTGTGGCTTGCGCGTGGGGGTATAGAAGCTTTACACGTGATAAAGCCTCAGCTGTTGTATTCACGTATGTGATACGATTCTGAGCCGCAAAGTAGGTCGGACATATGCTCGCACATTGAATTGCACCTTTCTGATGACGCTGTCAAGTCTTGAGCGGTGTTGACGTCCAAAGATACTCAAGACAATGCTTCGTCCGATACCTTTTCTAGCTGAGGTGCTTGCACTAATGACAAGAGATGGCAGACAAGCAAAGCTGTAAATATCGTATTGCGAAATGGATTTACCGGATAGCTCTGCGCTTGTACTTTAGTGAATGTTGATATTGATGCAGTCACGAGAGGAATCATTGAGGCCGACATTTCCACCGTTTATCTTTGTCCTCATCTCTCATATCATCCTGACGGGTCTACTTCACCTACTGCTTTTGTGCCATCATTGCCATGAGTCCTTCCATCATCATTTACAAACTTGCATCAGTGTCATAGCTAGACCTAGTACTATATACATCTCCGTAAACCATTGGATGATTCCGCCCCGTGCAATGAATGCCAGCATGGTTACAAGTCCAGAAATACTGTTTCGTATGCATCCAGCGACTTCAAACTGACAGTTCTGACCCCTTTCAATCGAAGAGGCACACAGTAACAGACGCATATAACACTGCGCACGTCACATGTTGCGACTCGTCTCGTACTGAGCACACCACTCTACCATTGTTTCTGCCATACAACACAATATCATGGCTTCATCATTCGTATCCAATGCACGAAGCTCTATCGCCAGCAATGCAAACTCAATACAAAGTCAGTCACCGCCAAGCTCGTGTGGAAGCTGCGCGTCGGACGAAAACCACCAAGAAGAGCTGCAGCACTTGGGCATAGCGGATACTGTCCTTGCTGATGACAATTGGGAATGGCTGCGACACTTGCTGGACCGTGTTCATGACGTTGCTGCTCGACAACAAGGTAAAATATACTTTGCTCGCTTATTCAAGTCTCAAGATGCGGAAGAGGTGGAAGTGACGCTGTCTGAGATGGAGGTCTGGCGCCAAAAGCTTGCGGATGAGAGTGATCGACCGCGTGAGCGCGACCTCGCACGCGCTTTGTTCCTGATAGGGTATGATAAGAGCTTATCGTTAAGTGGACCTACGCCGTCATAGCATCCACAGCGTTAGCTTCGACTCGAGGCGCTTTTAATCCATAGTGCATCTAGGACATGAACGAGCATAAGTTGGAAAACAAGAGTAGAAGAGCGTAACCACTACGAGATAGATTTTGTTTGGATCAATGCAGCGCCAGAAATCAACAATCTGGCCATTATCAATTGAGCATGCATTTAAGAGCCAAACGCCTCATCAGCCTCGTCTATTTTCTTGAATTCGTAGTGCCCACGGCCGTCGAACTGCAAACGTAAAGCAACAGCAAAAACGAGCGTAAGCACAGTACACACAAGTAAAAGTAACAAACCAAGTACGCACCCGAAGCACATATTCGTGGTACGCCCAAAGCGACTTGCGGTGCGACACAGTAAAAAGCGTGATGTTTTGCGCACGGCAGAAGCTGTACATTGCGCCTTCAACATCGACGCTGACAGCAGATGTACACTCGTCCAGGATAGCAAATTGAGGTTTGTGGTAGAACAAGCGTGCCATGGCCACACGCTGTTTCTCGCCACCCGATAGCACGTCCGCCCAATCATGGACAACATCCCAACCACCTTCACGATCGACTAAGTGGCCTAACTGAACCATTTCCAGGTAATGCATCAAGTCTTCATCCGTCTTCTCACATGTCTTCATATCCTTCAGTGAATGAGGGTAGATAATCTGGTCGCGGAGCGTGCCCAACGTCAAGTATGGGCGCTGAGGGATGTAGAACAATCCGTTGCGCTCCGGTTTTGTCAGTTTGCCGCCAAACATCGGCCACAACTCACCTAAAATTCGAAAGAGCGAACTCTTGCCACATCCATTTGGTCCTGCGACAACAACATTCATGCCAGACTTCACCTTGATGCTGAGTGACCGCACCAACACGTCACCGTTTGGCGTCACAAGTGGTACTTCCTCAAATTGAATCACATGATCACAGTAGTGGACTTCGCCACTATTAGGATACAGGCCCAGAGATTCAGCAGAAGTAGACTCGGCCTTCGATGTTTCCAAAAGATCGTCATCTTCAGCCTTGAGCATCGTGCGCTGATACTTTCCCTGGTCCAAGTCGGACAAAACGTCAAGCATTTCCGTAACACGCGCAGTAAACCCTGCAAGGCGTGTCAGCTCACGCCCCGAGAGCACCAAACGCCCCATGGCCTCTGACATCTTCAACAACATTTTTCCAGATCGAAAATAGTCTTCCATTCGGTCTGCATACGTCGTGTTCTCTAACCGTTTATTCGACATGTTTAAATACGGTCTTGCCAATACCGCATACCCCACGACAGTTGCCAAGTACTTGGCCACCATATTGTCAACAACACTCATCAAAAATCGAAACTGTTGTGAATTGCGCAACAGGTCCACAAGTCGATTAAACGACTGATCCAAGATATGTTTTTCACGCACATTCCCATTATAGAAAGCAATTTCTTCACTGTGTGTAATTAATCTCGAGTTCATAAAGCGAAACGTGCCTTCCATTTGTTGCTCTGCAATCGTAAATCGACTTGTTGGTTGTCGTAACCATGTCAGAAAAGTTCCAGATAGTACCAAATAGCTCATCATAATGACCGGGCCTTCTAGACCAATCTTTGATGAAAGTTTTGCACCATATAGAATAATATCCAACAGAGGTTTGGACATATTTGAGTACAAATCAGCCACGGAATTAGCAAATTTCTCCACATCAACAGTCAGTAATTGGTCAGCATTTGCAATCCGATTATCCAGGTTTGAGACTTTATAATAGACAAATCCTTTCACGTATTGTCGATATAAATGTCGTGTCAATCTTGTGCGAAAACAAAGACTGAGCTCGGTTTGACCGTATTTCAATAAACTATTGACACAACTCATGGGTAAAGTAATCGCAATAAAACGCCGTAAATGACGTATAAACTCGACTTGAGAACGAGAAACAATCGCTCGTTCCATGGCTGTTGATGTCTGTAACACGACAATATCAAAGGATGTACGTGCGACAAGCATGAGAGCCACAAGACAAGCAAATGCCATTTCCATTGTAAATGGACCAGGAACAATCACGTGAAATAATCGTAGAAAATGACGATAAAAGTCACGATTTACAGCCACTTGATGACGATTTCCATGTTTCTTGGTCATATATTCCGATTGTAATTGAAATCCTGCATTCGCTTGCTTCTGTCCATGATTACGAATCGCTATAGCTATGGTGATCTAAGTCAATTTATGGAATAGGACACATCATATGGGACATACAACAACACTATGAATTGAAAATCAAAATATTACACTAGAGTATCGAATATTTATAATAGAGTATCGAATATTTACAATAGAGTAGCAAAAATTTACACTAGAGTATCGAATATTTACAATAAAAGTAAAAGACGTAACGTACAAGCGAAGCAATTGATACGACACTAGATGCCACATCAGATTTCGATAGAATAGTCATGTTAGGACGATAATATGAATGAAATATGGAAGCGAGTGATAATGATTGTCTCGTGGAAGATATAGAGGTTTGATATTGTTTAATGCTAATTATTGTATGCGTTAGGGAATGGACCGTTATGGGTATCTCCTGTGACAGAAATAACGATATTTAAGTGGTTAATATTGATACTCACGTTAACATCCTTTAATGGCTGACACGTACCACGTGGAAGTGAAACTGTTGCTGTAAATAGTAAAAAGGAGTTAGTGCGCAACTTTAGATTGCAACAATAAGCTCTTATTTTATCATGAGGAGTCGTATTTAGTCTGTTGATATATAAAATAAGGATATGACGATACTTATCTCCTTATAAACGTTGTATGAACACGTTATTAGCACTGTGTAAGTCAGTTTTAGTGGCTCTAAGCGTTATTCGTTTGTATCATAGTCTCCGTTTCTCTATAAATTAGAGTCCAACACCGTCATTAGAGCGTCTATAGAATCAGATAGGAGCATGTGACCGTCAGGTAAGTGTCTAATTGCTCTCGTTCGCACATGCTTCTGTTTGTTTACCTACTGGTTCAACACACTGAAAGTAGCAGTGGATGCCTTTTCATGATAGCAGGACAATATGGTTCTTGAACAGACAATTTGTATCACCCATCACGCATTGTCTAGTCTTTTACAGGAAGCTGCCACATGGCTGCTCTTGTTGGATATAAGATCGCTAGCAGCAACTGGATCAAGTGTCCTTATTCCATATTCGTAGCCATAGGTAAAAGATTCCATGAGGATATAAAGCAGCTTGTCAATGCAACAATGCGTTTTATGCATGTAGCAATGTTTGCGACTCTTCAAGATCATCACAATAGGGTCTTTGAGTTGTATGCAACACAGTTGAATGTAGACACGGTAAGCGGTCAAAATCTTGACCAGATAGTTGAGTTCTTATCTGCTTGAATACTAGAACATGACTCCAAGAATCACAGTAGCGACAATTGTCCTTGCTCGCGAGAAGTCGATCATTTGGAGGAAACAGTTGAAACTGTGCAACGTCTTCGTAGCAATAGGTTATTCCTTCTGCAGTCAAATCAGATAAAGGCAGTCATGGCGCCTTTCTAGTCTACCCGTTATGCTCGAGAACGTCAGCAATCAGCTTTTTGCGTGACGTGAAGACTACGTATGTAAATGCTAGTGCTAACGTATTGCTTGGCGTTTGCAAGCAGTTTCTCAAAGTTTTCGACAAGGACGCTAGAAATTGAATCGTTCCGACGCTCAACACGAAGCGGCTGCATAAAGTCGTCCATTCTTACCGTGATCTGACGAATCAAGTATTGTGGTGTTGAGTCACAGCTGGACTTGTCAACTGTTGTCCAGTTGCGAATCTCTGCTTTCAAACGCAACTTCATCATATGAGCTCAAGGTTCTATATCGATGACTCTGCATATGCTGATCGAGTTGTGATGTCGCTTAATGGTGAGCAAGCTGCATCTCGTTAAAGAAGAAGCTCATGCTTGGTTCAAGCTCCAAGATTTTTGAAAAGGTGACTGGAATGATAAGTTTTGTATCGACAATCATGATACGATCGCGAACGATCCGAAAGATATTGTCAGAGCTAAAGCTGTAAGGGCATTGTCAATCATACCATACGATCTTGTTTTGATACAAATTGTTACACAACAAGTTCTAAGGATTTAGGTAGAGGACGATGTTGTTATAGCGTCATCATTTACACGTTACAGACATAAAATGATTGAAAAGACTAGATGAACTATAGATTGTCAACTGCTGGTATGATCATTACGCACAGACACGTATTGATTAGCTCACTATTGCAGGTCGAGGATAGCTTCCATGCTCATAAGTTTTGCCAGGTTATATTGGCTTCAGTGATAGCGCGAGACAAGTTGATATTTAGTACTAACTTGCTTATGTACGAATATCAACTTACACGTATATATAACACCAAGTTGACATCATACCATTAAAATTCATCATACGTTCAATACAAACAAAATGACTGGCATATCAACCACGAATCATGACTGTTCTTCGAATGGAATGAACCCATCCAATAATCCAAGATGCACAGGTGTGGATGAAACTCTGTCATCCAATGACCCTAATCGTCATGCAAGTCATTTGCTACAGTCCCGCGTGGGGCGTGAGAAACAACGTTACGATGGGAACACACGACTGTTAGTATGCATCGTCGTATCGCGTCGTCGCTTCGGTACAGGCGTTGATGAATTTTTACTCATTTCAAGCTCCAAGGACGAAACGCAATGGATTATACCTAAAGGAGGGTGGGAAAATGATGAATCAGCCGTTGAGAGTGCATTGCGTGAAGCTGATGAAGAAGCAGGCGTACGTATGTTTCTTTTTGACTGTGATAAATGATAGAATTGCTATCTTGTCATATTGATATTTTTCATTCGCATGTATTTTAACAGTTACAATACAATATGTATGGTAAATAATGATGTTTGGCTGAATAGGTAATGGGCGATATTGTGGGTTCGTTGGGTTCACTGGATTTCTTGAGCCAACAGGGTAAACCCTGTCGTTTTTATGGCTTTAAATTATTGGTCACGGACGTTTATGAACATTGGGCAGAAAAGACTCGGAAACGTAAATGGGTACATCATGTAGCTATTGCAAAATGTGGAGCTTGAAAGGATCTGGAGCTTGGAAAAAAGTGACAATAGAATGGTGTATATGATGCAAATGGTGTAGGTTTTATTCAATGAAGCTTGTGAGTTGCTAAAGCATCGACCTGAACTTGTTGAGATGATGTCACGTACGGCAACAATATGATGCAAGGAAGGTTATTGAACACATGGTACAAGTGCAGAGATCGAGAGTGTTTATGCATCAGGGACTTCTTGCCTTTACTACCCAGCATATATATAGGACTGAAACAGTGGCACCAGATGCATGCATTGCTATTGCTAATTCAAGAAGAAGACAGAAGACAGCATCTCTCTCTGATCCAAGTGTTGCGCGAGAAAATACATGATAATTAGATAGATGGACGTGCTCAGCAACATGGAGGGAAAGAAAAGTAGATTCATGTCAATGCTTGCATTGCAGTAGACAGCAGGGTTGTTTTGGACCAAATACAGAGAAAGAGAGATTTGGACTCAACAGGTGTGAGGCAGGAAGTAGCATAGACACACATACTCATTGCCGTTCCAATATATTTATTATACACTGAACGGACAAGCGCCAGTGTGAATCTCAGAGGATCGTAGTAGACCGACCAGATCGCAAGATATTTGTTGCCACTTTTACAGTCAGTAGTAATCCATTGAGACAGTAGTGAGCCATTATAGACCCAGTAGAAATCATTATCGTATTCATCCACCACATGAAGTTCGAGCAGTCGTAACCCATGTCCTGCTGTTCTTCGCTTTCGTGGTGCTCAACAAGACAAAGACACGTCCCAGCGTTATGCTCCTCATGTCCAAACCATCTGCTTTCACTGAAATATTGGCGATGCGAAAGAAATCAGTCCTTCTCTCCGATAGCTGCAGACCACTCAGTCACTCCTTCACCCACTATCAGTAGTGCACAGATAACAAGACTACCTACATTTTAAACTGATGCAAGAGAGAGAAAAAAAACGAGTCTCCATGTGACAAGAAGACGTTGCAACGGTCAAGGTCCAAAACGAGGCCAAAAAAAGCGATTTTACCACTGGATCTCACTGATCCAACGGTTATCATACAGAGCATGTCCAGGAAGGAGGATCCTTTGAATGAATCCTCCGTGTAGAATGGCTCGATCTGGCTTGCGCAGACTAGAAAATGTCGTCGGTAACGTCGGTAATTCAACATAGGGTATACTTACGTAGCAAACGAACAGCACCGCGACGCCTCGACCATGTAATTGTTGGAAAGCATTCAAAGTAGTTGTAGCCTTTGTTCTTGTGTGGCCGAGACAATGACGCCTGTCGGAATTTTTTGACGCATTTAAAGTGCTAGTAGACACACACACACACAGTCCATCCATGTAAGCGTTAGACTACACAAGCAAAGACCGTTAAAGAAAAATAACACAACGCGTGATGGTGGCTGGCTAGCTGGCTATCACTTTATTGTTTCTTGAAACGCAGTAAAACATGATCGACTGTATATCTAAAATCCAGACAGAAGAACCTCAAACGGCAATCAATGATGATTTGTAGACTCGACCATTCATGTTCATGTATAAGAAGGAGGAAGACAGTCGTCAAGACACACAAGACACGACGCTGCTGAGCTCATGGGTACTACGCTTGAATGCTGATTTCATTCAAAGTCTTTCTACTTGCTGCTGGAGCATACGGCCGTTTTTTGTCAGAGCTACTGCCTAGCCCGCTATCCAGTTGCATGGTCTATGTCAATGGAGTCAGTCCAACTTGTTGTCCCATCTGTTTTAGAAACTGAAGTCAAAAGAGCAGACACCTTGGAAGTTCAAGAATCCGATTGTTCCGTGCGACGATTCCTAGGCGTGCAGTGTGTGGATCATTCTAGAAACCTGCTTTCGTTTCTCTTTGCTGACGATTTTTTTTCTAAAAAGCTCTTGTATGAGGAGATGTCGTGGTTACATACAACAAAAGGTGGTCCCTTTGTTGTATGTTGTTTACTTTGCCCTTCTTCTTGCAATCTTGACTCGTACCCCATACGTAGTAACAAATGTGTAGGCGAAAATGAATGGCATGCGACTGACGTACGTACCGCTACGGTTGCAATGATGAAATCGCACAAATATACGCGCAGACGAGGAAAGAGGGAATTGTTTTACGATATGCAAAAGAAAAAAAGAAACGCATTACGACAGCATGGATAGATAGATCGATAGATAGAATGTCGCTTGTCGCTGTGTGTTAACAACGTCAAGAACGTTAAATACCAGCCAGTACTCCCTACTACGTTACGACTAGATTTCACAATTATACACTCAAGTAACGGTTCCTAACGGGCTCCTTGCGTCCTTCGTGGCACAAATCAACCAACAACACTGCAACTAAAAAGCTTGTAGTTCTTTTCATTCAAGAAAAAAAATAAAAGTCTTGCTTTGCCACACCATCCAGCCTTCTCTCTCTCTCTTTTTTTTTCCTTGTTTTTGTCTCTCTTGCCTTGCCACATATACACAGAGAGTGCGATGAATGGATTTCTTTTGCTTCATCAAAGCCCCAGCCGGCGGGCAAAGGACAACGTTTTTGCCAACTCGAAACTTTTTCCGTCCTGGTGCAAGACGAGGAGACAGCAAGCATCCAGTCATTTGCCAAGTCGATCCATGGATCGAGAGAGATAGGAAGGTATGTATAGGTGTAAAAATAGAACTCTTAAAGAGCGGGATAGGGGTCGGAACTTGTCTCGTCTGGTCGGTGTTTGTTTGTGTCGCAGCGTTGTAGGAATGGCCTGGCATTGTACATCGCTCGCTCTCCCAGCGACTGATTTTTGAGAGATTGTCAGTTTTCAATTTTACTTGAAGCCCTCACGTCTTCTTCTTCTTTGATATCATACGAACGTATTAACCACACACACACACACACTCATTCTTTCATTCTACCTCTTGCTTTGTTTAAAGTTCTTGGGGTTTAAAAACAAAAGCTAAACAATCAAAAACGAAGAAAAAACACTGACGACAAGGACATTCCTTTCAACAATCATGCGTCAACGTACGAAAAGTGTAGTGAATGTCCGCGAGTACTTTCGTACGGATGGAAGTGGTGCACCTGAACAAGAAGATGATGATGATGCGGATGATTGGATGACAATTGCAATGATGGGTGCCTTCATTCCATCATCCTTTTCATCTTGTAAACGCAGTCGAAACGTGACCGTTGAAGTGGTGGAAATCAAGAAAAAGACACGCGCTCGTACATTAACGTGTGATTCACTTGCAGACACAGATGATGACACAGATGATGACGAGGAGGACGATGGAATCCTTCGTATTCGAGCATGCAGTCATGATCGTCGCATTAGCTTTGATGATGATGTCAATGTCGTGGAAATTCCAGCGCGTTCAAGCTTTGATCCAGAGTACAAACGTCGCGTTTGGTACTCACGTGACGAACTACGTCGTTGTCAAGAGTGTTGCTAGAACTGCTGGTGACGACAGTAAAAGAACGACGCAAGGTGATTGATCTTCTTTATCTCTCTCTCTTGGATCATTCATTTTCCCTTTGCTGGAAAGTGTAATTGATCACTTACGGGACACGGATGGAAAACGTGTGACTCGATGACGTCAAGAAGTGAGAGAAAAAAGAGGCTTGAGGTCTTTTGCTTCCAGTGTGAAAGTGACGTGAGCTTTTCCCTGTTTGAAGGAATGAGACTGAGCCTGCGTGTTTTATTTATCGAGTCGAGCGAAGGCACGAGACGAGTTTTACTTTACCCTCAAGAATAGGTCAGTGACAGGTGAGAGACTCGGGTGATCTGAAGTGATAGGACCCCCCCCCCCTCCCTCCTTACATGCAAAATACATACCTGAACGACTACATAAGCATATGCAATCATATCTATTTATTTCAATCTTCCTTCTCTCTGTAACTTGGTGCTTGTAGATAATGAACGTCTAGGATGCCTTCATTGTTCCTTGTCTGGCTGGATACATTGAATTCACACACTCGACAAATCTCATCCTTTTCAAGTTTTTCATGGATTTTGCAGAAGCACGTTTACTGAACTCTTTCTTGGTAAAGAACCGGACAAACACAACACTCATTTAACCCAGCCAGCAGCTGGTGCTAGTAGTAAGACACGACTATCTTTCCTATAACAAGAATCATCATGGTACTGTCACATTGTTACGAAAGGTGGAAACTGCACTGACCTTCATGGATACAGTACAACAATCGTTCCTTCATAATCTCACGTGTCGAATAATCGGGGAGCTTTAGATAGTTCGTGCACGTTGAAGCCGATGGTAATACAGCATCATTCTCCTCAGTGTTGTTGCCATCGTTCACTTCCGTAAGCTTACGAACAACCGTGAGCTTGGGTTCAAGGTTGCGCAGTCCACCCAATGGCAAACGATTGGCACCTGTGACGAAGCGCACGAAAAGCCGCTGTTCGTCTATCGACAGCTCACAAAGGATCGACACAAGGTTGGCAATCGCACGACTGTCTGCCGTGTAGCCGTGGTCACACACCATGTGTTCGCGCAAATCGACACCGTCACGATCCCACATGGAGCTACCCGAGCCACGATCGCTTAGCAACGCTTCTAGCTCACGTATGTCAAAAGCCTGTAAGAAACTAAAGAGCTGATGGTTTCCAAGACCGCCGCAAATTTGCTCAAAACCTTGTCGGAACGCTTGTACTTGGCTCTTGATTGTTCGGTCTAGTAGAAAATCGAGATTCAGCGCCACGTATCGGTGCAATGTCGGCAACGTCACGAGCTTGGTATCGCCACCAGCTTCAAGAGGAATATCGTCAGCGCCAACCATCGTGAACGAAAGGCAAAGAGAATCCACCTCCTTTGTCCACACAGCCACATCTTTCGACGCAACCTCACCGGACGCTTCTTCAGCAGCGTACTTGACCGCCAGATTGTGCAGGTAACGCATCGAGTTGGCGATGGAAGGATCCAATTCTTCCACAAACGAAAGCGACTTTTCCACGCTCACACCACTGCCCACCATCTTCTCCCCACGCAACGCTCGCATGAATGGACGAGCAAACGGCAAATTCAACAGCCGCTCGTCTAGTATTGCTTGACATACAAAACGACCCAAAAACCGAAACCACGTCAGCACATCCACCTCGTCCCTATTAACAGACAACGCGTCTGCTTCCAAAGTGGCGATACTACTTGACTCGTGTAATTGAACGGATGTTTTGCCCTCGTCCAGATCATTGTCCTTGAGGTAAGGCTTCGGGTACAAACCAGTAGGTGCTGTCACAGCTGGGCCGCTACCAATATTGCAACCGGCGAGAGCAGCCTCGCTAAGATAATACAGCGCCTCCACCTCCGACTCCAGCACTTCTGGGCTCTGCGCGAGGTTGTTTACCAGCATGTCCACTTCACTTCGAGTGAGCGCGGATATCATGACATTCAACGGAGTGCCCTCACACAAAGGCGATACGTGTTTGGTCACAGCGCGATAGTCACGCTCAAACATGCGTCGGCCAGACCGTGAAACCATGCGATCTCCATCCATGACTACAATGCCGGCATCCGTGCCAGGAAAGTTTACCGTGTCACAGTGCGCACATTGTAGCACAGGATGCTTGATCCGCTTGGCATGTCGAGGAAAGACTTTGGCAAGATATTGTGCCTCTTCATCACTCAGAATCCACCACTTTAGACTGTAGCCAGCCTTTACATTCGTCACGCTGTCACTTTCTTTACACTTGCTTACTGCATCATGATTTGGTTTGCAGTCGCAGCAAGCAGCGGCTGAATGCCAGTCGTGGTTATCTAAACACTGCACACACTGCGGAATAGAATTCCGCGACGCCTGCCGTCGCGCTGACGTCAAAGATTTTCTGCTAGTTTGATTCGAGTCATCGTCGCTTGTGCTGCTATTCTTCGTGTCGGCAGCTTTCTTTTCGTGCGTAAGCAACTGTCGGTGCACAGAACACGTCGGAATGTGAAGAGCCTTGCATTTGGAGCAGTGATAGACTGCAACGCGATGGTATCCACGGATCGCAAGAGAGCCATTATCCTGGTCTGTCTCGAGACAGTTTACATCATCGCCAAGAGGTTCTCGCTTTTGCTCTTCATCTGCGCTTTTACTAACTTTAACCACATTTCGATCATCATCTCGCCAAAGTTGCAACTGCTTTGATTGTATCTGCTGGCATACGAGAGTGTAGAATTCCGTCGTTGGACCCAAACCAGTACCAACTTCGCCAAGAAACTCAATCTCGATCACTGCTTTCTTTCCACCATAAAGTGCTACAAGTTTCATCGCTGACTGTAGAAGACGCGACCGCGCTACTCGTACTTTCAGTCGAGGGAGTTTTACCATTTGCGAAATATTGTCGAGACCGGAGGTCCGAGTGCGACTAGAACCGTCACGATGACGACGACGGCCGCTAGTATTGCTTAGTCGCACATGTCGGACTGGACTTTGCTCTTCCATCACAGCCTTCCTCCACACCGACCGACACAAATACTGAATTGCTCTTGAGCAACCACACGTTGTTGCGTACATGAAATGACAACGAGTTTCGAACTCAAGCACAAATGAAAATTCATTCACAAGACGAAAACACCAATCCGGAAGAGAATTCGTAACCACACGAACAGGGTGCTGCAGGGCATGGCGCACTTGGAGACTAAGATAGCTGTTGACAAAATTGAGCTTTGTTCCAAACGGTTTTCCAATACACTGTTTTCGAACAAGTTTAAATAGCAACAACAGTTCCCATACATCATCCCACCACGGCTCAGTTATGACAAACTGTGTTGAAGCTGGCAAGCAAGAAAATGCCTCGGCGATCTTACCGTCTTCAGCAGCAGGTTCCAAAATAATTACGTCCTCACCCGACTCAAGTGAAGTGGCTACTCGAAACGTGATATCATGGGATGATGCTATCCAAAAAGGAGATCCATGTGTCGACAATCCGCCAGACACAGATGCAGAAAGGTCCACGTCAAGCTTTCCATTTCCGTTAGCGTCTACACCTCTGAACTTTACGATCGCCTCCAAAATACTCATGTCCGCGGGCAAAACTTGTCCTTTGTACACCGCTATTACTCTTCGGTGCTTCACGACATCGTTTGCAAATTCCCCGCTCTCACTTTCTCCACCTTCTTCACTTTCAACGCCTATGCTTTCCAATTCATCAAGCCTCACTCCGGCGTCCCCGCCTCTACCAAACAGTTTGTCCGCAATATAATCCTCCATCGTTTCGATCCTTGCAAGTGGTTCCACCAGCACAACAGTTTCATGCACGGTGCGCTTGTTTGAGTAATATTTGCTTTCTTTCCAATTTGACAATGTTTTTTTCGTCGCAAGCCCTTCGGATTCTTCTTGGTCGTAGCAGTCTACTTGTTGACTGCTTTGATCTTCGTTGTCAGGCTCTGTTGCTGATTTTGTTTCCTCAATCAACACATGCACCTTGATGTGCTGAGTTAGTCGATCCAAATCGGTCGTAATGCTACCAGATGAAAGTCCCGCATAGCATCCTCCAGAGCTAGAAATTGAAAATGCCTCTTTCTCTGAAGAAATCGCATCTTGTAAGCATCGCAACAGCGATGATACGAATTCTTGGCCAGCGCTTGTAGTGCTCTGCACCTTTTGCATCTGCGAAAAAGCTTGCCGGCCTTTGTCCACAGATAAAAGTTGGATGAGCACCTTCACGAGCCCGCTGCAAGCAATTTCATGCGCAGTTAGAAAGTTGTCTCCTTGCGCTACAAAATTCCCCAGCTGCAACAGTTCATTGACCAGCGATGCAGTCTGATCATTATCACTTGCACTACTAGTTGCTAACGTCGTTTGCAGCCTATCCACAAGTCGCTTTAACTTAGCCATTTCGCTTATAATCAAGCTTTCATCACCCAAGTAGTCACGAGTAAGTCGGACTGAAAAGGCACAAATGTCCTGCATGACACTTCCACGTATGTATTTGTTTTCAAGGCCCGATGCGTAAAAGCGAATGATAGTTGAAACGCCATGCCGTTCGAAAATGTCCTTTGCCACCTCTCGTGCACTTGGATGTTGCAGCGGTACCTCAACAATTTTCAAAGCAAGCTGTACGGGTACAAGATCTTTGTCTGCTTTAGCTGGCGAAGATACTGTCATGTCATCGCGCTTTGGACGCAGTACTCGTGCAAGAAAAGCGGCAAGCCGCGATAACTCAGTGCATTCTTGAACCGTAAGGGGCTGCCGGCTAGTATGCATCAATAAACAGCTTCGAAAAATGACATCAAGACAGTCGTGTCGCAGATTAGTTTGCGAAGTTACATCGTAGACGCGGGTAATCAGCGACAAAATATCGTGCGCTAATTTGAGCATGGCCGGTGGAATTGCTTTCGTCAAAGAAAGCTCTTCTGAAATGGGCAGAACAACAATCACTAGCTTCAGTGTCTCACAAAGTAGCTGATTCTCGGATATCACTTCTTGCTTTGCTAGCAATGCCGTCAAAATCGAAGGCAACTTGACAAAGCGCAAATGGGACACACTTGGTATAACGGATACTGCGCTCATATCACTTGAGACACAAGACAGTAAGCATGAAAGAAAGCGCAGCATACTAGTGTACCCCTCTGGTGACAATTGAGATAACGCGCTGCTTCCACCAGAGCCGTCTAAGCTTGCATACGACGTCAGTTTCTTTAGTAGTAGCCCACAAATTTCATCTGTTGCAATCATCGAAGCAAACTCCTCATTTTGTAAAAACACTGCGCTCTCTCCCAGTTTTTGCAAGCATGCATAGCTGCTCAGTAAAAGCTCATTGTCGAATGACCGAAGCAAATTTGTAATGTATGGCAATCCTTGTTGCATTTTGTCTTGCATGGATAATGGAAAATCTGTACATAGTTGACAGACAATTCGAGCAGCTCGACGTTGAATTTCCAATGGAAAAAAGTCAATGTACTGAAGTAATGCAACAATACCATTCTCCTGAATGACTTCGATCCGGTATTGTGCACATAATGTCGGTACGTTTACCACAACTGTGCTTGCAGTCGTAAATGCCACGTCAGCCTTGCATACAATTGTCTCTAGAATTTGTAGTGCAAGTTCTGCCACGTCCATATATTGAATCTCCAATAGTTTTTCACATAAAAATGGAATCACGTGCTCTGTCGTTGCTCTTTGAATAGCTGTAGCTGGAAATAAGTCTAAAATTGTTGATAAAGCTCGGGCAGCTAGTAAAAGCACATCCATGGATGATGGAAGATGAATCAAGGAGACAATAATGGGTACAAAAACATCCACATGAAATGTTGAGACTGCTAGTGTTTCTTCTGTTGATAATGAAAGTAGTTCACATAAATCTGATAATCCTTGAATCTGAGTCGAGACGGATTCTTCCATTTGAATTTGTGCCAAAAGTATCTGATACTTCTGATTCGTGCCAAAAATACTTGTCGTCGTATTGTTATTGTTAAGAACTGTTCTTGTTCTTGTTCTTGTTTGGAGAAATTGAGAGAATGGAAAGATATCATTGAATCGAGAATGATCCATATGTGTATGGAATTGATCCAATAGACCTTGAAATGAGTGTGACGAGAGGATCTCTCCATCTTCTGTATCAGTTGAAAAAGCTTCCAAGGTGTCAAACATTCTCATTGTATTGATATGATGGTCACTTTCATGTGTTCTTATAGGAGATTGTGTTCTTCTATCCGTAGGTACTCTTACCAAACGAGAAGGTTCATCTGATTCCATTCTCGTCTCTTCATGCTCTTCTCGTTCATTTGTTAAAGACCGACGATGACGTGTGACTTCATGAGTCAAGACAGAATGATTCTGGTGTTCAGATTCTTCCAATGCTGCATCCAATGATTCGTCATCGTCGCTTACGCTCACGACACTTAGCGAACGTGACGACGCATTCATTCTCAACTTTTGATTCTCTTGTTCTGTCTGAGTCGATTCAAAAATCTGAGAATGAGCAAGATGGCATTCTACTGAATTGATTCAATGAGTGACATGCGAACAACTGCAGGCGTTTACATAATCAGGGGTTACTACGTCTGAATTAGGATTACGTTTGACAGTTAACCGCCAACGTCATGAGGTTTTTTTATTTTGTGACATGCATAGATGATAGAATGGATACATACTGGATACATGTCAGTCATATCGAGATATACCTTACAATGCATTGAAACTTGAAGAATTCACAAGACGTAGACGCAAATTCTTGGCTATCATGTCAATGAATTCAAACGTATCGAGGTAATGTTCGCGCTTCATGTTTGAACCATGAATGAGCAGTGCCAAATCCTTGGTCATCTGACCAGCTTCAACACTTTCAATAATGCAAGCCTCTAAATCCTCACAAAAGAGCTTCAGCTCCTTGTTGTCATCCAATTTTGCACGGTGAAGCAAACCCCGTGTCCATGCAAAGATACTTGCAATTGAGTTCGTACTTGTCTCACCACCATTTTGATGTACACGATAATGGCGTGTCACGGTACCGTGTGCAGCCTCAGCCTCCAGTGTTTTACCATCGGGAGTTAGCAATACACTTGTCATTAGACCCAGGGAACCAAAACCCTGGGCTAAAATATCCGACTGCACGTCACCGTCATAGTTCTTACAAGCCCAGATAAAACCACCTGTAGACTTGAGACACTGTGCGACCATATCATCAATCAGACGATGTTCATACCAAATGTCAACTTCTTTGAATTTACCTTCGTACGCTTCTTCATACATTTGTTGAAAAATATCCTTGAAACATCCATCATAGCGTTTCAAAATGGTGTTCTTCGTGCTCAAATACAATGGCATCTTGCGTTCCAGTGCGTATTCAAAGCACGACTTGGCAAATCCGGTAATTGATTCCGTTGTGTTGTACATGCCCATTCCTACACCTCCATCGGTACCTTTAAAATCATAAACATGATATTCTTCGGATGCTGCTTCACTACGAGCAGGTGTAAATGTAATCTTGAACGTCCCTGGTTCCTTTGCAACAAAGTCAATAGCTTTGTACTGATCACCAAACGCATGACGACCGATAATAATCGGTTCTTTCCAGCCAGGGACTAATTTAGGAATATTCTTGCACACAATAGGCTCACGAAATACAGTCCCACCCAATTCATTACGCAATGTACCATTAGGACTAAGCCACATTTTCTTCAGTCCAAATTCTTCCACACGAGCTTCATCCGGTGTAATTGTAGCACATTTGATACCAACATGATGCTTTTGAATTGCATGTGCAGCTTCAAGCGTCACCTTGTCATTCGTAGCATTCCGATGTTCGAGACCAAGATCATAGTAATCAATTTTTAAGTCCACAAACGGTAAAATGAGCTTGTCACGGATATGTTGCCAGATAATGCGTGTCATCTCATCACCATCGAGCTCTACGATGGGATTAATAACACTTATCTTTGGAATCTCCATGTTCATGAGGCTAAAAAACGCGATGGCTTGGTAAACAACCGGTAAACAACGCAAAACGACCGGTAAACAACGGTAAACAACGCCAAAGTGATCGGTAAAAAACGCTTTTATATTGCAGTTTCGTCCAGGACGATGCAAAAACAAAACTGACAGTGAAAGGCCAAATAGGCTCAAATTGTTACAGTTAGGAAATAATCGCAATATGATTGGTCCAAATAGATTCAGACAGATGTAACGGATGGGGATCGTTCGTTTTGTCAATACGATAGGATACTTAATAAGTAGTAGTCAGTAGATCCTCATGAATCTCTATAAAGTAGTCTCTTTTTCTTCATCGTAGTGTGTGCATCCATCATGGATATTGCTAGCAAGAGGAGAGCTATTTGATCGTTGTCGAGATGATGGCCTGATCGATATTGTATCCTCTGTTTCTTGAATCTGCTCGTCATGGATCGTTATCTCAACGCTATCCTTTTTAGTATCTCCATTCTTGATCTGGTCATCATCCTGTGGATTAGCCATGGTCATATCTGTATCACCTTCGATCTCTTTCATTGATAGCGTAAGCTTCGACAATTTGCCTTTCAAAGAGGCAGATTGTTCACTTAATGTAGTTGCCAACGTATTCACACTTGACCTGAGATTACTCTCGTCCATCTCTTCATCGTCTTCATCGTCAATCACAAACCGCGGGACACGCGGGTTTGAATGTGCCATGGGCGTCGGGTTTTCCTCACAGGATGATGATGATGAAGTGTGACTAAAACCTGTCGACAAATTCTTTTTACGTGCACGACCAGTGGACTCGCTACCACGCTGGAGCATGTAGTCTCGATAGGAAGGCATAAAGTTATGGTATGCATCAGCTAGAATATCCGTAAGACTCAATACTTCCTTCATATTGTTCAGCACTTCAGAGTCTGGCAGTCGATCCAAGTTTCTTTTAAATTGACTCGAATTGAATGCTACGAGATGTACAACAGCAAAGAGTACCATCTCAATGCAAAGGATAAAATCTTTCCAAGCAAAGGTTTGTTCATTTGTAATACCTGGTATAAAATCCAATAAACTATTTTGCCAGTAAGTAAGGAACACGACACCTTTAACAGCAAAAAACTTGAGCATGGGGTTAAATGGTTCCATCATGTGTTTCGTAGCTAAGAAAAAGATCCATAGCCCATAGAGTGCTACTGAATACGAGATATTGTACACTATAACCAAAATCAATTGGTATATAAGTGTATGATACTTTCCACACGCCATCATGAGCAATGACAGAGCTGCAAAAATGGGTTTGACGAAAATAAACTGAATCGTTGCACGTTTACAAAGACGTAGTAATCTTCCATCACGTCCAAGTGGATCAAAACATCGATTGAATGGCCAGGGATGACGAATATCAGGTTCACTCTGGATCTTAAGTACACAAACTGATTCACCACCGGCAAAACTTAATACAAGAGCTAGAAAACTATAGACAACAAAAGCTTCATAACAATCACGAATGGAGTCAAAATACAGCGCTTGATTCACAAATGTCAGTGAGAGGAAGGAACCGATGGCATAAACGGGTACAATCACCAAGATTCGTACAATATAACGTTGTAATTGTGGTCGTGAGTAATGTGTCAAGTGTTGAAGAATATTGTAGACACTCAAGAGTGTTGCCAGGATACAACAAGTACAGGCAGTCACAAGACTGACTGTACGATGAGTTTCAACCCAGTTGAGTGATAACCCAATGAATTCACCATCACCTGTTGCATTGCCCATTAATAGACTTGATTCATTGATTGCATGCATTGAAATCTCCATGATCAGATCAAATAGACTGCGAGATGAAGAAGAAGAAGAGACGGATAATTATAGTGTGGAGTTTTATATATATGGGAAAAGAAGCTTCAAAATAGAAGGAGGAAAAAGGACAGAAAGTGGATGTTTTGGAATAATAATCGATGGATAAGGTTACCCAGATGAATGGATATTATCTATCTGACAATATATGATTCTTCGAGCTTCTCAGATAAACTCTCCTTTTTCTCTATATTTTTGAAAAAAAAGATTTACAATTGAACAACCTCAGCCAGTACTTTCTTTACTCACAGTAGAAGAGCCAATTGATTTGTCATCAAATTAGTCGCTCACATATCGCAGATTTTATCAGCACTTATTTGTAACATAACGAAACCACTACGGACAACATCCTGACAACATTAACCCTGGTAACAATCGACTAACAAACATGCCCATGTATACTTACTTGTTTGCTTTTCCATTATATGCAACGGCGATCAACCATGACCTTATCAAACCCAATTATATCCCGAAATCATGGTACATGCCTCGTTGATCCATTAGCGCAAAGCTCGGTGAACTTTACGTTTTCTACTCTTGGTACGTGTCGATAAGTTCTTGTTATCTCCACTTGAATATCGAATGATGGCTCGGCGGCAACGGTAGATCAGATAAACGAGAGTAGCCATTAACAATGTCAGCACCGCGAAAAAGAAAATGAATCCAAAGGGTTGTGGAATCAGCTCAAAGAGTGTCAAAAGCACGTTGATGAGAGGTCCAGCAAACAACACAAGCATCGTGAACATCGTGCAAAGGAAAAACGAAGCAAACGTGCGGTAGTACTTGGATCCCATGAGTGCCTCCAACACGTAGCAAGGGTTCCACATTGCTGAGAGATGTAGACGATCGGCGGGCTCCGGCAGGAATGGAAAATTGTTGGGCTCTCCTCGCCCCAATCCAGCCGACCGCACCTCTGCTAGATATTTTGGCAGGATTTCCACTGCCACTAGTAGCTCACCAGCACGCACACGATCACCCGTGTTAGAATCACGGGTTGTCATCGTAAGCCAGTTGGCATCTTCCGGGTCGTCTCCCATACCTAGACGATGCATGAATGATTTGACAAGTGATTCGGCATTCTCCATGTCAGCGTCCACATCATCATCTTCTGTGTCGTCGTCGTCATCAGTAGTTAGATTTCCGGAAAGCAAGGGCTGTCTATCCGCCTCCTTTCCGTCTCCATCTGCAATCGAGATAACGACTTCATTGGAACAAGGTGGTTGCAAATGAGCTACAGAAGTGGCGCCTTCTGTAGCAGAGTATCTCAAGCGCTGCGAGGTGCTTTTGTACGGCATGTTCTCACTCCCACGTATACGAATGGGTTTTGGCTTGGCAAACACATTAACTGCCTGCTTCGTTTTGAACGCCGCCTTGAGAAACGACGTAAGGTCCACCATGGCATCAGCAAGACAGTCATCATAGACGACGTCGCGATCCCACAGCTGAAAGTGGAGACAACCACGGTCAGCTTCCTTTTCTGGGTCTAGTGGCAATTCAACATCAAACTTCATGCGCCAGTTGAACGATGCACGCCCGTGCCTAGCTCGCCAGTGTATGTCTGTACTTTGTGACTTATCGTCGTGATTCTGAAACCAGCATTTTACAAACAGGTCACTCAGGTCGGTAAAATCCCCTGCTGTCACATTCTTTGCCTTGTAGACGATAACGCGCACTTCGAACATCTGCGGAGGCGGCAACGAGATATCTAGTGGTTTCACTACATTCATCTCAGATTCCGTTAAGATATCCACCCACAAGCAAAGGCTGCCTTGAGGACGAGCGCTAGAAGGCGTAAACAGCGGACGAACCTCCAATGGCTTGCGACGCTCAGTCCACTCCGTAGAACTACCAAGCTCCTGCCACTTCGCGTCGAACCACCGGTCTTCTAAATCGATGCCAGTTGCACCCACAAAATCGTCGCCATCCATCGCAGTTCCAACTGCAGTGCTTAGTGCCTTACTTAGACCGGTAGGAATTGTTGGGATTGCAAAAAAGTCATAATCTAGCACTTCTAACTTCAACTCCGATGCGCCTGGTAAATCTGCCTTGAATTCGTACATCTTGTGAAATTTTGGTGCCAGAGTCTCGGACTGGTAGTTGGTGCGGTCGTTATACATCTGCTCGCGACGCCTACCGTCTCCAAGACTCACACGCAAGTAAGGATCGCACCTGTTGTTCACGTCCTTTGGATGCAAGTTCAACGCATTCAAAACATACACGCGAACAAGATAGGTCCGCGGGTTGAGAAATTGGTCCAGATCAAAAAGTGGCGGTTCATCACGTGACTTCAGAATACGCACAATACCTTTGAACTTTCCAACGGGACGATAAGTATCTGCAGATTGTTTCATAGTGTCACGTGATGGCATCGAACCCCGGAAAAGTGTAAAGGTCTCGAATGGGGACTGAAGTGTGTCTTCCAATTCACCATCAACTACATCACGCTGACGCATATAATGTGGAAGTTCGTCTTCATCATCGTCGCAAATTCCAAAGCTACTGGACGCGAACATTCCTGCTTTCCTGAGTTTATGTGATTTATCTGGTACCGATTTTTCTGCCAGTACACGTAACGATCGAGCTTTTAGGACTTTGGAAGGGATTGTGCCTGGAAAAGTTGATAGATCGTCACCGTAATCGACATAAGGATTACTTCCACGAACAATGCTCTTGTTACACTCCTCACTGTACACTGCATTTGACTCTCGGAGCGGCATTTTTCTGCTTAAGTTTACCGAACAAACACCAATCACAGGTTTATAGAACCCACCAAGAAGTTGATCGTACACCGTGATATTAAGGCGCGGCGCAAAAAGCGAATCAAGGGGCATCTTTACTGGAACGACGATTCTTTGCAGGAAGTTTGGGTTGCGACCACTCGGTTTAGACGACGGGTTTGTAAACTTGGGCTGATTTGTTTTGGTGATTTCACCAATTTCAAACTTCGCAAACGGGGTGTTAATGGGCATGAACCCTGTTGGTTGTAGACCACGGCATCCCAGGCACATTATCTCTACAAAGACCTCTTCGGCGGGTGGCCGGATTGACTCAGGAGGGTCTACAATGACTCCCGGTGTGTCTTTTTTGATGAGGTCGAATGATAAAAGCAGCTCACCTTGAGTATCACCAGGCTCTTCGTAACATATAGGGAACCACTTCGGACGAGGAGCCGAATATTCACCACTTGCACGGATCTTGGAATAGTCTGATGACGAAATTGGTGGAAAATCTGCCAAACTAAACTTCAGACCTCCAACGTAGTCGTCCGTGTCGTAGCGATCCCAATCATAGACTTGTAGCGACACTTTGGGCAAAAACTTTTCGTTCTGAGGTAGTTCGACATCCAACACGACTGTCTCGTAGAAGCAAGGGTCTCGAGTTGACATACGTGTGCTGACTTGGCCTTCCGAACCGACACAAAAACCTTGACGTACGGGTCCAGTAAACCATCTATGTCGGTTGCTGGTAAGCATTTTCCTTGGAATACATAAATGAAGAGCACATATTTCATGTACTGAACCGTTGTGCTTGCATATTGTCGCCACTGTTGCGCAACTTTCTCCTCCTTACGCACTTTTTGAGTGGAATCCTCGAGGCGTAAATTCATCAGAATGTTACCAGTAAAATCGTGGTCCTTCAGCTCGTCCAGCACCTTGTCTTCATGAAGCACAACCCACTCAGGTGGTGCAATGGCCGTTAGTGCTTCAGGGTCTTGACAGAATAGATCTTGAGCTCTAAAGCGAGCGAAACAGATACAACGTGATTCATTCATCGTCGGACGCACGAGATGCACAAACACGTCGGGGACTTGGTCAAGATCCGCAGGAAGCTCCACGTCAATAATGTCAAGATACTGGTTAAAGTGGCAAACACCAGCCAGGTTGTGCGCCCGTGAGCTTTCTACACTATGGCGACCGATTGAGATCTTGAGCGACATTCGAGCGTTTCGATTCCAGTTGGTATTGCTTTTAAAGACAGGGATTTCCGTTCCGTAAAATAGTGCAGTACGCAGCGTGTATCTTCGCATTCTTGGCAAAACAGCCGTATTGAGCAGGTTCCTAACGTGAGCATCGTCATTTGCAGACTGTGATCCATCTTCCACGCGCATTGACAGCAAGATACGACCACGATATGTACTGGCGTACACGGGGTGGTTCTGCATCATTTGAAGCGGACTGGAGTCGGTGCTGTAGCCAACTGGGGGGCCGTACAAGTTTGTCCACACATTTTTAAACTGATTGGGGTAGCGTTGTACCTGTTTAAAGGAAAATGGCTGTAAAATGTTGGCGACAAGCTGGTCCGTAGTGGCCATGTCCCAGTCCCACACTGACAGGAAAATGTTATCGCTCATAGTTGGCAGAAGCACAGGGAACCATAGCTCCTGATTGAATGTCACTGCAAGATTTTCACTACCTTTCATAGTCACCTTTTTCGTCTCCAGTACATCTTGACCGGTAAAGTATGCTCGAACGTAGCCGTCGATGCCCCCCTGCATCACCATGCTATAGTCCATGTCGGGCAGTTCTTCAGCTCGATAAATCGTAATCACCAAAAAACTCAGCTTCTGAGTCACGCGCGGAGGAACCAACACCATCAAATTAATGTCAGCCTTTGACTTCACTAAACGTTCATCTGGATCTTTGTCTTCTGAAGGATCGTACAACTTCATTTTGTCATCAGGTCCCAACACGACAAGAGACAGTCTACAAAACACAGAACAAGATTTCAGTGACAGATCCCGACACGCTACAAGGAGAGCTGAAAACAAAAACGTACAGGACGTAACCTTGAATACAATCACTGTTGGTTGCCCCACTACCGATGAGCGCTACCCACTTCCGCTTCAATTCATGATCTGGCTGATAATACACGTAAGGAATGTCGACAGAAAAGAAACCAATGAGGTCATCAAACGCGCGAGCGCTAGCCGACCGCTTCGCAGACGAGCCTGGGCCATCTGCGTCATACACCGATATCTTGATGCTTCCTTGTTGGACAGTTTCTTTGTCTAATTGTTTGAAGTTAAAGTACAAATACTCGTCAAACACGCACGAAAGTTGTTTCTGCTTCACCACAGTATACTGCCGCTGTCCAAGGCACTCAACTGAGATAACTGGATCGCACAGGCCATTGGCGTCCATCGACTGCAAGTCGCGCACTTCAATAATTCGCGCCCGAATCTGGTAGTCGCCAGATTGAAACTGCACATTTGACAGCTCAGCCAGCATCTTCTGACGCTCCTCTTCCCGTTGCTTCCATTGAGCTTCAGCTTCTTTCCGTCTTGCACCAATATCGTCGTCGTCTCCACCATCCTTGTATTCTTCATTCGTATCTTCGGCACCATTTCCATTGTTTGCTCCATCGCCTTCGACGGCTTCAGAACTTCCTTGGTGCCACAGCCCGAGGCTGCTCGGAACCTCAGTCGCGTTATCGATTTCGCCTTGCTCCAAGGTGCTGATATCCCGATCAAGATACTGCAATTCGATTGCAAGACAAATCTTTCCCCTTCCGTAGTTCATTGTGCGCTGTGGACCCAAATCACTTGGCGCAAATTTGTCTTTGGTCTCGGTTTGCTGCTCCAACGCCAGCCAGAACGTCTGCTTTTCTCCGCCAAAACGTTTTGTGAACTCGTCCAGGTCGACAATACAGCGTCCCATAAAGTCACTTGTAAGCAGATCGCTGTCTTCAACTGTAAGTTCCAGCAATTGCTTCTCTCCTGGAACAATCAGGAAGTAAAACCTCTGTCGCCACGACGGATCAAGAGTCTGCTGCTGTGTTTTCGTCCGCTGCGACTGGTTCTTCGTGCACGTGACGCGCACGTACGGGTCACTAGTAGCCTCCATACCTGTTCCGTCACAAGCAAGTAATCCTGTCGCCTCCAGAACCGTTACAACATAGAAATTTGGAGGCCGTACAGGTTCTGCTTTCTCTGCACTCGATAATGACCCAGCAGCTGTCACTGTCAATAGGTCCACATCAATATTTTCCACTGCAATTGTCTCCTTTGTTACAGCACGTGATGATGACAAATCATTTATTGTCGATGATACAGAATCTGATGACTTTGTCGTCGTTGCTGGCTTTGTACTGGACGCTGTAGTGTCTTTGATTCCAGATGGCACCACATACTTTAATTCATACGTAATCTCCACTACAAGCTCACCACAATGCTACAAAACAATATAAGAGCATAAGAGCGTAAGAGCGTAAAGCTAAGAGCATAAAGCATAAGAGCAAATACACATAACTTCTCCACGTACTGTTCCTTCACCGTCAATTAACGTCAGCTTCTGTAGGATCTATAGAAAAGTAAGCAAGCATAAATTTCAATGTCTCTTTCTCTCTCTTCATTTAACTATACTATATATACTCTTGATGATTGTATGTATTGGTTTGTTTGCTACCTTTTTGTCCGGTATTACCGATTGTAGAAATAGTGTGGCAGTACCTAACAGTATGTCTTGTCTACGTTTACTCAGCTCAAACACTTGAAACTTAATACTTTCACCTAATGGCTGTTTTATACCAAATATAAAGTTTTGCATCCATTGAGGGGATCTTGTCTTAGCAGTTCGTAGTACGATATTTCCACATTGTACTTGACAATCTATGAGTAGACAAATTCGTATATAAGCAAGAAAGACAGAGGTTTTATATAATTGAATCAAATCAAATCACCTACAGAGATCAACGAGTGGCTTGCTATCGCCCTTTTGTGTCTTGCCGACGTTTGTAGCACCCACTACGACAAGTTCCACACGCGGTGTTGTCACGCTAGTCATTTCTACGTTTTGTTTTGACTGGATTTCACTATACTCCAACAAGCCACAAGATCGCTTTGGACTGATTTTGACTTCAAGTTATATCCAATCAGAACGTATCAGAGTGATGGTCAATTTGAAGCGTAGATGATGTACACAAAACACCCCCCCCTCATCCTCCTCATTTCAATCATGTCGCGACGTCTCGTCCTGCTGCTGGTGTTTTCGATGCTTCTGAGTGTCTCTACGGCCATAGATCGAACAATTCAGTTGAAGACAGATCAATTAGTCACTGTGAAACTAGCAGATGGTACAACACGTGAACTAACAGCTGCTGAGTTTGAAAAACTAGTGAAAGAACGAGGTGAAATACACACCACACTGCAGGACAATCACGACAAGATTCAAGCTGATGATCAAGTGCATTGGCAACGTCAGGAACTGGAACAAACCAAGACACAAGATCCGCAGTTTGCACTGCATATTGATCTTGCTAGACGTGCTTTTAAGGAGATTCAACGCCATGGATATGCACAGGGATATCTACTTGCAGGCTTTAGTGAACAGGACACGAGCAAAGTGACAGTAGATTACTACTATGTGGAGCTGATATTACAAGCTAAGAAGGGTCTGAGTACTGGTGTTGTTGCCAAGACGGGAACTGGTACGAGAAAAGTGGAGAACGAGGGAGAGGAGATGCCGTTATTCTATGAAGTGCAGTTGCTACTGGATGTAGAGAGTGAGTGAGTTGTTGATGCCATAGGGATAGAGGAAAGTAGAGCTGCAACTGACGTGTTACTTTCTGTTTTATGACAGAACGTTTCTCGGTAGTAGCGGCATGGGAGTTGAGTGAAAAGGAGCCGCTTCGAGGACAGAGAAGAGCACGGGTCATCCAACTGACCATTCAGCCGACGGCAGCGCTGCTGGAGCGCAAGGCTGAGCGAGCGCGCAACAAACCGGCAATGGCGATTTGGCTTTTGTCCGGAGGACTGGGATTAGTTGCTGTGGGTCTGCTCGTCATGTACCACACACGCAATCCGATTCCAGCGCCCAAGCCGCGACGTCGATCCAGCGACATGTGGGAGCTTGTGGATGAGAAGGATAACCCAATCAAGACGAACAAATTGGACAAGAAGAACGACTAATGGTAGGAGAATATATTGTCAAAGTGCAAGACATATGGACATGGGATTAACAACAAGTGTGAAGAGATGAGAAAAGAGTCTTGTGCAATGCTTTGATCAAGCTTCTGACCATGGACCAGGTTGCCACATATGGTGAGTTGGCCGCTATGGCATGACATGTGCTAGCAATTACACAACACGATGAAACGAATGTAGCCATTACTACTACCAACTGCAAGTTCTTGAAGAAGAAGAAGAAGAACAAGGTAAAAAGATCAACTTTGACACGTGTTGTTGTTTACGATCGTTTCTTTCTATTTGTTGATATGATTGTGCTAGCTAGTTGATCCTCATAAAGACGTTATAGTTGATTCTCATTATTGCCGATATTTCTCTATATCAAGTAGCTTCTTATTGTGTTCTTTTTTGGCTCGAAAGTCCCTATTAATTCATTAATTATTACGAGCAGTTACATCCTGCCGTCAATTCGTTTCTCTGCGACAAAGTCCCTGTCTCGATGTCGCTGATTGGCTCCTTCTATTTGCCAATCGCAAACAAATTCTGACATCCCATACAAAAACCAAGTGATTCAACATCTCGCGTCTTTTTGAATCAGACGATCGGCAGCCAGCCAGTCAGTCAGTTAAAGCGCAAAGCGTCACTTCTCCATTGGACTATGGCAACACTAAGTGTACTAATTACGGGCTTTGGCGTTGTACGCGACGGTATGCAACCTGATAATGTGGTACGTCTCTCTCTCTTCTTTAGATTGTGATCCTTCTCGTGTCTTATTGTGCTCTGGTTGTATAGGTTTTCTTTGGTACAGTACAGCAAGGAGGTGGTAATTCATGGACAGTTTATCGATCATTTGAGACCTTTCAACGACTTGGCCAGCAACTTGCAATGATCTTTGGACAAGTAATACCTTCCTGTCCACCACGTATGTTTGACATACGCTTTCCAGACTCATTAGAGAAGATGCGTGTGGATTTAAGCATGTGGATCATGCAGTTACTACAGCATCCGCCAATCTACCAATCGCACGTGTTTGTAGACTTTATCAGTGCAGATGCAAATACACCACCACCAGGATTGCAAAACTCAGCCGTTGCTGCTGCACGTGGTGGTAATATTGGTGATCTTGATATGGACGAGATGTTCGACTCGAGTACGGACAATGACCCGCGCTCTCACGATGAGCTGCATGATGACGTGAGTGTTATGCACATTTTCTTACAATGTTCTTGCACAGGATATTGAACGCTACGAACTGTCTTGTATGTGCTTAGATATTCCAGTTTGACTACAACACTGACATGTCAAGTGCGGGTATCGATCAGCAGACATTGCTAAAGGAGACACAACTGCAGCACGCACAACAAGTTCAGGAGCAAAAGAAGAGTGAGAAGGTAACGCTGGAGGACTTTGTTATGATCAAGGTCATTGGCAAGGGCAGTTTTGGTAAGGTGCTGCTTGTGCGCAAGCGAGACACTGGACTCATTTACGCCATGAAAGTGCTGCGAAAGGAAAATATTATCAAGCGCAACCAGGTGGAACACACGCGGACGGAACGTCATGTGCTGGGCTATGTCCGGCACCCGTTCATTGTGGGTCTGAACTACGCCTTTCAAACGTCGGAGAAATTATACTTTGTACTTGACTACTGTGCCGGCGGAGAGCTTTTCTTCCATCTCGGCAAGGTGCAGCGATTTCCCGAGCACCGCGCACGTTTCTATGCTGCTGAGATTACGTTGGCTATCGAGTACGTGCACAATTTGGATGTCATTTATCGTGATCTAAAGCCTGAGAACGTACTATTAGATGAGAATGGACACATTCGTCTGACGGACTTTGGTCTCTCCAAGGAGGGTATCCAGGACGATTTCTCAGGTGCCAACTCTTTCTGCGGCACACCCGAGTATCTAGCACCTGAGATTTTGAACCGCTCGGGCCACGGCCGAGCTGTAGACTGGTGGTCTCTCGGCGCATTGCTGTATGAAATGCTCACCGGTCTACCACCGTTCTACTGCCGTGACCGTGATCGTCTGTTTGAGAAGATTCGCAAGGGTGATCTTAGTTTTCCCAAATATTTGTCACCGAACGCCAAGGATTTGCTGAAGAGGCTGCTTGAGCGCGACCCGACGAGGCGTCTGGGAACGGGCCCGACCGATGCGAGTGAGATTAAAAATCACCCCTTTTTCGCAGAGATTAAGTGGGACGCACTTGCTACAGGGCAGGTGCCGCCTCCATGGCGCCCTACGTTCTCTGGTGCTCTCGACACGTCCCAGTTTGACCGCGAATTCACTGACATGCCCGTGGTGAGCCCGGACAATCACGTGCGTGGTATGGCAATGGCGATGGGCCGACGACCTGCTAATGGCGCCGCGTACGGAAGCAGCCTCACCGGTAATGATCCGTTCAAAGGCTTTACGTATACGGAGGATTCGTATCTGCAAGACGGCCTTCCAGACCGCAGCCCGTTGCCACGAGGAAGCGGTCGTGTGCAGCACCACAACATGTAACAGTGGAACCAAAAAAATGACTCGGTGTCGTATCATCAACAGTGATGAAGCAGAAGTTAATAGCTAAAGGAGAGACAGGAGAAGATTCGGGCTTTTGGGTCCACAGAGCATTGAGCCTTCACCGTGTAAAACGACATGACAAGTGCTTCTGACTCAAATGACGGGAGAGCAAGTGCAGGTATCCTAAGGTTATAGGAAAAAAGCAAGGTGGCAAAGGGTATGTACATATATTTGCTTAACTTCCGCTGCAACTCGCTAGTGTTAACTAGCGAAAACTTATGAGCATTGATAGCAGGCTCTAGCTTGACTGCTTCATGACATTACTTTGGCAAATTGGGAGGACTCGATGTGGTTTGCTGCGGTCAGGGAGCGGTTTCAAAATGGTTTGCCATGACTCGAAAAAGCCGCTGGAATAATGCCGGTGAATCACTGTCAAAATGCGTCCCAGCCATGTGATTCTTGTTGACTCGGTGACGATACCATTGTCCACGTCGCAACTGTGAAAAATTGGCCGGTTCCGTTGGATCAAGATCTAGTCTTTGACTTTCTGCTTTGACGTTCATCCCTTTTTCCTCAAACCTTGGAGTACTGAGCAAACGTACGGATTCTGTCACGGAAACTGCAGCACGTTGCGCTGGTTCCAAGAGGGTTGAGAGAGATGGTGATGTTGTCAACTCTATGTCACCTTGAGCAAATGTTTTGAATGGTTTATCAAGCGCTGACGTCCAAGGTTGTTGCATTGAGTAAAGGTTCACTGCTCCGTCATTTTCATGCCATACTTCCCGATCAAATCCGTCAAAAATCATGTGGAGCATGTGAACATGGCGGCGCATGACAAGCAATAGAGCATATAATGATGGAATCGAGGCAAAGTCCAGGTTTTGAAGTTGTCGTCGTAAACGTAAAAGGGTTTTTATGGAGCAGACAAGTGAAAAGCATGCCACTGCAGTGTGACCTCTGGTAAACCCAATGACAGCAGTAATGATGAAGACCAGGACAAGTAGGATGAGAGTAATTTCAACGCGTGGAATTGTGACATGACTGGATGTGACGACTGAAAGGAGAAAGATCTTGTCCATGTGGATTAACTGAGCATTGCGTTTCATTCGTTCACGAGGAAGAATATCAAATACTGCAAGATCAGTGGACCGATTGATCCGGCCATGAGGTGATAGAATCTCGTGAAATGTGGTGACACATTGCCATTGTGGCATTCGAAAATCAAACACATGACGAAGTACTGGCCATTGCGTGTGGAATTTGAACCACAGACCGAGGATTGCACCAATCAAGTGTCCGAGTGAAAATGGGACCATATGGCGAGTATGTAATCCAAAGAGATGTGTGACAGTTGAGCCTGTTAATGGTCCAGCAATTGAGACTAAACTGACGACCCATTGATGATTACTACCGACCTGAAAATAGTCAGAACAGAGTAATTGATACAATTCTAATGCTGTCGTGCCTCCAAAACTATGACCGAGTAAATGAATAGGGTTGACGGAACTCCATCGTGGATATAAAGGTGACTCATACATTGTGCCAAACCGATCATGTCCGGCTTTTTGACTATGCTGTGCTCCATAATCCACTCGCCCGCCATATAATTGATAAAAAACCTCACATGCTCGATCATGATTGGATGATAATGCTCCTACTTGGACTATCAGATGATTTGTATTTAATTGATTGATTGCTGCCTCAGGCCAATAGGGAGACCACCAATTCCAGAATGGTCTTGTTCGACCATAACCAAAGACTCCATGAATCAAGATAACAGGATATGTAGTACCAGTATCTGATACCATAGCTATATATTATTCGGATATATCGATATTAGTAGTAGAGACAGAGAGAGACAAAGTGGTTTCAAGAGGAAGAAATCAAGGTGCTGCTCGACGGACGATGGAAATTGGAAAATATCATGAAATATAAACCAGATCAGTTGGTGGCTAGTTGGTTGGTGGTCGGATCCGATAGAATAGTACCGAAAAATGGGGACAGTGTGTGCCCAGAGTCATGCAATCATGTTGACTAATACATACCACGTGATTGCTCATCATAGGGCAAAGGAGTGTGCATAGATGCTCGCCAGTGTTAGTAGTCGCATGTGTAAAAATCGGTGCAAATGAATACGCCCATAAAAAGACGCTTCTACTTGCATAGCGTAATCAATAAGCTCAGAGCTTTTTGTCATAAACATGGTACTATCCACTCGATAGCTTTCAATGCTTGACATGTGCTTCATAGACGATAAGTAATAGCTTGACTTGTCGATGAGTGCCGAGGATGGTGCACACTTGTTCGCTAGTCTTTATACTATTAAATGCATCTTGGTTGTTTTGGCGCTGCTTTCTAGTAATACATGAGTCTACCACCGACTCGAGTAGTCACTCGCCTCTTCCCTTTGTAGAAAATAAACTCATACTAACCACGACAACATTCGTTTGGGTTGAACCTAGCCATGAGGCAATCCATAGCTGTAGAGACGCAGTCATCGATGATGTCGATTCGTATTACATGTGTTAGCGTTTATAGAAATTCGAGCGACATGCTTTTGCTTCACCTTGATAATTCTTGGCAGGCTGTGACTAGCTAAAGCAGTTTGCTAAGATCCTGTGGCTTTATGCATTCATGACGCGTTGACGCAAGCTTGCAACAGGATAAAGTTCATTTGAGAATTGTGTTGTGGGACATCATGGAAACAGCGTGTGGAAATCTTATCGCTTGCTGAAAAGCTAGATGTAGTTGTGTATGAACGCCCTTGTCCGAACATGGCAACAAGTTCACTCTGTGAGTGCTATTGTCGAGCTTTCGATTGAGAAATGAATTGACACTCACTACAAGCTCACTTCAAGCAACACGTCTACATTTCATACATCATCTGCTGGATAAGGAGTCGTTTGTATTGATACTTTGCAGTGCAATGTGCTTATCCATGAAGGTCGAGCCTAACAAAGGAATCGCTGCGTGATCAGCTCTCCAAAACGAGAAACACACACCTCAAAGGACGTTTCGCGGCAACTCAAGCGAGAAGAAATCCTAAAAGTCGGACATAACGCGAAGGGTTGCGATGGCAAGCCGCTTTGATGCTTTTTTCTCGGACAGTGAGACCGTAAAGGATAGCGCTATGCATGCAAGTCGTCGTCGAGTGAACGAACTGCGTCAATCTCAAGCGGTAGAAATGCATCGCAGCTCAAGTGGACGGAATTTGCGTCTAAAGCAGCTTTCTGTAGCGGATGAAGCTCAATTGTCGGCGGCACCAAACGCATTGACACCGCGAGTACCTTCCGGACGAAGATTGGAAAGCAGGCAACGATTACGCAGTGCCGATAGCAACAGTAACAACAACGGGCACTTACAGCGACGAAGCAGTTTCTCAATATCAGCTCGTGTGCTGCAAGATCTCGAGCGCATGAGATCGTCGACGGACCCGGAAAGGCTGACAGAGCTTTGTGAGAAGCCGGAACATATTGGCGTATGTCGTGACGGCGACAACGACCTACAACGACGAGAAGATAGCAGTGATAAAAGCAAGAAAGCTCACGAGGACACCCAGGACGAAACTTTACACAACAACTCGGAAGCTCACAACCGTATCCTGCCAGCTTCACAAGAGGAAGAGCAGGTCGAAACTAAAGCAGTGGCAAGCTTTGGGTTGTGGCGGAAAGCTACCAAGAGCAAACGCTTGCCAGATGCCATTATTTTTTCACGATCCGGTAGCGACGAGTCCAAGCCATCACACATATATTCGTCATCTACGTCGGTATCAAGTAGAGCACAACCAACACAGACCCCATCAGTTAGTGAAATGGTCTCACAGTTGCATTTAACACATCCGCATCTAGCAGCACTAGCATTGTTGGATATTCCCATGGCAATGTCACTTACGCGGTCAATCTCACCACGTATCCGACGACCAGGATTCTCCTCATTGCCAGACGATGCATCACTTCGACGTGCAAGTTCAGTACCGACAACGAACGACAAGGTGACAGTACAAGTCAAATCTAGCTCAATACTCAAAGCAAGCAGTTCCATTACACAGTGGAAACGAGGTGAATTAATTGGTGAAGGAACGTTTGGAAAGGTACGTAAGGGATACATTCGATCGGTAGCAAAATATCCTGTTACTATTTCTCTCTTTCTACACGCAGGTCTACAAAGGTTTGAACATTGCAACAGGTGAGCTCTTTGCACTAAAGAAGATTGTCATCCACTCGAGTTCAAATACGAATCAAGTCACACAAATGCAAAAACTTGGTGATGAGATTGAGCTCATGAATAATCTCAGTCACAAGCACATTGTTCGGTCAGTTGAGTACACTATATTCTCCTCACTGAGTGTCATAGCATGGAAATGCATTCTACCCTAATACTAATACTAACACTCTTCCTCTTCTTCTGTATGCAGCTACAAAGGAAGTTATCACACTGCAAGTCATTTCTATATTTTTATGGAGTACGTATCAGGTGGATCAATTGCCAGGTACGTCATGTCATGTCAAAGACTGTATTTGTCACGATTGCTCCCCTTGACCTCATTTTCGATTGATTGATTGATTCTCTACTACAGTATGTTGAAACAGTTTGATGCCTTTAGTGAAGACCTGATTCGTATCTTTACCCGTCAAATTGTTCAAGGTGTTGAATATCTCCATCAAATGGGAATCATTCATCGTGATATCAAAGGTTTGTGACAACAAGATGAGAAACAAACACCGACCGACAACAACCAACATTTCTTCTGTTCTGTTCTCTGTCTTATATCTATATGTCTAACCTCTGTATCGAATACTATAGGTGCCAATGTATTGGTAAATGAACAAGGGGTTGCCAAATTAGCAGATTTTGGCTGTTCAAAGCAACTTCCATCCATGTTGACCACAAGTTTAGAAGAATCCTTACGTTCCATTCGTGGTTCAATTCCATGGATGGCACCAGAAGTTGTAAAACAGACTGGTCATGGATATAAAGCGGATATCTGGAGTATTGGTGCAACTGTGATTGAAATGGCAACAAGAAAGCATCCGTGGCCACATTGTCAGAATAGTCTATCTGCCATGTATACAATTGCAATGGCTACGTCGCCACCTTCATATCCTGACAATTTCTCAGTCCAAGCCAAATCGTTTCTTGAACGCTGTTTTTGTATTGATCCAAAAGGTACAGTAGAAGAGCAAAACGCGTTCTTGTGATTTTTCAGGTGTTTCTTCTAACTTGATATTTGCATGATTGATCTTGCTTTTTTGTGTTAACAAACAGAGCGAGCAACGGCACGTGAACTATCTGTACATCCTTTTCTAACTGGTAGATAGGAAACGTAGCAGTTAAATGTTACAATTCAAGTCAATATCGCACTATAAGGTTGTTTCAATACCTTTTCTTATATAGAGACTTTATGATCACCGACATCAAATAAGGTCCAAAATGTTCTGTATCTCGTTCTCTATTCCTTGTCCTTATTTGCCATTTTCTCTATCACTTTACCCTATTTTCCAACTTCCCCTAATGTGGCGCTCCTTTGTACGGCATTCCGGTCGCTCTTCGTTACCGGCAATCGCTCTGACTCTCGGTCTTTCGTCTTCATTATCATACAATGAACCAATGAAGTCTACTAGTGATCTTTCATTAAGTCCATCCTCGTCATCGGTGGATAAAATACGGCTTTCCCGTCGCTTTACGCGTCGAAAACAGTTAAAACACCATAGTTACGTTATAATAGGTTCTGGTACAGCTGCAAATGCAGCAATTGAAGCTATACGACAGGAAGATACAAATGCTGATATTCTCATGCTTAGTGATGAAAATGCGTTACCACGTTATGACTTTAATAGTCACAACAAGACAAGTCAAAGCCCCATGGACGATAATAAGTATAATAATGATGAAGATCCGGCACAAACTTATAATAGAGTCAAGAAGGAGGACACGCATGACGATATAATAGCGTCTGCTCTATTAAAAAGCTACAACGAATGGAGACGACATTTAAGTGCACGATTTGAAGACGATATTGTTCTCACTTCCTTCACAACACCACCAACAGCTCCTCTGACTTTATTATTGGATAAACGTCCATTGGAATTTGATGTGGAAAAGAATCGTGTTTTCCTCGGTGATGGAACCGAAATACGCTATGAACGATGTCTTATTGCATCTGCTGGACGTCCAAAACATTTCTACGTGCTGAATAGTGATCGAGTATCATATTCACTTCGAGATCGAGTTAATACATGCACCACTCGTGCAGATTTTGTACGACTTGATCAACTAGCAGCTGGTGAGACAACAATGACCCATGAAAATAAAGAAGAAGCAGAAGGTGATGATGATGATGATGATGGGACAATCTGCCAACGTGTTTTAGTCATTGGTGCAGGATTTCTAGGCTGTGAAGTCGCTTGTGCATTGGCGACGGACTCACGAAACAATCATTTAAAGACGAAATTGGTGTTTGTAGAACAGGCACCCGCAGCAACGACGTTACCGTCGTATCTTGCTGAAGACCTCGGACGGCGTCTCTCTCGTGCGGGAGTAGAGGTACTACCGGACAGATTAGTCACGAGTTTACGACCAAACGTTGATGACAATGACAATGAAAGTGATAGTGGTGTGACGGTCAGTGTACTTGGGAAAGAAAAAGCGGAAGCAGCGCTGGATGCAGACTATGTAGTATTGGCGTCTACGCACACGGATCCAGTCCCGACGCTTCGAATGGGACGTGCAACACGCGCTGGAGGCGGACTCGAGCGAGACGAGAAGAATGGCGGTTTGGTCGTGAATGCTCAATTGGAGGCTATTTCCGGTCTTTTTGTCGCTGGTAACGCGGCAAGTTACTTTGATCCGTACCTGGGAAGACGTCGTGTCGATCGATACGATCACGCCGTGAACAGTGGGCTTACAGCTGGCCGCAACATGGCCAGGTCTCTGCGTGGCGCTGGAAAGATGAAGACGTACAGACACCAGCCATTGTTTCGCAGCCATCTAACCGGCGTAGGCGTATTGATTGAAGGTATTGGGGAGGTGGACTCGTCGTTGCGTACCGTAGGTGTGTGGGTACAGCCACCCAATAGTAGTACCGGTCCTGATGGCGCTCAAGGAATGCCATATGAGCGTGGTGTGGTGTACTACCTCAAGGGCAACAAGATTATGGGCATTCTGCTCTGGAATGCGTCGGACGTGTTGGAAAGTGCTCGTCAGCTCATGTTATCGAGGCCGGAAATCCGAGACAACGTCGTGGAGGAGCTGAAGCACACAATATCACTTGCACCGAACGACTGGCTGCACGTGATCTCCACGTGACCAAGCAGCAGCTAGTGGTGTGAAAGCATGTAGCAATGTGTTGGCGATCTTTTGTTCTTTGTGTTTTTGCAACAAGCTTGATGGAATCAATGAAAGTGTTGAGGTTCTACCGGCGTTTACAGAGACTTGTTGATCTTTACACCATTGCTAACTCTTGGTCTTGCAACGCGTTGCTCTGATGCTGAGAATAACAGGATGAAGTAAACGTCTACAAAAGCGTAAAGGATGCTGCAGAACGCAGCAGTATCACGGTAGCAAAATTTTGGGGGTGCTGCTCGTTACGGCGACAGGTAATGTGCTCACGTCGAGAGGATATTGCAAGGAGCCGGCTTGATTAGCATTGCATCCTTTTGAAAGAGTTCAGGATGATAACGATGACTAGAGCCCATAGAAGTTATCTCTCCAACGGCCGCAGGACTTCAATGCTATCGAGGACTAGAAGATGAGTGAAAGATGAAGGGCATGGAGTTGAATCTTGACTATACGAAACGTGCGTCATTCATACGCACATCAAGTGCTTTGAATGTGCTCAGAATCGCGGTAACGATGTTTGAGTGACTTTGACCTATTATCTTGAGATGCTTGTCTGTCTACATTGCAACTTAGATAGAGAGCAGTTATCAAATGTCCGGCAGTCTGTCTACCTCTAGCAAGTAAAGGCCTTCAATTGCTAAGAGCAATACTAGCTATTCTGCCTTGTCGACACCTCGCGTCGCCCTCGGGCTTTTTGGAATATTGAAATGGCAGCTCTGCAACTTCTCTAAGATGATGATGGAGTGAATCTTCTTCTAGCAGATGTTGCTACCTCTCTCTGTTCAATCGACTGGTCTTGCTTTAAACGAAACGCAGACCGTATGAGAATATTCTCATCAATACACTTTAATGTAGAGAGTCTCAACACACAGTATGTATTTACTGGATATTCCCTTGTAATGCAGAGCGTTTCTAGGTACTTCTTGTCCAAACGATAGGATTTGAACCTTCTTTGACGACTGACTATCTTCGACGACGATGGCAAACTGCAACATTCAACTAGTCGACGAACGTTCCTTTAAAACAGCTGGTATAGCAGCATATGTATATATACACTTAAAGTTGACACTTTGTGCTGAGACACATCTGTGACATGTATCTACACTTTTCCTTGTGATGGGCGCAATAACCTTCTGTACCACGTATACATGTGATGGGTCCACCATGATATACATGGACAAGCTTTCTAAAGACATGTGTGAATGAATGATTTTTACATCTGCTGAATAGAAGAACGGTGGTAGAGAATGACACGGTGGAAATATTACCGCACAGCCGTGAAAAATAAACTACAACACAGCTCTCTTCTATTGCTAAATTCATGATAAGACTTTGATGCTCAGTAGGTTTTGAAAGCTTGTTGCTGGTGGTGCGATTGATTACGATGAGAATGATACACACTTCGTGCCGATTAAGACACTCAATTGAGCACCCTGTGCTAAGACTTTTGTTCGATATGAGCTCGGTGGTGACTGCAACAGCTTCTACAATACATTGTGCGATGAATTATCACGAATCATGTGGTTACGGACATATTGACGGCACTCTTAAATCGAACGTCTTGTTGTCGTTTGACAAGCAATAGGTTGTCAAATTTAGTGGGTACCTAGTTCTAATGATGCGAAAGCTCTCCTCAGTCCAGGTCAATGTCCAAAACACTGTTTGTAAGGTAGACCGACTGCGATATTGATGGCACACCGCTGCACCACATTGACTGCGTGTTCCTCTGTGTAAGCTGATACACGCTTTCAGCATTCTGTCGCAACTCTACCATGCGTCGCATGAGCTCGCGCTGACGTCGCTCGTGGCTTTCTGACTCGGACGTGTAAGGCTTCATTGGCATTGAAATTGCGAGCTTGTCCGCTGAATCAAATTCGGGTAGATCCGAGAACGTGTGGATTTGCCTTGTATCTACGTCATTTTCGTCGAACTCCTCGTCCATGTAATCGCTGCTGGAACTGACCATGCTGATGCTGTCACACAAATCTAGTTCAGTCAGCTTCTCCATCTCTGCCTTGTCATTCGCCACGGGCGGGTGGGTCAGTGACCGTTTCCGAGCTGGCACGTTCAAGTCGTCAGAACTCCGATTCCTTTGTCGAGTAGTTAGATTCAACAGATTCTCATCTGTCTCCACTGGCGTCTCAAAACGCGAGTAGGTCGATGAAGATAACGCTGTGGTGTTGCTAGATATACTCGAGCTTATCAGGAATCGGCGCAGTTGAGTAGAGACCAAGTTGTTCGTTCGGATTGACGCAATCTTACGGAACGATGACTGTAGTTGCAGTTCGGCACGAGCAACACTAACAGCGCTGTAAATGGAGCCTTTTGCCACACACGCTGTGCAAAAGATAGTGTTTTGCTGCTTAAGCTCCTTCGGGCGCGCAACTCGGTAGCTCAAACGCCTAGTAACACGGCACCGAGAACAAACTGCTTCAGAGCAGAGCTCACAGCGAGCAACGCTGCGGAACATGTGCAATGTGGTCGTGCACACGGCACAAGGCTTTAGTGCTTCGTTTGGTCTTGAGAACGCGACCAAGCCATTACTACGGCTAAAATGATTAGCCCGCTTCTTTTGCTGCTGCTCGAGCAAATACTCGAGTTTCTTGCTATGCGAACACTCGAAAGCTTGTCCAAGCCTCAGAAGAAGTCGGACTGTAGCTGTCGTGGCAACTGCACCCATCATGTGTCCGTTTGGGTCGACAAGGCCCGTCATGTACACGTCGATTGTGTTGTTAGAAAGCTGCCGAAAAAGATTGCAAGTCACGACACGAGCTCGTAGCACCTGGTATTTCTCTGATAGTTCGCCGAGCTCTGGAAGGTCCACGGAGTGCATGATATGATAACCTATGCGCTCACCATTCGGACGAACGATAATTCCTGTTGCCTCGACGAACACAAAGTCGCGTTTTGTCGCAATCTTGGTCAGTTCCAGTACGTGCCATTTGACACCACAAAATTGAAATGGGGTCTCGATCGTTGGAGACTCAATGCAGTGCAGCAGCTCCGAATCCAGCAGCTCCTCGTTGGTATACGATGCCCGAATAAACGTAGACGTTGCGTCTGTAGCAAGCAATCCATACATGACATCGTCCAATGTACCAACCATTACTCCAATCGTCACGATTTTTGGGATACGCCATACAACATCATTTGCGTTGCCATGGACGAGCCGTTGACGGTAGCAAATGAGGTTTTCAACTTTTTTGACAACCTTGTAGTGAGATCGAGGCAGAACTCGTCGCTTCTTTTGTTGGTGTACTTCGTATTCTCCTACGGTCTCTAATAGAGTTTGCTGAACAATTGACTCAATTTTGCGGCTTTGTGCTTCCGATAGTGCCGGGTAATTGCCAAACGGTGCACGGGACAATGGAAACTTCATTTGACGTAAATCGTATACGCCGATAGCGCGAATCAATCAGCACTGTAGTGCTACAAGAAATTTGAGATTGTGGACATTGTATTGATGCAGTCGCATTGGGAAACATTCGGAGCAACACATGCACTTGTTTGTGCAAGCTGTTGGAGTCCAAGGCTGGTGAATTCCTGTTCAGAAGAATCGGATGTTCCATGGCTCAGTGTTTTCTACTCCAAAGGATAAACGATAGGGGTTGACCAGCCCTACCACTTGGCCACAATCAAGGAAAGCCGCTTCTCGTGCTAACTTACGTGTCCATATGTCTTACACGCTAGTGAACGGCTGGCTGTAGTGCAAAATTGATGCAAGAAGACGGAGCTGACGCAAACGTGTGAGACTTTTCCTAACTATACAAGTGATGCCATGATATGTCGGTGGAGACACTCATATATGGTTAAGATTGTCATGACAAAGTGACGTTCGATTCGTCTTGCGTCGTACTTGTGATTGATACGGTGTGCTTCAGCACAGCAGATTCTAGATCAATCTGTTTCGAGCTAGTCATGCAGGAATGTCAAGTTAAGGTCGACCATGACACCCTTTGTCGGACAATGAATGTAGCACCAGCTCTTGCATCTACCCCGTTGCTTTCATGCGTTTACTACTGAAGTTATCCTTGGTGCATGGATAGCAATGAGATTGGTGACAGTCTAATAGCTGGAGTCATAAGGTAGTGAGTGATCAACGCAGACTGTCATAAGGTTTAGCTGTTTTTATGCATGAAAGCTAATAAATCTGGTTCCATTCGTTCGCCATACGACAAGCCTCAGCTGGGACTGTTGCGATTATTGTGCCAAGCGATGGCTTGTTCCATCAGGAGTGCTGGTCAAGTAGATGACTTATGCCGCCACATTTACTTACTTGTTGAGCTATCAACAGTTGGTAGGTCACATTACCATCATCTGTTGTTACATGATTTCCACGCTTGGAATTCGTGTATTCTACTACTGTTTCTGACCGACTTGTAGAGCACACGTGTACGTACATAAGCCTCGCACAGCTCACACATCTATTAGTCGGTAATCGATAAATATATCGCAGCTCATAAGGGGGCTTGTCTACTTTCTACTGCCGACAGTCATAGCACGTGTCGACCGTAGGCCCACCACGTTAAAGGTGAAGGGCTGAGAGAAGGTTCGAACGCCACGGAGGTTTCCAGACGCATTGGTAGGCGAAGTCTTGGAAATGCGGCCGCTATCGCGCTCCTTGAAGGCTGCCTCGGTGTTCGCTCTTGCCACCTGATACGTCGACTCGACGACATTATGTAAATCCTGCATTTGCTGGAAAAGCTGATGCTGGTACGTGGTTTCTTCAGAAGATGAGACCGTCGTGTGCGCGCGATGCAGACGAGATTCCGATTCAGCAGAAGAAATCTCGGCCTCAGTCTCGGACTTGCCCTTCCGCAACTTGTCCTGGGACATCATCATGGTGCGCACTTCAGCAATTGGCGCAGCCTCCACCACTTCCACCTCAACGGCCATAGTCATATCATGCTCGTCGGCATCACCATCATGCACCGACATCGCCATCAGCACTGGTTCGTCATATTCCTCTGGTAGCTTTCTTATCACTTTGGTCTCTTCCTGCGTCAGCTCAGGCGTCCAATTGTCCTCTTCAGGTTGTTGCTCTTCCTCGTCGTCATGCGAAAGCTCGGCCAAACACCCCACATGTTTCTTTGGCTCTTCCGTCTCGAGATATTTCTTATCTCCTTGTTGTTTCGTCTTCTCTTCGTTCTCTTCGTCTTCTTCTCCTTCGACGATGGGTGACTCGTGCTGAGACTGCGGAGCGTCACTCGTGGGTGTTTCGCACATTTCATAGTCGTCGTCAAGCACAGCGACCGACGACTCATAACTTGATCGTCCCTCGCCTTCGTCACTACTCTCAAACTCGCCGTACTCCACAGTATCTTCGTTCTCTGATTCTTGCACGAGGTCCTCTTCACCTACGGACAGAACGTAGTCGAGGTGCCGCAGATTGCGAAGCGTCATAGTCACGCGGTGGTCCAGCACTACGGGCTCCTCCTTCGTGGCTTCTTCCTTGTCAGCAGCAACAGTGACTTTGTTTTTGTTGTTGTTTTCCATTCCAAGGTCGGCAAATGAAAGAACGTCAGTCGAAAGTGTAGTACTTGCCAACGAGCCAACACTCATTCCAGACGCGTTAAGCAAAAACTTCTTGGAGAAACGAGCACCCGAGCTTGGCCGCTGCAGCGGTGTTGAAGACTGAGTGAAAGTTGATGAACGAGGACCCACCGACTGCCCTAGCATCGATTCCTCGTACGGAGGCCCTCGGCTTTGGCTAAAGCTGCCCAGGCCTTGACTAAGGCTAAGACTGCTGGTGGCCGCGCTGCCTCGGCTGTTCATCTCACTGCCCCGGCCCAGCACCACAGTAGCGTACGTGCTTCTTTCCGATGGGAAGCTGCTTCTAAAGTGCGTTGCCGAGATCGCCGATGACGCGCGCGTGCGACCATGAGCACGGACCCATAACTCCTGACGTGCGATCTCCAATGCGCTTTCATCGCTAACACTGGCAACACACTTCTTGCAAAAGTTGATGGACGACTGTGTGACCTGCGCTTTGAGCGTTGTGCTGCTGAGTTTGCGCACTATGCGGCATCGACTGCAAATTTGCTCTGAGCATAGTTGGCAAGAAGTTGTTTTGGAAAAGACACCAAGCTTGCCACGGCAAACACCACACCGACGTTGGTTTGTTGTCGCACTATAGTTGCTGCGCTGGGATACGGGCTCCGTCGTGTCACGCACACATGCTTCGTCTACCGGTGTCAATGCAGAGAGTCCTCCTCGAGACGATCTGATTCCACTATTACACAGTGCATTACCTCCTCGAAAAAATGTACCACCGCAGGATCCAATAGTTGACGGGCGCTCGTTCTGCAGACAGTACGCTAGCTTCTTGTTGTGTGCGCATTTGACAGACTTCCAGCAGTTGCTGAGAGCTGTAGCTGCTGAACGCATTGCCATTCGACTGAGCACATGACCACGTGGGTCAACAGAAGCCGTCATGAAGACTTGAACACGGCTGCAACGCATCTCCTCGAAAATGTAGCAGCTCGACACTTTGGCACGCAAAATGCGATGTTCATGCAATTCGCGACACGTCGGGATCTGGACCGAGTGCATAAGGTGAAAACCTACACGAGAGTTATTAGGACGTATCATGATGCCCGAGAACTCGAGCACTACAAAATCACGGGGAAGCACAATGCGAGCAGCGCCGCGGTATTTGGCACGTACGAGCCACTTGATACCTAAAAAGCGGAACGGTTCGGCAGGTGACGGACTTCTAATTTCTCGTAGCACAGAGCAGTCGGCAATGTGCTCACCAAGGTACGAGCTACGCAGACGAGCGGATGACGCGTTGGGCGACACAATTCCATACATGACATCATCCAAAGATCCACGCAGGGTGCCAACTGCAAGTAATCTCGGTAGACCTGAGTTGTCAGCTTCTGTATTGGAGAAAGCCGCTGTCGTGATACGTGGCTCAGATGGCAAGTCACCACTGCTGTAGCTATCAATTCTGGAGGTATCACGGCTAGCTTTGATGGGGTCCATGCCAAAAGCTGTCTTGTTTTTCTGTGGTGATGAAGGTCCAAAGCTGCGTGTCATAGTAGCAGAGATAGTGTGATTTCTACTGTCCGATTGATCCGACGTCACAGGGTCTGATAAAGGTGCATGTTGACTGGGTCTACTACTGTTTGCCGAGATGGAGCTCTGATATAGCGCAAGTCTGGTTGGAGTCTGTTGACATCCGTTGTTTGTGTTTTGTTCCCGGTAGATGGAGACGGTATTGCGTGTCCGGATGGACTTCCACCGCTGAGAGTCTACACGTTTCCGGTCATGTACAACAAAGTGATCGTACTCAGCAAGTGTAGATTTGATGAGTGCATTGGCAAAATGCTCGTATTCAATTTCTTGATTCTCTGTGAGTTCCAATGGAGGAAAAATGTTCTTGGGTAGTGGAAACTTCATTTGTATTGACGTCCACGAATGCAGCGTGTTGGTATTTTCGTTGTGTTCCTACAGTCTCGTCAAGTTGTTGAAACGAATGAAGTGACTGATATTGTTGATCTGAAAACCAATTCGTGCGTGCTTGATTGATTCAATTGAGTTACGACGGACGTGATCTACAAGAACTCGAAAGTGGAGCAATCGATACTAGCGGAATTTGCTAGTGTTGGACTCGATATGAGCGCTTCGTGCACGTGGTCGTTTGGTGAATGACACGACGGCGGAAGAAACGCACGCACTGACTGGATTTGAACAACGTTGTTTCGAGTGACCGGTTTACAACAAGAAGCAGATCCTCAGGCATTTGTCAACCCTACAACAATTGTAACGTCGTTGAGGTTCTTCCTACTTTGGTATGGGCCTACCATTCTGACGTACGTTGCAACTCCATATGGTTCATAAAGACAAGACGTTATCTTACCTTGAGTAATACTTGATGACAAGAGTATGTTTTGTATCGGGTGGAAACATGTTGTTTAGTATTATTATTTCTATTATTATCAGTATCATTAGAAGCTTTGGCTCAAGAAGCAAAGGAAGAAAGCACGTTGATACAATGCTATTTGCTGACTTGCATCTTTATCTCTCTCTCTATCGTTTGTACCATGGCATTTAGTTAGTAACAACGACTGAATATTGATTGACACGCTTTCGAGTGAGTATCAGAGTCAGTATTCAGTCTTGGCTTTTTCCGTCTTGTTAACTGAATTGTCTTTTAAAGACGGGACGGAGACCGTTTGTTCTTCTTGATCTGCACGAGCCATTATTGGCTCTTGTGAATCTTTTAATGCTACTTACTTAATGTGTTTCTTTATTCTCTCTCTTACTGTCTTTAATGAGTTGGCGGACATGTAGCCAGTAGATAGATACGTGTGCTTTCTTCTTTCATACACACTGCGTACTTTTTGTATTGCTGCTCCTGCTTTAATGTTTTCGACGTTACGAGTAAAAATGTGTCCAATGTTATCGAATCAACCCGTATGACGTGATGGGATCACGTTACATGTCCTACTTGGCATCTTGCAGCTATCTTGGAAGAGCAGGATATCATTCAGTAATGGAAAGGCTTTCTTCAACGTAACCTTTACGTATCGATCGTATGATGAGTTTGCTATTATATTGTCATTCAGCTGCGCAAAATAAGACACAGAAGACACATCTGCTACTTTCTTATGAGAAGAATCTATGTATTATGGTACTAGACGCAGACTGATGGTGGTGTGTTTGTTATTCTTCATGCTGCTACTAAAGAGTGAGTTTACTAATGCCCAACATTTAACAATAGTAGTATGCTACTACTATATTGTTACTCGTTGGAAAATAGTAATACTTACAATAAAATAGTACTATTTTCTTGCATGCTCAATCTTTCTTTTCCAATACTATCACAAAATTTATTGTACTTGCTGAATACATGAGCAAAGTAAATGTTAACCTTATATTGTAGCAATCATTTCGATCTCGAGTATTTGTCATTCGCAACATACATCCACCACATGACAAATGGTCTTCCAGCTAAATGTTATCGGTTCATTAATTTCTAATGTCTATCTGGCTATGTATTTGCCGTGACAGCTCAACCAATGCTAGCTAGGTCGCCTTGGCGTCAAATCACAGTGTAATGTGCATTACCAAATGAATGCTACAGTCACTTGAAATACTCTTATACGACCTTTGTAACAACGAGATAGCAATGGGCCGCACAATTGATTTGTAGCTAAGCTACAGAGTCACTTTGTTTCTCGTCCATAATCTAATACGTGAAGCAATGAAAGCTATGCTACGTACTAGTTTAATCATACACGCTACATGTTGATACATATATGTGTCCGTATGAGGTGTTGTTACTAGGACGATTCCGCAAAGCTTGGATAGTAGTAGTAGAAATATAAATCTTGAAAAGCACGTCGATCTCGTTGTTGTTGTAGCCTAACAATAAGATGGGTCTATGCTGTAAGAGCATTCTCAAATTCCCGTTTTTCAACTTTGTATCACGTTGTCATTTGATAGAAAACTTGCTATACGATCATTCAGAAGAAGTGATTCTTGTATTTTCCCATGGAAACTCGCTCCCAACCTCGCTTGAGTTTTTCTGTAGTCGACAACTTGCAGCTGTGGTGATTCTCTTTGACCGTGGACGTTAAGTGGCGGATGCAATGCAGCGTTAACGATGAGCCTACCACGGCATCCGCTTAGGGACATACCCGCCTCAACAGCTTCATTCTCAACATACGGCAAGATTGTGACGACAGCTTTGCGTACGCAAAGCCATCACTGTGAATCTGAACACTAACCGGCAGGTTGGCGTCTTCGAAAATCCTCTGGATGCACAACGTTGATCGTCAAGCAATCCTACGAGGTAGCAATGGTTTTGGCGCCCTCACTCCACGGTCATGGATTCGAAGAGTACTTTGTTGCGATCATGTGATTCATCCACGTTGTCGGGCCATTCATAGTAAATGCATCCCGATGAAAAGGTCGCGGTCGTTAGTATCATTGGCGTTAGCTATGTGCCGTCTCTAGTCTTTTAGCCTACTGCTCAACACTTCGTGCTGCATAGGGTACAGGCGCGTTTGAGGTGATCCAGAGTAGGTCACTATCTGAAGTGAGAGTGTGAGGTGTTGCATGGTATCAAAGCCATTGTACACACAACAAACTAGCACGAAAGTACGTTGAAATTCACGTCGTACTTTTACAACTACAGTTACTACTCGTGTTCGTCCGTGACGTAACATAAAGAGAGACCTTGACGTTGATCGTACATTCTCTCGTGTGACTGACCATCGCAGATTTGACAGACCAATGGCTGAGAATTCATGTAACCAATTAAAGAATCGAGGGTAATGTCGAACTCAAGTTAGAAGCACTTTAACGGTCGATTGCTGCTGCACCGAATATTAAATGTCGCCAGTAGTGCCTTGAATCCTGCTGGCTCGCTCGATTCGAAACTTGGTCAGCTAGTCGCTTTTAATTTGGTTAATAATAAACACTGAGCGTGAAAAAAGACTTGGTCGAAACTATAGAGATCTGGCTGTACTGTACGTACACCTAGAGCTTACATTACATATGTATTCACTCCTATATCTTGCAAAGCGTTACACAATCTTCACCTGATTGAGATAGACCGAGTCAAAAAAAAACACACGAAAACCACAACATGTCTGTATATTACCATTGCTTGTACATACTTGAGACAATGCCAATCAATTCAATACCTTTTACTAATGGCTCGAGATTTCATGGTTTCATTCTCTTCAGTTTGATCCATCTCTGTCCGTATTTCCAGTCGTAGTTTTCGATCTTTTCTCTTGCCTGTTCATCGTCACATTGTTCACAAGAAACGTCCAGTTTATTCTCATTTGTGTTTATCTAGAGACCACGAAAGGTTTGAACCAAAGACATTCATAAGTGAAAGTCCTTTCTTCATGATCAAACCTAAAAAGACTCAACACTCTATCTCGTCGTCTACTACTACAAGTCGTCAAACTAGTCGTAATAATCGTCATAGTAGTCATAGTAGACATAGTCATAATACTAATCATCATCATCATCATAGTTTTACTAGTAGTAGTATGAGTAGTGAGGTGACTCATCTACCATCAACGAATCCACGAGGATCATTGGAAACATCCAGTGAATATATCGCACGAGCACAAGAATTTGCCGATGCGCGTGTTCATAAGACGCTACAAAAGTATCACAGTAATCGTGCAGCTGCTTCATACACGTCTGGAGATTCGACGGGTGTTGATTGTTCACAGTGGAAACTCGTTAAAGGTGGTGGACGACATCATGCAATCTCTTGTTATAAAAAAGTATCACCTAGAGGACAATTTGGTGGTCTTAGGAGACCACATCGAAAAAAGCAGCAAGCAATACGTATGACTATGAGTCGCAAGGAAATGTCATCCGTCTCTGTCTCTGATCAAGCTGAATTACTGGCGATTGGACAAGTACCCGGTACGCTCGAAGACATGCTACACGGTACCGTGAACCTCACACCCGAGGCCATGCAAATTGAAAGCGCGCACGCCCTGTGTGACTTGCTCGACAGCCGCGTCCTGACTGCACTCGTCGTCCCCTCGATCAATGCACCGTTCCGCTCGCTCACACTCAAGTGGGCACTGCGTCACCACGAAGTACTGTCAAGACATCGAGATTATGTCTACATGGAAGCCACTGGAGTGCTACGAGATCCACAAGACAATGGTGCGAGGGTGGGCTACCACCTCGTGCACTCAGTGACGCTATCGTCCGCCCCGGAATTAGCACCGGAGATGCAAATCGTGCGCGGTCACTTATCGTACTGCTATCTCTATAGACAGCACAGCGAGACCCAAGTTGAGCTCTTTTTTCTCGGGGGGATGGCACCACGTGGGGGTGCAAAAGACCGTCTGGCTTTTGCTCTGATGACGGAGGCTGTGCTGGCTTCACCTAGTACCATCGAGTGTGCGATGATGAAAAAGCTGGCATTCTCACTGCGTACCAAGCATCTGACAATTCCTCGACCGCATTCACTACCGCTCAATCATCGAGAGGACAACTTGGGTCCAACTTATGGACGCAAGAGCACATTCGGCAGCAGCATATTCCACTCCTCACCGGTGACTTTGAACAGCAATCATAGCAGCATGGTATTTGATGGAGGTCTCGGTGGTAGTCCATGTCGCGTGTGCCATCGCCCAGTGCGGGCATTTTTCGGTGGAAAAGTGACTTGCTGTGAAATGTGTGAGGAGCCTGTGTGCAACCGTTGTAAAGTGACCAAGAAGGTGTTTGTGTTTGAGAGTGGCGTACTTCACCCGCAAAAGATGGACTTCTGCTCTGAGTGCGTGGCGACTACAAGCCTCCTGAACGCTGGATGGGTGGCCTCGCAGGAGCTCACTCGTGCTGCTAACGTGGTGCACCTAAGCGCAAAAAGTAGCTCGCCATTGGAGGATCATAGCTCCAAACCCTACGTTAGTCTCGGCTCATCATCTTGGAACGGCGACATGTCGAGAATTAACGAAATCCGGGCCACCATGTCCTTGGACGCCGCAATGGGGCATTCTGCGCCTCAATTTGTTGTCTGGTTGCCTACCGATCACATGCACCCGCGGCTTTCTTCCATTGCCCCGATGGATGTCGAGATAGAAGGTAGTCAACCAAGTGACGACGGCCCTGAGAATAAGGGGTACAATTGGTGCGAGGAAGACACCTTTTTCGACAGAGACGCCTTTGTGACGCTAGATGACGACGACGCTATCCCTATGATCGACATTCCATCCGAGGGAGAGGAAGATGACTATGAGAGTGACTAGCGCTCGATCATGCGCAATGAAGTGTGACATCGTTTTGATCGCCGAGCTCGTAAAGATTCACTTTGCGTGCCCAAGGCAGAAGGACACTGGCCAACAGACCAGCAGTCTTCGAAAAGACTACGAGGACACGCAGATGCGGTCAGTACTCTTATTTAATCAAGTAAGTGAACTCTAATAAACGTATTGGGCAGCGCCACGACTAATCAAGCGGTTTCGTCTTGTACTCGTTCTGGACTCAAACACTCTCTTTCCCACGGCTTAAGATTTCATCATCTGCAAGCAAACTGCGTCGCTGTGATCAGTTATTACCACTTGTCATCTTTTGCGTCTACGCTCGGCTCATTGCAAGTCAGAATTCTGACAATCTCTGATAGCACAAGATGTCGTCTTCATCTCTCTCAACAGCTACCCACATTGTGTGTAAATGCTTCGCTTCCGTTTTCCACGGCCAGAAATTTGCATCCGTATACGAAAGGCTTGAGTAGTCTGAAGTCAGTATGCTATCTCTTGAAGCCGCAAGGCGCCTAGATTCAATCGAGTAAATCCATACACTGCACTTACAACTGTTGTAGTGCTCGTCGAGAGGTTCAGCTCGGCGCTCTGCTCTCGTACTCTAGCTCACTTTAGTTGGTAATTACTGGAAATAGGCACCAACGCCAGTCTCAAGCCACCGGACCCACTGTTTGCATTCACTTCCAGGCCTTCTGCTTGCATTATTCTGCTAATGTCTAAATGCACATTCTCTTCCTGACTTCTGCTCATCAACATATACATTGCCCACGTTCTACCTTGTACATTCCAAGGCTGACGTTCAGTATACTCGATGATGGAATGCACATCTACTGTTGGTCTGCTGGTTCCTATATGCCTGTAATGCTCATGATAATTGACACAAAAAGCTCAAATCGTGGGCGTGATACCGTCGCAAGGGAGAGTAAACAACATGATTACCCCAATGCAAGCGACATGCTGATGATGGGTGGAATATTCCAAGTGACGTGATCGTCGTTGGCCGATGCCTCCTCACTGGCATATGCTTGATCGCAATGTCACTCAAAAGCCAGCCAGTGATTTTATCCAAATGATATACTGCAGATACCGGTTCGAATCACAGAATCATCATCAATAGAAGCCTTTGCCTATTTTTTTTGACTCAAAACACCTTTTTTTCTGTATTGTGTCTGTAAAGAGAAAAACCTTACTAAGCACCAACATTTGTCAAAAAACTCCTCCATTTCTCGCTTTACCATCAATGATGTTGTTGTGTGCGGCACTTCATTTTCATGTACAAAACACAATCGAATCAAAAAGCAGCCATCGGTTTCAAACATGCGCCGCACAGCTAACACCGATACAGAAGCCGGCTCGAAGCTTCGCGCCAGCCGCGTACGTCGCCAGCGCAATCGTGAGCGTAGTCTAGATGAAGACGATCTCGAGAAACGTTTCGGACAAAGCATGAGCCTGTCTCTGTCGGCGCCTGTGTTCGTGCCAGCGGCAAAAAGCACAAGCCAAGCACCAGTCGCGGCATCTTCGCCCAAGCGCTCAATGGCGTTCGTGACAGAGCGACGTGGATCCAGCGTGCGCAATTCCTCCTCTTTGTCGTGTGCTGACGCTTCTTCTGTTGCCGTTTTTCGTCGCTCGAAACGCTCGGCCGCAGCTGCAGCCGCTGCAAAACTTCACAAGACTATTGCAGCCAAGACAACGACGCAGCAGCAGACGAACGAGAGGCAAAGCAGCCGTAGTAGCAACACCAATGCACCCACAAAGATACGAAGACATAGAATATGCACAAAAGGTCAGACGCAGCCGTCGGTCAAGGCTGCCGCAGTGACGTTGCACAAGCGACATCGACGCAAACTGTCGCTCACGTCGACGGAGCTGCAGACTCAAGAAACACCGTTGAAACAGGAAGCAGAGACTGCAGCAGTAGTTGCTGGACATGATGCAGAGGAGATGTACCCTGACACGGTACAAAGTGCCTTTCCTCAGCAGCTCACGCTCTTTAGTCAGCAAAAACGTCTGCCGCAACGAGTGGCTAGCCGCGACGATGTCATTGACACAATTTTCAAGGTGCTATTCGCTCGCAATGAAAAACGACGCGATCGACCGCGACAGTCACTCAGTGCCTTTGGTGACGACACAGGAACAGAAACAGATGAGCCCAATGAGGAGTTTGTCAAGAGGGGACTTGCCAATGCACTTTTCAAAAACCAGCTCAATCTGCACGCACCGTCATCGCTATCAACTGCAGTCTCTCCAGCCGCAGCAGTGAACAGCCTTATCACACCGGCATTTATGCACGCGCTAGTGAACGCACTGCGCTTCGAGGACTTTCGCACAGCCAGCGTGCGACTCGATATTCTACGTGCAATCCACAAAAGCTGTCCTACCAAGAGGCTGCACCTTGCACGAGCACTTGCTGATGCGACGGCATTGCGTGTCGAGTATGTAGCGGCCGTTGCGGCATGTATGCAGATGCTAGGTGTCGAGAAAACATCGTCGCAAGTTATCATAGACCATCCGCTTGACCATGCACACGGTTTCACTGAGTTGTTGCGATACTTGATTGAGCACATTGAGGAGAAACTGCTGGAGACGCCGCCTCCAAAGGGGTCGGACGCGGCACAGGAACAAGAAGAACAGCAAAAGGAACTCGTGCGCAACTGTATGGTCAGCCTTGTTTCGCTCTGGCGCGCACACTGGGTCGATCCTGCGGGATCCGACGACGAGGAACTTATTACTTGTGCTGGTCAGTTCGTGGCGTACATGCCATCGGTCACGGGTCCACTGCTCAAGCGACTACTGAGCGCATGGCCAAGTCGCTACCCAAAACAAGAGGTGGGAGCCACGCGCATGGTAGCACGAGTCCTCATGTCTGGTCCCCCACTACAGCAAGTGGACCCAACACAAGTGCTCCAGCGCCGTATTTTCACGCGACTGGCGCGCACTGTACAAAGCTTGAATGTTGATGTAGCCAAGGAGGCGCTGGCCTTTACTGGTTGTCAATTCGTTCTAGTGCACTTTTTGGGGCAAGATCAAGTCATCTACAAAACTGTGACCGAGGCGCTGCATACCAACGTTGAAAGGCATTGGCATCATGGCGTGCGCAACACGTCCGAGACGACATTTGACCGTGCACTTGACTTTGCACCGTAGCGATCTATGTCCATCTCCCAATCCAAGAACAGCAAAATAGAAGTAGATAGATGAGTAGACAAGCGAGACTAAAAAACAATACACAAAGAGTAAAACAAGAATAAACCTAGCACGTGTTGGAAAACTTGTCAGTATCCATTCACCTTGTGCTTGTTAACCCCCTTGATCTCTCTCACTCATTGTTACGCTTCCCAGAGCAGCCGCTAAGATCAAAGCCACAAGCCATGGAGATTACAAGATAGACAAAAAAGAGTCCCACAAGTCCAAGCAACAACCAAAGCTTAAGGTTGCGTTTCCACATGGATTTCCGTAAATGAATTGACGAGTGTTCAAATTTAACTGCTTGACGATTCAATTTATCCGTCCGATCAACGAGTAATTCAAATTTTTCACCTCGTTCCAATACTTTATCAATATTTTCAATCATAATGTCCTTAACATCATCAATCTGTTGTTTCACTCGAGAGAGTGCATCAGCATCTGGATGAGCATTATAGTAATCAAGTAGACGATGAATTTCATGTTGAAATTCATCGTTCATTGCAAATGCAATCGCACTGAAAATACGTGGACCATATAAAGTTTGAAAGGAAGTTTTCATTTCATTTAGAAATAGAAATGGAATTCGTCGTTTTAACTCATCGTCTGCCATACAAAGATAAGTGACACCGTTTTCAACAATGTAATGGAAAATATGACGATCGTAGACATACGACATAGATCCATCAGTTGGTGGGATCTTGGCGAGAAGAACACGTGTAACAGTAGGGAAATTACCAGACGTCGCGGTGTATTCAGCCAAGACGGTTTTCTCGCGTGATACAAGCGCATATACGATTGGCATGATACTGCTGAAGTAACGTGAGACGAAGAAAAGTAGTTTGATTGTTTGTGACAAATGAAAGTACCCCATATCCTAGTTTAGGCAATTGAGGTTTTATGTAAAATTAAATCTGGCTTGATTGGGGTTTTGTATCTGATCTAGAATAACTTATTCCAGTATGTTTTTTCCGGATTTACATGTCCCTTTCGTGTGCTTCTATAAGCTGTAATCAATTCAATACAATACAAACGTTAGTATGAAAATGGACAAGAAACATAAATCGCCGTTCTCTTACCATCATCAGCTCTGTGCGGTCAAACTGGTTACGAAATGGATACACGAGCTTATTCAGCACGAGCAATTCATCACGCAGCTTGTCAACAGTCCAGTTTGCTGTCTTTTCCACCAATTTTGTCAAAACTAGTGTCATGCGAGCCTATAGGAAACATTTCATACACACACAGTCCATCCATTATTCATAGTCGTTGAAAAAAACATCTCGTATCTCTCTTGTCGTACCTCATCATAAATAAACTCTCGTGTCTCTTGGACGTCGTCCACCACCGGCTTCTCATCATGCACATCAGACATTTTCTCGTCAGCACTTGGTTCCATGGTAGGACATTTCTCTTCAGCTATAGACACTTTTTCAGTCTCAACAGTCTCTTCGTCACTACTGCTTTCGTCAAGAGCTTCGTCGATCATCATACTTTCCGCAAACCGAAAACCAAAACACTTCTTTGATAGCTCTGGATCGGCCGAAACGTACTCCAATGCCTCCAGGACGCTATTTAGAGTCACCAACTTACCGTTGCGCTTCTTGCCTGGAGTAAACACAACACGCTGGACGGCCAGACCGGACTCCTTGCCCGATGCTTCAATAATGTCAAAATTATCATCGCGTCTCCACCCATCCTCCTTTAAAATGGGCCACAATAGTTCATCAAAAAAGTCCGTTTCGTCCATCTTCTCTTCGTCCTGGATAAGTCGCACGGAACCTGTGTCTGTCGAGTTGTTGGCCACAGACCGCTGCGTCTTCACCGACTCCATGACTGCGTCATCCGTTAGCCGTTTAATATACTTCACGCTGACGGCCTTTTCGCTTCCACCAAGAACGTACTTGACATTATATGTACCGTCCTTATTCCGACTCTGCACGACACCAGCACCACCCTCACGATTGATACCGGGGTGCGTCCGGCTGCTCACGAAGATGCGATCGCCTTCATCAAACGCTTCTTGTTCGCTATCTTCCTCCGTCTCTATGATTGTCATGTTGAGGTCAGGCTTCTTGCTGCTTTCGGCTCTAATCCGTTCCCTTTCTTTACTTTTTTCTCTCTCTTCCTCCTCTTCATCATCAAACCACTGAGTCACCCCCTCTTGGGCTCCTTTGCTATCCTGAACTTCAGAAGGCTCCTTCTTCACAGTAACTCCACTAATCGTAAGCTTACTTGCGCTTGTCGTTGCGCGAGAAATCGCTGCATTCAAATTAATTTCAGGGGCTTTTACGCCACGAAGCCGCGCACTAACGCGCACACTGGGCTTTTCGGAGTCTTGGACGTAATTCTTGCGGGTGTTAATTCCACTAGAATTCATAAACTGTTGACCATACTCTCCATACATGGTTGGGTGCGCTCGGAGCCGCTTCGTCACCTCACGGCATTTGGCAAAAAGGTCATAGCCCTGTCGTATGCGGAACCGGTGCGCATACGACAAAATATTGTCCTTCATCGTGCCAGCCGCTTGCGCGATGTGGCGTGTTCTGCTGCGTTTGGGATTAAACACATTGGCATTTCGTACGATAAGCTGGATGTCGTCCATAAACTGCTCAAAGCACGTGTACTCCTTGTCGTTGAGTTTGTCACGCATCGTGCTCAAGTCCATAGGACGCTTTACAATCAAGTAATAGTTTGGCACTGCCACGGGATCCACTGGAACGAAAAAGGGTGTGTATTCCTTTTGCGAATAGCAGTACACCAGCACTTGACTTAAGAAGATGCGCAGCTCGCGCAGAAAATGGAAATCTCGCTCTTTTCGTTTTAGCTGCTCTTCTGCAGTCAGTTTCATCTTGAATGTTGTCGGCGGTAATGGAGCCAACGGCAGCTTTTCATGCTTTTCATCCTTCGCTCGTTTCGTCGTCTGAATCGATGGGGGCGTTGCAATCGAGCTAAATATTTTTTCAAAATGAGCCAAACGAGCAGCCTTGCTCGGTGCATCCAATTCCATTATCACAGACGTCATAGATACGCTTGGATCTTCGCGAAATAGCGCCAATAAGTCCTCTGGTAAATTTCGCTCGTCACCACATGAAGACGACGCTGTGCAAGCCAAAAACAAGATTGGCAGGTTAGCCCGTGCTTGGAGATTCATAAGCATCATCTTCAAGGTCAGATGCATCGATTCGCTAGTATTCCTCCACCACAGCTCAATCTGCGGAAGATAGAGTACACACGGCAAGCACTTTTGAGCCTCATTAAGTCTCTGAATAAGTGCTTCTTCCGGAAGGTGCGAGTTGGAGTCAGCTACAAGCGAAGGATAGTCCAGCGAAAAGTGCGTCAGTCCTTCTAATGCATGCAGCAATGCCGGGCCGATGTATTGCTGACCCATGCCAGCCTTGCCTGCGATCAAAGCACGAGGGAATCCTGAGTAACGAGGCAACTGAAGGGAAGCTATAGACAGAACACGCTTCTTTTGTGCACTCTGCGCTGCTCTTTGCACAACAAAATTCGAATTTCGGCATTCAGGGCAGAACCAGGAACCGTTACTGGTCTCCTCCGAGACCGCTGTCACAGTTACGTCCGGAATGCATGCGCTATGGAAAGCTCCAGGGCATACATTACAGCAAAGCAGCTCACCCTCGTTCCCATGACAAACGTCGCAGTCATCATGATTCACACTCGCATAAATATCCACGTCGTCTTCGCCTTCATCTTCGTCCTCTTCAGCTCCCAAATCTTCAGAAGTCTCGTTGCCCGTGGTAACGGCGTCATCGATAGATGACTTATCGAGAGGGAAGAGTGGAAAGTGACGGGACACATCTCGCAACACTTTTGATAGCTGCTGCTGTAGCAGTCCTTTAACCGCTCGTGGAAGCGGTGATGCAAAGGAGCTGACGGCGCGATGAGAAGCTGGGGTGATCTTTCTCGCTGCCTTGATAAAATCGCCGCGAGCTACTACCACCTTGTCCAAATTGATCAGCAACTTATCTTCACTTGCGTACACTTGTGGGTACACGCGGCGTAAAGAACACAAAGCTGCCTCCGCGCAAAGCGCTTTAATATCGGCACCGCAGTAACCCACCGTCTGCTCGGCAAGCTCTGTCAAAAACCTGTCGGATAGCGGAGGCTTCCAGTGTTTCGAATGGATCGCTAGCATGCTCTTTCGCTCATTCGCGCTGGGTAGCTTGAAGCCAAGTTCTCGGTCAAACCGGCCAGGGCGACGCAAAGCAGGGTCAATGGCATCAAGTCGATTAGTTGCTCCAATAACTACAACGCGTCCCCGTGAATCCATACCATCCATTAAAGCAAGCAACGTCGACACAATTGATGCGTGAATTTGATCTTGCTTGGCACTGCGCACGGGTGCAAGTCCATCGATCTCATCAAAAAATATAATGGAAGGCTGGTTCCGTTTCGCTTCTTCAAACAAAAGTCGTAGCTGTCTCTCTGCTTCTCCCACCCACTTACTCAAACAATCTGCTCCTTTTCGCATGTAAAACGTTACATGCCGTCTTGGTCTCGCTTTCTTCTTGACATGCTTTCCAGAACTCGCTGCCCCTCTCGAACTACTCGATTGCTCGTCTTTGCTATATGAAGAGCAAGAATTCGCCAAAGCTCGTGCTAAAAGCGTTTTTCCTGTACCAGGTGGCCCATAGAACAAAACACCTGACGGTGGTGCTACGTTGTACTTATCGTAAAATTCAGGGTACAACAGCGGTAGCATCACCATTTCTTTCAGCGCTTCAATGTGCATCTTTAGACCACCCACGCTGTCCCAAGTAATGCTGCAATCCACTTCTACAGGTGTGATATCAGCGCGTGAGCTACCGCCTTTCCGACTACCTTTAGAAGACCGCCGCGGGCTGCTCGTTTGCATTCCGCCGTCAGAACCATCGTCACCTAGGTGCATACCAGAAGATGATGACGAACCAGAAGAAGAGGACGAGAGAGAGCGACGGTGTCGATTTCGGTGTCCTCGGCCATGCTTGCTTCGGTCTCGGCTACGACGACGGCGCGTAGGCGGTGACAAACCCATTTCCGACAAAAAAAGACGCCTGTTGCTACCGGACCCATTTGCACCGTTTCTCTTCGATGCACGGCTGGCTTGTTGTTTATGATACTCCGCGTATGCTAATGTCTCCGGAGAGATAGCTGCATCTTCTTCAACATCCCTCCGAAGAGTTTTAGAGCGATCGCGAAGTAAATAGCGACGCGACGGGGTTTCAGTTTCAAACACAGGTGCCGAGCTAATCTTTGTTCGGCTTCGGGTGGTCATACTATTGCTGACAGGTACTTGTCGTCGATGACGCAGATGGTACCGGGTCGAGTTTGCGGGTCCACCCTCGCCGTCATCATCGTCGTGTTCGTCCTCAGAGTTTGCGTCATCAATCTCGGACTGAGAGTCGTTATTTTCAGCTTCATTGTTGCGTCTGGCCTCAGCGTGATCATCTTCTCCACGCACCTCCAGCTGCAACCGCTTTGTCCGACTAGACCTTCTCTCTATACGTGGTGGTGATACACCGTTTATCTCCCTTATTGTGATACGCTCTCGTGACCGCAGTGAGTAGCGCGTCGAGCGTGACCGTCGTTCCAAATCTTGGGCCTTTTCTCGTTCCTTGCGTTCCTGCGCTTTGATTTTCTTGTTAATCTCGCGTATGCTCATCTCCTGGTTGACTTCCTCGTGCTCTTCGTCATCCTCACCTTCTTCCTCCTCCTCCTCCTCGCCCGCATGTCTACGCTGCCTCTTGGTATGGCGGCTTCGATTTTGGTTGCGACAGTGACTACGTTTCTTGCTGTTAATTGCAGACTCGGGCGTGGACGAAGCATACGTCGAGTGTGAGTTCATGAACACATCATTGTAAATGCACTCGTCAAATCGCTTCGGTTTACTATGTCGTGTGCGCAAAGAGTAGTGCGAAGCTGACGAGGGTGACGTACTGCTGGCGTCTTCATGGCCCATGGAAAGCGGTGGACTTGCAATATCCAATTCTGTCTGTAGTCGTCGCTGTACAAAACAAAAGATAAATCCGTAACTCCGTCAATGTTCCTAATCACTTTGATCGAATCAAAACAAGCTTCAAACGTGCACACCGAGGAGCGTCTTGCAGTCATTGCTTCATCTTTCTTCTCCTCTATTTCATCCGTGTCTTCATCTTGTGACTATATTTAAACACACCAACATATACATACACAAATCAAATGTATTGAGCTCCAAAATTTGCACCATATAAATCCAAATACAAAGCTGTCTCTACCACGTCTTCTTCCTCTTCCTCTTCTTCTTCTGTTTCCACAGGACGAGACCGACGGTCTAAAGGCTCGACAAGGACTGGTGACGAGTCTAAGACAGATAGAGAGAGAAGCAGCAATCGAGTATGAGTGAGATTCACACACAAACACAGATGATTGATTACATACCACTACTTGCGCTTAAAGACGCTGTTGCTTGTTCAAGCACGCTGTTCATTCGTTTTTTAGGGTGGCTTTTAATGTACCACCCAGGTCTTTTTTGGATTAAAAACGTTTAAACGGTTTTAAAAAAAGGAATATACGGCAATTGGACGTATAGTTAATTGCTGTATACTTTCCACTTGGCAAATGCCTAATTCAAGGGTCAAATACCTCTGATTTATTATACCAACACTGCGAAATAGGGTGTCGTAGTACCGTCTCATGCACTGCTAGTAGAAATAACAGCAGACACGACCATCATTATCATCATCAGATGCAGGTGGTTTTTGTTGCTATTGTCTCCCTAAATTTGGTCTACCTAGGATTGTTATTGTTGGTATGCATTGCCATGGAAACGGGGTATATAGAGCAGCGCAAACATTCTAAACAACATATAAGGATGGTACCATTGATACCAACTGGCGCGACTTTGTTAATGTCGTTGATATTTACGAAGAGAGTTATAACATCGAGCTGTAAAGGCCCGATAGCTTTCATGTAGTTAAAGTGTACCGTCACAATTGCATGTGCCACTGCAAGATCACCACACTCACCGAGAGAGGGACGCCGATCCCCTTCTGTGTCTTCTTCTCCAAGGGTAACAACTGCATTGCGCGAAGCACCACCGCTTCCCTCGCGAGAGGGTACCGACGAAGAGGTAATCAACCCTCTTGACGCTGCACAGCGTCGTCAACTTGATGATGAGACCCGAGCGGCCGCTTTGGCACGGCCAAAAACAAACATTTTCACGACGTGATTATGGGTTCGTGCCCCAGGAACCCAATGAGGAAGCTCGACGAGCTGCATTGCAATCTTTGCGAGACTATGTCATTGGGTCCCAGGCCCGCACTGCTTGCGAGGTTGCGGATCGTTCCGCTCTTCGTAAGCGGCTTCTTACTCCCCAGGAGTTTACGATGAAATCGTATCAGGAGCGACTGTCACGACAGTCGCGTGTGGTGACCGTGCATCCACTAAACGACATACCAGTGGTGCTTGCACCAGGTGAAACATCTGCACAAGATGATCACCAGTTTGCCCGTTGGGTTGAACAAGCGTGTAAGCTTCCAAGTCTTTCTGACTTGCGCTTAAGCGCTAAAGAACAAGACGTTTGGTTAGAACGTCGTCTACGTTTTAACTTTGCTAAGCTCAAAGCGAAACTTCAATTACCCTCCACATACAGGTCAAAGACTTGTGGGGATCAAGCTTCTAAAGCTAACCCCCGTACCTCTCATGCAAGTGATGTACCGGCGTTGGCTTCTTCTGAAGGTCAGAGGTGAAGCCATCCTACTGAGCCTGCTTCCTCAGCACCTAGTGCGAGGAAGCGTCCGACGACAGCTGTCATCACTTTTGACCGTCCTGGTAAAAAGCGTCAAAGGTGTCAGGGCAATCCTTCCGGAGAGGTACCTCATAATCCCACGAGTCGTACGACTGGGGGTAACCCCTCCACTACACCAAGTATTGGGTATGACTCTGGTGACGACGCCGAGCCAAGAGACGTTCCACGTGAAACTGTTGATGACCCAGTTCATCAATCAGCTTCGGTGGACGTCGATGACCCATTGACCTCTGGTCGCTCTGAGACGAGCGTTGCCTGACAATCCTGGATCGTGATGCTCTTGGATCGGTGACGTCTGACCTGTCATCGCTCGATGTCGATCCTTTGAGCGTTATCGCTCTGAGATCTAGGATCGCTTAGCGGCGATTGAGTTCTCAAGCCGAGCTTTGATGTCAACTTGACCTCCTGGTACGCCCCCAGCGTTCATATGCACCTCCGGTGCCGTACTACCCGCCTCGTTCGACCGAGGGTATGGGGACAATCCCTCGAAGTCCACCAAGGCTGGGTTGAGATATGGCTTTAGCAAGCCCACGTAGAACACAGGGTGTGTTTGCATCTTCTCTGGAAGGTTCAGCGTATATAGGCTAAAACTTTCTTGCATATGACCTTAAAGGTTCAATAAAGCGTGGACGTAGTTTGATTTTATATACCGCAGACACCGCGCGAGTAGGTAAATTCCTAGCGTGTACTGAAACTAAATTGCCCACTTTGAGCTCGTGTTCGTTCTTTTGCCTTTGGCATCTGCTTGTTACTTCTGAACATCCTGGCTTTCAGCCATAGCGTCTTTGACGCGACGTAATACGTCAAAACGCGCTGACAGAAACGCTTCCTTTTCTTGCGTATCGCAACAAGGCTGATATCAGCCAAGCCTTTGGATATCTCTCCCCCACTAAGCCCTGATGTGGCAAGGGATAGCGTTAAAGGAACGCGAGGGTTGACCAAACCATACACGTAGAACGGGGTGAAGCCTGTCAAGGCATGCACCGCGTTATTCAACGCAAACTTAATGAGAGGGAGCATCGTGCTTCATTGCTTGGGTGTTTCAGCATAGACACTGCGAAGAATATCACCATAACGCGGTTGACGCGTTCCGTCTGACTATCGGTCTGCGGATGATCCGCCGTGGACATGTCCAGTCGAGTGCCCAGTACTTTAAAGACCGACGTCCAAAATTTACCCGTAAAACGGGGTCTCTATCCGAGAGGCAGTTCGTGTTGTCTAAACACACGATCCATGAACAGCTTAGCTATTACTTCTCCATCAATGGAGTCCGGCACGGCCGCAAGATGAGCCATCTTGCTCAATCGGTCTACAAAGACCACAATCCCAGTGTTGCCTGCCGCATCACGCGGTAGGCCAACACAACGTCGATACTGATGGACTGCCACAATCCCGAGGGTACAGGCAAACTCGCCAAAGACGCAGCCAAGCGAGGACTTTGCCCTTTGACACGTTTCACACGTGCGAACGTATGTACCAACCCGTTTGTACAACGTGGGACACCAATAATGGGTGTTCACCGAGATGTATGTCTTCCTTCTCACGATCTAAACGATCACCAAGTGGTGTATCATGAGCCTCATAAAGTATCTGATACTGAGGTCCTCATCATGAGACACCACAACACGAAGTTGGTCATCCGACCCTGTACTATAGTACAACCGACCATCGGTCAGTGCATAATGATGTAATCTCTGACAACTTCACCTTAGAGTTTTCAAACTCTGCGCTACCCAGCGCCTGCATAATTGCAACACATGTCTCATCGCGTGCATACGCCACACGGACACGATCCGTTACTGACGAACTCACAACAGTGAGATAAGCAAGCTCATAGTCAGGTCTACGCGATAACGCGTCAGCCAAAACATTCTGATTTCCCGGATTATGCTTCACCTCGAAGTTATACTCCGCAAAAAAGGAGAGCCAACAAGCCATTTTCTGCGAGTGATGAGGCGACTGTGTCGCTGTGCGTAGCGACGCATGATCCGTATAGATCACAAACGGCTTGGAGCCCAAAAGGTGTACCCTGAACTTAACAAGAGCATAATTCATCGCCAGTAGCTCCTTGTCATGAACTGGATAGTTCTTCTCTGCAGCTTTCAGCTGGTGAGACTCGAACTCGATGACGCGTTCTCGACCCTCAGAGTCAACTTGCAAAAGTGCACTGCCAAAGGAAAAGTCCGAAGAGTCACACACTACACTAAACGGGCGATCAGGATCAGGTAGAGACAGAAATTGTTGCCTGACTCTCCTTAATGGCTTCAAAAGTTTCGTGGTGCTCGGTGTTTCAAAACCTTTCCACATCCTTTTTGAGGAGATTTGATAATGGCCTAGCCACTTCCGCATAGTTGTGGCTATACTTGTGCAAGTAATTTGCCAAACCCAACCACTTACGGAGGGGAGGTCCTTTTGGTTTCTCGCAACTGGCCAATCCACTATGGCTTTGACCTTAACAGGGTCTGCCGGATTCCTCGCTTCCCAATGAAGCATCCCAAAAAGAGAATCTCTTCCGCACCGAAGATGCATTTGTCAATATTGTCATATAACTTGTGCATCCTCATGCAACCGAGCACAGCTCGCAGGTGCTCGATGTGATTCTCCACATCAGTCTTGCCATTTTCGGCTCGACTATGGACGAATATGTCGTCAAAGTATGTCTGTGCATACGCCCTATGGAGCCGAAACAACTGCGTCACATACGATTGAACGTTGCAGGTGCGTGAGATAGCCCTTGGGGCATCACTTACCACTCCCAGAGCATACCTCTTGGAGTGCTGACCGCTGTCAGCGGAATATCACTAGCTTGCATGAGCAGTTGGCAATATCTATCGCCTAAGTCGAGGGCACTGTACATCGTACATCCCACCACATTGTTCTGAAGAACATCCTTGCGAGGAATCAGTGTTTGAACCGGGATAGTGGCTGCATTCAGCTTATTGTAAGCATGCACTATTCGTCACTTCCCATTAGGCTTTCTCACACAAAACGTGGGCGTAGAGTGAGGAGACTTACTCTCACGCACTATGCCAGCCGCGTGCTTTGCACGAAAGAACTCGTCAATGACGTCACATTGTTCTCGTGGCAGCGGCCACTGTCGCGTCACACAGTATTTGGTTCCTGGAACCAAGTCAATTTCATGACGTACACCTCTATCCGGAGGTAACCTCGTCGGAGGTTCTCTGGAGACAACATCTCCATATTCCTTCAACAAAGTAAAATAAGGATCCGAAGGATCCTTCAGGATCTGCGATCCACTGCGCGCATTCAGCGCCTTCTTGGTATCCTCAAGAACTGCTTTATCCAAAAGCGATGAGGAGTTTAACTCTTCCTCAGGTCGTATAACGACCACTTCGGCGATGTCGCCTGCCTGTAAGGCAATGCCAAACTCGGCAAGGACAGCTCGTACAGCTCTAACAGAGCACTTACTGCGGGTATAGCTGAAAGAGTCACCGGCTCTTCAACTACCCCAGTCAATCCATTGACGAGTGTATATAGCTGTTCGCTATCACCGTCACTCACGATATTATCATCGCTACTCATGATGCTCTCAGCATCCGAAGCATCAGCGTCTACAGGTGTACACACCTCAAGGTCAAAGCCCACTTCGTTTAACGACTGCGCCCCACCCTCTTGAGTCAATGCTTCGTCATGAGGTGTTCGCACCTCGTTGTACTCAA